TGGGATACAATGTTTGACTTCGAGGATCAATATTTACCTTCTTGGCCTTGGCAGGGGCCTCGTCGCTCTCAGACTCAGAGTCGGAGTCAGAGTCGCTATCGCTGGACTCCTTGGCGGCAGCCTTCTTAGGAGCCTCCTCCTCCTCCTCATCAGAATCAGAATCAGAAGACTCGGACTCGGACTCGGACTCGGAAGAGTCGGAAGACTCAGCGGCCTTGGCCTTGGGCTTTTCGACCTTCTTCTCCTCCTTCTTGGCAGGCTTCTCATCCTCAGACTCAGACTCGGAGTCAGAAGAGTCGGAGGACTCAGAAGACTCGGAAGAAGACTCGTCCTTCTTAGCGGCCTTCTTGGGGGCAGCCTTCTCGGTCTTCTTGGCGGGCTTCTCCTCCTCGCTCTCGCTGGAGGCATCCTCCATCTCCTCATCGCTGTCAGAGTCGGAGGAAGAGTCAGACTCGGACTCAGAGGAAGAGGACTCAGCCTTCTTCTCGGTCTTCTTCACAGCCTGCTTCTTGGCGGGCTTCTCGTCCTCACTCTCGCTGGAGCTGGAGCTGGAAGAATCCATCTCCTCGTCGCTGTCAGAGTCGGAGCTGCTGCTGGGAGTAGGCTCCTTCTTCTTGCGCTTCTTGTCCTCCTTGCTGACAACCTCACGAGCCACCTTCTTGCTCTTAGCCTTGGGGGACTGAGAAGCCTTGGTGACACCGGCGTCCTTGACCTTGCTCAAGGTCTTGGCAACGGGCTTCTCAGAGCCCTTCTTGGTAACGGACTTGGTCTTAGACATTTTGAATCTGGAGAGAGGAGGATAGTCAGCAAAGGCCGGGAGGAAGATGGAGGAATACAAACCAAATGGAATAACCCTCGAGATAGAGATGAAAATATCCGACAGAGTAGACAAAACCCACGAAATAACGGTGCGGCAGAATTAGTCCCACAATCACCCGGTTTAGGATAGAAATTTCAAGTAAAGCTGATGCGATACTTGAGAATAGCCCCCTGGATGCAGAATCTCAACACGAATGAAGAGATCGAGCAAATACCCACAAGAACGAACCCACAACGACAATGTTCAAGCCCACAAGAGACGGACAGGAAATATGCAACCGTCTATAACCCACTAGAAAAACCCAGAGAGCCCACAGAAAAGATTGCGATATGCCACAGCCCACAGCCCTCAATGTATGAAGCCCACGGATGTACGTTGAAGTGTACCTTGCAAGATACGCTAGTTGTCAGTGAAACTAGATGACTGTGATGGAAAACACAGTCAAGGGGAAGGTGATGGGAGAAAAATTCTGAAGGGGGGAGAAAGTTGAAGGAGAAAGAGGATGAGAAGAAGAGAAGAAGAGAAGAAAATTTCCAGCTTGAGCTCCGATAAGATGTACGGCAAAAAAAAAAAAGTAAAAAAAACTGGGGGCTGGCAGAAATCCCTGACTTACCGCTTCCTATATTGGGGCTAGCCCACGCACTAACCCCGTCAGACCCACTACTGCCTATAAAAGCCTAGCTTGTGAGCTCCCGCCAATCATGTCCCTCCGAGCTCACTTCAACTGTCGACGTCCAGCGTGGATGCTTCCACATCCCCAGCTTCGTCTCGCAACCCCTCGATCCTCGACACTCATTCCCATTCCTCTCTCCCGTCACGTCGGACCCAGTCAATGGACGCCGTATAACCGTCTGTATTCAGTCGCCCTCATAATGCCTCCGCCTCCATCGTCCTACCGCCCTCGGAAGAAGAGAAAGTTCGTCTCCGCGTTCTCGGGTTCGAATAGCGCTCTGATTCTGGAGACCGAGAGCGGCAAATCGTCTCCGGCGTTTCCCTTGGTATCATTTCTATGGGCTGCTCGTGCGGGTGTCTCTCAATGGCTGGTTCTCCCTCTCATTCTGATGACCGTCGGTCTCTTCCGATGGGCCGTGAGTCTCTGGGGATACTCTGGTGCGGATCCTGTTGCTCCAATGTGATTATGTTCGGTGAAGGTGGCTCGCTAATTCATTCCAGGCTACCAGGTACCTCCTATGCATGGTGATTTCGAGGCACAGAGACACTGGATGGAAATCACAATCCACTTACCCGTGTTCAAATGGTACACCTACGATCTGCAGTACTGGGGACTGGATTATCCGCCATTGACTGCCTACCATAGCTGGCTGCTGGGGAAAGTGTACGTATCATTGGCCGCCTGGTATATATCAATACGTCTAACTTATCTTAGTGGATCCCTCTTTGACCCCGCGTGGTTCGCCCTGGACGACTCTCGTGGTTTCGAAGATGATCGGTTGAAAGTGTTCATGCGCGCAACGGTGATCATTTCCGAATACCTGATCTATATCCCAGCAGTCGTCAATTTTCTGCGTCGCTACGGTCGGATGCACGGGGTCCCGACCTGGTCTGCCTCCATTGCCTTGGTTGCCATTCTGTTGCAGCCGGCTACCATCCTCATCGACCACGGGCACTTCCAATACAACACGGTGATGCTGGGACTCATGGTGGCCAGTTTGGACGCAATCATGGCTGGTCGCATGCTCTGGGCGTGCATTTTCTTCGTGGGTGCTCTCGGATTCAAGCAAATGGCGCTCTACTACGCCCCGGTTATGTTCGCCTTCCTCCTCGGTGTTTGTCTCTTCCCACGGATTCGGCCTATTCGCCTTTTCTGCATCGCTATCGTCACGCTTATTGCATTTGCCGCTCTGTTCGCGCCATTGATCATGGGTGCGACTGGCCCTGACGGGAAGGACTACTTGACATCGCTGCCGCACCCCCCTCAATTGCAAGCACTTCCGTTCGAAGTTCCCAAGAGTTCGGTCTTGTATGCCCCTCTGTTTCAGCTGGCCCAGGTCATACACCGAGTGTTCCCCTTTGCCCGCGGTCTGTTCGAAGACAAGGTAGCCAATGCGTGGTGCACTATCCATACATTCTACAAGCTCCACCGCTTCGAAACGAGTCTGCTCCAGAAAGCGTCGCTCGGCGCGACGCTGGGCTCGATCTTGGTACCGTGCGTGATCATATTCCGCCACCCGCGTGCATCGCTCCTCCTGCCGACTCTGTCCAGCGTAGCCTGGGGCTTTTTCCTGTTCTCTTTCCAGGTCCATGAAAAGAGCGTTTTGCTTCCTCTCCTCCCAATGACCCTGTTGCTGGCTGGAGATGGGGGCCTGAATAAAGACACTCGTGCCTGGGTGGGCTGGGCGAATATGCTTGGTTCCTGGACCATGTACCCCCTTCTGAAGCGCGATGGCCTCCAAGTGCCGTACTTTGTGATGACTCTCCTCTGGGCCTTCCTGCTCGGTCTGCCGCCCACCTCGTTGGAGACATACCGCAGCCGTTCTTCATCGGATGATTCCGTGCAGGCTCCGGGCCCGCATATCCTTACAAAACTTCTACACACCTGTTTTTACCTCGTTATGATTGCTTGGCACGTGCTCGAAGCATTCGTTCCTGCGCCATCGGACAAGCCTGATCTCTGGGTCGTGTTGAATGTTCTGGTGGGAGCCAGTGGGTTTGGACTGGCATATTTGTGGTGCCTGTGGCGATTGATCACACAATGCACCTTCATTGTCCGCAAGACCGCGGAGGAGAGTCGGAAAAAGAAACAATGAGATCCTTCTTATATGTAAGATAGAATTAGAGGTTGTTTAATGATACCCATTTCGTTTGAACATGATTTCACGCTTAGATACCATTCAGAGTAGGAGAGATGACAAACAAGGAGCATCTAATATACAATCTATTCCCAAACAAAAGCCCAACCCGAACACCGTGCAGACAGAGCTGCATGCTGATATATGGTACAACAACGGTTCCCTGGGGACCGAGGTCTAAATTAGACCTTGAAGCCAAAGCCAGCCATGCAGGACTTGTATTGTTCGATCATGGGCTTGCACTCCTTGGTAGGGTCGTCGGTTTTGGAGAAGAGCATGCAGTCATCGCGGGCAGACTTTTCCTCCTTGCAAACACAGCAGGGCTGCAGTCGTTAGTGACTGTGTATATCCAATGGGGTTCCGAATCAGTCGTACCTTGGGCTTTTCGGCCGGAGCGGACTGCGCGGGAGCAGCGACGGAGGGCTTTTCGGTCGCGCCTGTGAGGGTTAGAATGGTCGCAAGGGGCAGACGGATTGGCACATACCGATGGAGGCGTTCATGGCGGAGGACATGGTGAGAGATTGATCAGATAGAGTGACAGGGTGAGGGAGGTGTGAAGACAAAAGAAGAGATGATTAGAAATGATGCGATGCCGCATTGATGGTCGCTGCGGGCAGCCGGAGTTCCCCGATCGAATGGGGCTTAGCGCGGCCTGATCTCATCGATTGTTATTTTTTTCATTTTTGCCTCCCCGCTTTCTCGCTTTCTTCCTCCTTTTCACCACGTTCGGTGTGGCTTTGGCTTCAATCCTCTTTCAGTCTCTTCTCTAGACTATAGACTACTCCTTTATTACTTTTTTACGTTTCTGCCATCCCCATCCATACGACCTCGTCCGTATACCCTCATCGCAAACCGGATACCCCTGAAATCTACCCCACCATGGCCCCTCCAAAGGTCTTTTCGCTTGAAGGCAAGGGTCTCAAGCTGGACACCGCCGCCGATGTTGAACCTCACATCCAGCCTCTCCTGGAGAGCACCGACTACACGGAAGTCCGCCTGGGCGGCAACACCTTCGGTATTACCGCCTGCGAACGCATCGCCGCCGCGCTGGCGCCGCAGAAGTCTCTCGAAGTCGCTGAGTTCGCCGACATCTTCACCTCCCGCCTGATCGAAGAGATCCCCGAAGCCCTGACCCATCTCCTGAACGCCCTCCTCGAGATCCCCACCCTCCATACCGTCAACCTCTCCGACAATGCCTTCGGCCAGAGAATGTCCAAGCCCCTCGTGGACTTCCTCTCGCGCCACATCCCTCTCCGCCATCTGATTCTGAACAACAATGGTATGGGTCCGGAGGCTGGTGCCCACATCGCCGATGCGTTGCGTGACCTGGCTGCCCGCAAGGAGGAGGCCCGCAAGGCGGGCCAGGAGGTGCCCCCGCTTGAGAGCATCGTGTGCGGCCGGAACCGTCTGGAGAGTGGTAGCATGGCGGCGTGGGCACGCGCCTACGAGGTCAACGCGGCGGGCATGCGCTCCGTCAAGATGACGCAGAATGGTATTCGGCAGGAGGGTATTGTGCTGCTGCTGCGGGAGGGTCTGCGCCATGCGACGGCGCTGGAGGTCCTCGATCTGCAGGATAACACATTCACGGTCACCGGTTCGACTGCCCTGGCTGATGTGGTGACCAGCTGGCCTGAGCTGCGCGAGCTGGGCGTCAGTGACTGCTTGCTGTCTGGTCGTGGCGGTGTCAAGCTTGCGAAGGCGCTTGCTGCGGCGAAGAACGGGAAGCTGGAGACGCTGCGGATGCAGTATAACGAGATTACTGCGGAGGGCGTGAAGCAGTTCCTGCATGCGAGCAAGACGGCTCTGCCCTCGTTGCGCCGTATCGAGCTCAACGGCAACAAGTTCATGGAGGATGATGAGAATGTGACTGAGCTGCGGGAGATCCTGGAGGGTCGCCAGGAGGAGCACGGCAAGGACGATGACCCGGAGGACATGTGGGGAGTTGATGAGCTGGATGAGCTCGAGGAGGAGAGTGAAGAAGAGGAGGAGGAGGAAGAGGAAGAGGAAGAAAAGGCCGAGCGGATTGTCAAGGAAGCCGAGGAGGCAGAGGGAGAGAAAGTCGCCCAGGAAGCGGACAAGGAGGTGGACCAGCTTGCCGAGGCCATGGGCAAGACCAGCATCTAGACCGCCATGTGCGTTACGGTTTCCCTCCATCCACTTTACCCTGCCCCTACCATATACCCCCACCCCTGGTGACTTCTGCGTGCATGTCTGGTGGCGTGTCTGATACAGACGTCGTGCGGTCGATGAAGTCCCGCGCGAGACCAGGACCACACGCCGGGTGCATCCCGTCGACGTTTACACTCCCCGAGCACCCATTTTCCCATCTAGATGTTCTGAAGGGCTAGGCATGGCCAGTCCTCATTGTACTGCTGTTGGCAGCATTGATCGATGTATATAACGCTAGAAAACGATTTATGTGACCTATGAAGGGATGTTTTGTAGGGGTGTAGATATACTACTCGGCTGTATACTTGAATACTAGAGTCTGCCGAGTCCATTCCTAAACAGGCAACTCAGGCTTGGCGCGGAGATCAAGTTGGTTCCGGTCACTCTTCATCTTCTTCTTCCTTCCTCTTCCTCTTTTCTCCATCTTCAGTTCCTCTCCTATCTTCCCTCTCGCTCTCCGCTCACTCCCACTCCCCGGGCTGTCTCTATATAGACGTATCTCGTTGGTCTTCTTATCCCTTTGCGTCATCCCTACGTGTCTGGTCTCCTGGTTTCTATTGCGGAAGAGTGAGTGCCTCTATGACCCCTCCCCCTCGTCGTCTTCTCGCGCTCTCTATGCGGGCGCATATCGCGAATCGACCTGCTACGGCTGTCTCATGCGACAGGATGGTGAAGTCGTATCGATGAAACATGCAAGCGCAGAGCACGTGCGAGGCCTGCTCAGCCTTCGCATATTCAGCAACCGCGATATCCACCATGGACCACCCACAGGACCACCACCACAGGCCCATTTCTACTAACTGCACGCGCTCTGGTCTCCATCGGCGCTAACCGTCCTCTCTTAACAGACGCGCGCAACCCCTCTCACCATGGCCATGGACGCAAAAGAAATCGAACTCAAGGCGAAAGCCTTGACCAAAGCCGCCACGCAGAACGAACCGGCCGCCAACATCGTCGCCCTCCTCAAAGAACTCCAAAAAGGCGTCAAGGCGACCGAGGACCTCCTCCGGTCGACCCGCGTCGGCATCATCGTGAACAAGTTCAAGCAGCACAAGGCGCCGGAGGTGGCGCGGCTGTCTAGCGAAATCGTGTCGAAATGGCGCAACGAGGTCAACAAGCAGAAGGCGACTGGGTCGCCTAGCGCCAGCCAGCGCTCCAGCGGATCGCCGCGCCCGCAGCCGAACGGTACGACGGCCAGCTCGCCCGCCGCCACGCCCTCCGACAAGACGTCGAAGCTGTCCGTGCCGCCCGACAAGCGCAGCTGGAAGGCCGATGGCATCGACGTCAACCAGACCGCCAACCGCATCCGCGACTCCTGCATCGGACTGATGTACGACGGGCTGTGTCTCCACTCGACCGAGGCGCCGCGCGCCGTCCTTGCCAAGGCGTCGGCCGTCGAGGCCGCGGCGTACGCGGCCTACGGGCCCGAGACGAAAGAGCAGTACCGCACCAAGATCCGCAGTCTGTACCAGAACTTGAAGAACAAGTCGAACCCGACGCTGCGCGTGCGCGTGCTCTCGAGCGAGGTCACGCCCGAGCACTTTGTCAAGATGAGCCACGACGAGCTGCGGTCGGCCGAGCAGCGCGAGCAGGACGCCAAGATCCAGAAGCAGAACATGGACAAGGCCATGGTGGCGCAGGCGGAGCGCAGTATCAGTACGAGTCTGCAGTGCGGCAAGTGTGGCCAGCGGAAGGTGACCTACACGGAGGCGCAGACGCGCAGTGCCGATGAACCGATGACGCTGTTCTGTACCTGCATGAACTGCGGGAAGTCCTGGAAGCAGTGATTTGTTTATGATATTCTTATAATTTGCGAGCCGGAGTTGCGGTTTGTGGTTTGCGGTCTGCGGTCTGCGGTTGCTGCGGTTAAAAGGTTGATTTCTAGTTTAGGTTAAATAGATATCCTACGTCATACTTTCTTTACCTCAACTTCCACTCCTCCAACATCTTCTTCCTTCCTATCTCAACCCAAGATGTCCCGCCAATCCCTCAAGAATAGAGTCTCCTCTCTCTGCGCCGACTTCTCCAAAGGAAGTCCCCTCCCCACGCTCCTCTCCCACTTCACAAAAGACCCTCCCCCCACCGCCATCGAACACGGCCTCCGCAACATCGCCCCCTTCCTCGGCCGCGAATTCACCGGCACCGACGGCCTGACCAGCTACTTCACGACCGTCGCCGACCTCCTCACCATCGAGTCGATGGACTTCGACCCCGAAGACTCCTGGGTGGTGGACGTCTCCGACACCCGCGGGATCGTCCATCTCCGGGGCCGCGCACGGTTCGTCTGGAAATCCACGCAGCAGTGGTGGGACGAGACGTTTGCGTATCGCATCGAAGGCGTGCCTTCCAGCTCAGCCGCAGACTCGGGCCCAGACGCATGGAAAGTCAGCCGGTACGAGGTGTGGGCGGATTCGGGGGCGGCGTATCTCGCCTCAAAGGGGCTGTTGCATGCGCATAGCGCGGAGGGGGATCCGGGGATGTGGCCGACTAATCCATTGGAGGGGTTTTAACTAGGTAGCTAGGCAGCTATAGCAAGCAAATCCAGATCGCAATGCAAACGACAGTACGATGTGACAACTACGCAGCCCAATCAATCCACCACGTCTCGCCCGCCCGCCCATCGGGCGTCATAAACACCTTCGCGGGCGTATCATACCGCCTCCACTGCTTCGCATCGAGCACCGTGCCAATCCCGCCGGCCACGCGCGCAGACGCATTCCACCCGGGCCCGCGGTCGCGGAACTCGGCCATGAGCGTCTCGTTCGTGGTGCGGCTCACCCCGTCAACGACCCAGTCGACATACCCCTGCGGCCGGATGGACGCGTCCTCGTAGCAGTGCGCGAAGATCGACCGGTGCAGGCTGTTCCAGGGGCGGCCGAGGGCGCACTGGCCCTCGATGGCGGGGGCGATGGAGGCGTTGGCGGCGCGCACGCTCGACTCGACGATGTACACGCCGTAGGCGTTGGCGAAGGTCGTGTTGGAGCCCTTCCAGGCGGTGATGCCGCCGCCGCAGCCGCGCAGCTGCAGATCGCAGTGCTGGATCCAGGCCGTGCCGAAGCCATAGATGAAGTCAGTTTGGCCGGCGATGATGCTGTGGTGGAAGTAGGCGTTGGCTAGTTTGCCGATGTAGACCTTCTACTGTTAGCTCCGCCGCGTATGGTGGAGGGGGAGGGGAAAGGGAGGGGGAGTACCGTATCCTGGTACGAGTAGAAGCCGCAGTAGTAGAAGCCGCCGTTGGCGCGGCTGAAGCTGAGGGCGTGGGCGGGGCCGTCCGAGTACTCGGCCCAGGTGTTGCGAAAGTCGATGTTATACACGCGGAAGTTGATGCTGCCGAAGGGGGCGTCCGCGGGCACGGGGTAGCCCGTGGGGCCGGAGCCGGTGTAGCTGGCCTCGAGGGTGGGCGCGACGGTCAGCACGCTGGAGAAGACGTTGTCGACGGCCTTGCCGGTGCTGTCGTGGTTGGCCTGGGCCCAGGTGATAGTGACCTGGTTCTGGGCCGGGTCGGCGAGGCCGGCGGGCGAGGTCTGGCCGAGGAGGGTGACGGGGCCGGGCCGGGTGACGTTGAGCTGTTCGTGGTAGGAGCCAGCGCGGATGAGGATGACCTGGGAGGAGTTGTCGTGCGGGAGGGCGGCGATGGCGGCCTGCACGGTGGAATAGTGCGCGGCCGGGTCGGAGTTGGACACGATGAGCGTGCCGGGGGGACAGGAGCGCGGGTTCGTCTGGCAGGATTGGCGCCATTGCGGGTGTTGCGTGGGCGAGCCCAGCACGGCGGTGCTGAGGAACAGGCCCAGCAGCTGGATTGTTGTCTTCATCTTGGTGTTGGCGTCGGGGTTGACTGTCCTCCTTGGCTGTGGATGTTTCGCGTGGCACGCGTCTTATACTCCTGCTGCACGGAGAATCTCCCCGCAGGAGATGCGGAGATTGTCAATCGTCGAGCTTAGCCTGGATCTCGCTGAAGCCAATTCCTGGGGTAGCCAGTCATCGCGGAGAGCTGAGCTTGTCGCAAGACGCAGCCCGGCGAGGAGACGGAGAAATGGGACCGTGAGGCGGAGAATTTACTTCCGCCTGTCAACCACCACGCCGCGGTCAGGATCCGTCAATAAGAAGGCGTTGAGAGCAGCGTAGGGTGCGGCACATTGTTTGATGACCGCGTGAGGTTATTCAGTTGTCAGATTGCAGTATACATGATTCTCCGTACTCCGCAGAGCGGTGGATACAGCCACTGGTAGAGGTCAGCAACGGCGTATTCGTACTCGTCGAGCAGGTGGAGCGGCTTACCTCGGCCTCTATGGAATTAGTCCGAATGATTAGATGAGAAGACGGTGGGCTTAACGATGGCGGGTGTTTGTAGTCCGGAAAAGCGACGCGTCCCTGCCAAGAGACGGAGATTCAGGGGCTGAAGTGAACCATGGAAGCCCGTCCCATGGTTATCGCGGCAAATTTTTTCCTTCTAAACGAAATCTTATTATGCACTGAATTTCTTTGAACCCTTCATTGGACTAATTTACCACTATTAATGACATACATACATGTAAAGAAGAGAAAATTGACTCTATCAACTTAGAGACAAAGGTAATAAGAGAGAAAAAAAAAAGTCTATAATACGGGGTAAAAAGATTAGCTGGAAGCCAGCTCATGCATGTATGCGCGAAGTGATATCCAGATGTGGAAAATTAAGAAGGAAATGAGCGTAAGAGCGTTTACTCATCCTCTTCCACTTCGGCCTTGGCACCCAGGGTGTAGCGGCTCTTGCCGTGCTCATCAACCTCGTGCTCAATGGCAAGCTTGGAGAGCTGGGTGAGCATGTTCTCCAGCTTGGTGTCAGCCTTGGAGCGGTTCTTGCGGCCAAGGTTGTCCAGAGCGGGGATGATGGTGAGGAGGTAGTACACCACGGCAATGATGATGGTGACACCAATGGAGTAAGCCCAGATGACAACGACGGTGACAATGTCGACATCGCCGTTGACGGAGAACTCGGCATGAGAGGGAGGGCTGGTCTGCACGTAGTCGCCCGAAAGCCAGCCGAACACACAGAAGAGGGTGGCGATCACATCGACAACGAAGATGGCGCCAACCAGCTGCCACGAGGGCCAGGTCTTACCACCGCGGGTGACGAAGATGAGCCAGTTCTCGGTCAGGGACACCTCGAGGAAGAGAATCTCCTGAGGAGAACCGAAGTTCTGGATGATACCACCGTTGTTGAGGAACAGGGTGGCACGGATGATCCAGGTGGCGGCGGCAAGGAGGATACCAAGGACAACGGAGATGACCCAGATCTTGGGCAGCTGCCACTCGACGGGGCGGGCCTCGAAGTGGGCGTTATCGTAGGCAACGGCGATGGTGGCCAGATCAGCGAACAGGGCGATGAAGACGATCAGGTCGGCACGGATGGTCTCGTTGATGATGATCATGGAGGTGACCAGGTAGATCTCCAGGTGCAGACACAGGGCGATACGGTACTGAATGTAGGCCTTCATACGCTGGAAGATCTGACGGGCGAGCTTGATGGCATCGACAATGGTGGAGAGACCAGGGGCAAGGAAGACGATATCGGCAGCAGCCTGGGCAGCCTCGGTGGAACCCTCGACAGCGATACCGCAGTCAGCCTTCTTAAGAGAGGGAGCGTCGTTGACACCGTCACCAGTCATGGCAGTCAAGTGACCACGCTGCTGCAGCATCTCGACGACCTGGTACTTGTGCTCGGGGAACACCTCGGCGAAACCATCGGCCTTCTCGACCAGGTCGTACTGGGCGGAGCCAGCAAGACCACCGTGGATGAGACGCTCGGAGTCGTAGACCTTGGTGCTCAGGGCAAGCATCTTGCAAGTTTCCTTGGCAATGGCAATGGCGTCACCAGTAAGCATCTTGACCTGGAGACCCAGGTGCTGAGCCTCGGCGATGGTGTGGGCAGTGTCCTCACGAGGGGGGTCGAACATGGGGTACATGCCCAGAAGCTGCCAGGGCTCACCCTCCTTCTGGACGGCAACACCAAGGGAACGGAAACCACGGCGAGCGAACTCAGTAGCCTTGTCACGGAACTTCTGAGCCTCCTCCTCGGAGCACTGGGACATGTTCAGGATAGCCTTGGGAGCACCCTTGGCGCAGACGTAGCGGACGCCGTCGCAGGTACAGACGGTAGTAATACGCTTGGAGACGGGGTCGAAAGGAGTGTACTTCTCGGTAACCCAGTTACGAGAGAGGATTTCACGGGCCTTGGGGTAGCGGCGGAGGGTAAGGATCGTGACCTTATCGATGGGGTCGAGGTTCTTCACGTTGTGGTTCGAAGCAATGGCGGCAACAGCCATCATCCAGTTGACATCGACACCCTCGTTGACGTAGGGCTCACGGATGGAGAGCTGGTTAGCGGTGAGGGTACCAGTCTTGTCGGAGCACAGAATGTCGACACCAGCAAGAGACTCAATGGCGGTGAGCTTCTGGACGATAGCCTTCTGCTCGGCGAGGTAGGCGGCACCGACGGCGAGGGTGGTGGTGGTGACGACGGGAAGACCGACGGGGACACCAATGATCAGGAGAATCAGGGTGTAGCGGAGCAGGACGTTCTCGGAGTCCTCAGGGGTAGCGATCTTCAGGTGACGGTAGAAACCACCGATCCAGGCGGCGACAATCCAGAACATAACCAGAACCAGGAGACTGGTACCAATGTTGTCCATGACAGCCTTGAAGTGACCCGAGTCGTTGGCACCCTGGACGAGAGCAGCGGTCTTACCGACGAAGGACTGGCGAGCGGTAGCGGTGACGATGGCGTAGGCCTTACCACGCTTGCAACCGGTGGTGTAGTAGCAAGTGTCGGCCATGTACTTGTCGACGGCAAGAGACTCACCAGTGATGGCGGACTGGTCAACAGCGACCAGGGACACACCAGCACGGGCCTCGATACCACCATCGTCCTCCTCGTCCTCCTTCTCCTTCAGAGTGTCATCACCAGCGGTGGCGAGGTACTCCTTGTAGGTCTCGAAGTTCTCGGGCTTGTCGTAGTCACAGATGAGGCGGACATCGGCGGGGACGACGGTACCTTCCTCGATCACGACGATATCACCAGTCACGAGCTCACGAGCGAGGATCTCCTGCTCCTGACCATCACGAACCACAATAGCCTTCATAGCAATATCACCCTTGAGCGAAGCGACGACATCGGCGGCCTGCTTCTCCTGGTACCAACCAACGACAGCGTTAAGCATCAGAATACCAATGATGACACCGAAATCGATCCAGTCACGAAGACCAGCAGCGAGAAGGACAGCGAGTTCCATAACTGGAGGGAGTTAGTTTTGGATTCGTATCGTCGACCCGCCGAGTCACTGGAAGCACTCACCATAAAGAATGGGACCACGGAAGTAACCAATGAACTGAATGAAGAAGTTGGTCTTCTCAGTGGTCAGTTCGTTGTAACCGGTACGCTTGCGACGAGGCTCAATGTCGGAGGAGCGCAGACCCTGGCGCATGTCGGTCTCGAGCCACTCGTCGGGGCAGACGAAGCCGGATTCGACGCCATCACCAGCCTTGCGCCAGAAAGCATACCACGGCTTCTTGCCCTCCTTCTTAGCGCTCATAGCACCAGCAGAAGAGGTCGAGCCGCGACGCTTGGTCTGGGCAGTGGAGATGTAGCGGTTGAGCGCGGTGTACTCATCAAGAGCACCGCCCTCGTTCACATCAGGACGAGAATGGTCACCATTCTCCACGTCGGGAGCATAGGAGATCCTCCGCTCCGCCATTGTTGCTTCGGCTCACAAAGCCTTTAGGGACCCAACGATATGAGCGGATGCAAAGAAAATGGCAGGAATGGCAAGAGTCGGAATTCCTATGAAGAGAGAAAAAGAAAGAGAAGAGAGAGGGAAAAGAGAGGCGAGGGGTGGGTGGGAGAATGAAGGTCTTTAATATGTTTTGCTGGGGGGGGGAGGGCAGAGGGAGGGTGGAGGGCGAGAGTGGGAAGAGGACTGGATCCAACGAGACCCAGTTTATGGGGGAGGAAGCAGGCCCGGGACTGGTACAAACAGTGATTTTTTTTTTATTTTTTTCATATTTTTTATTTTTCTCTTTTTGTCATTTTTTTTATTACCCTTTCCTTCGGTCCTAAGCTACAACGGGCGACCTTCCCTGTGCGTAAACCCACTTTTTTTCTTTTTAAGAAATTTTTTTTTCCCTCTCGTCCTGCACCCGGCCACCACACAGAACCAAAAGGCAAAAAATAAAAAGTGGGTCCAGGGAAAAAAAAAAAACAAAACCAAAAAAACAAACCAGGAACTAAACTAACTCCATCCGCGCTAACTTTATTCGGGAAGGGTTTGTTTTCATTTATTATGATGATTTTTTTTCTCTCTTACACCCACGCACTCGCCCTTCCCCTTCCGGTCTAGGGTCGCCTCCGGGAATTACCTCTTTGCAGTATTATCATCCTCCATCCTCCTCACTACCCGGCAGAACTGTGCCGAGTTCGCCCCCCCTCTTTTCTCCATCCTCTCCCATCCCACGGTCCGGTGAGGGTTGCGCGGTCTGGGGGAATTGCGCGGATTACCGTCGCATACGGTGCTAGCCGTCTTCTCAGCGCATCTGGCTCGGTCTTGAGCGTACGGGGTGGTTAGATACCTGGCCGATGGGCCGCTTCCGCTTCTCAAGGTCTTCCGTGTCTGGTAATCGTGGACGATAGCCTTAGTCAGAGGGGGCTGTCCGCAAAGCTGCCGCGTGCGGTGGCTCTCGTTAATTTTCCCGTCGGTCGCCTCGTTTACTATGCGCGATTTTCTTTCCGTCCTGCGACAAGACTATCGTCAAATTGGAGGTGGTGGTTCTTTCTGGTCTCTTTGTAATTATTATCCCGTTCTATCCAAATGGCTCATGGCTCATGGCTCGATCCACGAAATGAAACCGCTGGTGCGGTGAAGGACAAGAAAAGGACAAGACCGATGGTGTATCAACGCCTGACATGAGTCCCTTGCAGCATATCTGGTGGGTGAATAGTCTGAATGGTCCCAATGAATGTATAAGTATCTGGGATGAATGCTGGTCAATCAGATCCCAGGTATTCAACTCCCCATAGTAACCGTACTATAATTAACAGAGATCTCTCATTCCGGATAGCATTATTCTCCAAATCACCGTTCTCTTCTGCTGCTCCGACATTCCAGGCGTTGCCCCGTACCACACTCCATTCTGGGGACCACGAGCCAACGGGAACGCAAGGGGGAGTCACTGCAGCTCGTTCTTTTCCGGAGTATATCCTCTCGGAGTAGGTATAGTAGTACATAGGTAGGGATTCGGTTGTATCCGATCTATCGGTACAATGGTGACTCTACCAGATGATGTCAATTCGATCTCTGGCGATTCTGCCGTTCCAACGTTCTGACGCTCGACGGAAATGACCTGTTTCATAGAATCGCTCTCCACGGGCCGAGTTATCCAGTAGTCGTGGGCAGATTGTGATTACACGCGGTGGGATTATGTCATCGCTGTCGGGTTCCTTCGTTATCGACGACAATCCTCATTATTCGTATCCACGCACTTTTCCTCCCTCCACGCACCTTTCCACGACTAGTACTCCATCGGTAGTAGTTAGTACTATAGTAGTACTACGGAGTAAGTATGCGAGTCGATCGTCTCCCAGCCTCCAGCGTAATAATGCCACTCGACTGGCTCTCTCTCCGGCTTCTTCCCCCTCCACCCCTCCTTATTCTCGCACCCACCACCAATGACCACCAGGGCTTGTCCGGATTGAGTTTCGTGCCGTGCGGTCTCGTGGAGAGAGAGAATAATGGAAGAGCAGAGAGGGCCAGCGTCATTTCGTCTGACTGGGTGAGACCATCTCCGCCAACTAGTCGGTCCTGTGCTCCACGCTCTCCATGCTTCTCATTATTATTATGCGATTCTTATTAGCATAGACGTCGCGCAGTCCCGCTCGTCCTGACCAGCTCTCCAGCGGAGGAGCTCCTAGCTCAGGAGCTGTACGGAGACACTATGGAGTAACTCGGTCGACATGAGTCGGTCTGGACTGATGATCTCTGACCCCGTCTGGAAGTGAGGCTTGCATCGCATTTGCCTTGCACGTTGCGACATTTACTACACATTCCCACCTGGTTGACAGCGCATGGCCACGGACAAAAGTACTCGGACATTTCCCAGTACTCCGTATACTTACCTACTATCCCGACAGACGAGTCGTAAAGCATCATTACGACATGGCGTTCTTCGGGCCAATCGTCCCCCAGCCCCGTGCAGCCCGGTCGTCATTATGATCACAACGGCAAAGCCGATCAGACGGAATCCCCCAGAACAGTTAGTTAGATTGGTAGGGCATGGAGTCCATGTGCCGTCTGAGGTAGTACGACTTGCCCACTCAGTGTGTGCGCTGCCTGCAACGCATTCCATTGCCATTGACTTTCCTTTCTTTACTGCTACTTTTTTTACTTTTTTTGACCCGGCGGTCTGAACGATCTCCCTCGTGTGCGATCGGCTGACTCCTCCACCACCGGTCGCATCGTCAATGGTCAACAGGGCATCTCAATGTCGGGCGGCGTCTCAAGCTTCGTCGCGCAGAAGGCTTGTCTGGATTACGATTACGATGTGCGCGCATCGTGGACGCTGCACAGGTCTCCGGTGAAGACATTGGGTTTCCGGCGCTCCAAACACGAGTGGTTGCATGGATGATGCGTTGGACGGAGTATAAACCAGAAAGAAGAAAAACACAAAGCATCTCCCCCGATCTGACTCTGGCCTTTCCCTTTTCGCGGCGTTCTTTATTCTTCTTCAGCCCAATCCCTACGACCGCCGAGCCTGATCTTGCATCCTTCCCTCCCATCCCCGGATTCACGCTCCCACCGCCCATCACATGCGGTCGACCGGTCGGTCGGTCGCGGCGACTATCGAATCCAAGAAAATAGCGACAGCCCATCCACCGCCGGGCGGTTTTCGCGGCGGCGTTGGAAGGATGCGATAAGAATTGAGGGATATTGATGGCGACCGTCTCGGCCTCGTCTCTGCCAGGGCTCCCCGAACAGGCGAACCTAAAGGAGAGGTCCGAGTCGTGTGCGCCTCCGATGATTCCCGTCAGTCCTGGCTAGCGCAGGCTGGGCCGGGCGCGTCCGTGCTGGGATGTAGGGCGCTTTACGCGGTAAGCACACCGGGATTGTGTTTGATGCATCGGACAGACGGGACGAGTCGCGTGTCGACTCGAAGGATACACTCCGTACGGAGTACCTTCACTGTGTCTGCTTCATGACTCGGGCGACTGTGACCCTACTCCTACCTTACGCTACATCCTCTGGCGGCCCCGTGCGCGGTCCTGCGAGCCAATCACCCGCGCCGGGGGAGCGATCAATTCCGGGGATTCTTTCGCTCAGGGGGTGTATGGAGTACGTCAGCCAAGACTTAGTTTGATCCTCTACGGGGTACACGGGTAGATAGGATCTCCTCCGCCATAGTAATGATGTAGAATGTCTATACGGAGTGCTCTTTACTCCGTACAGAGTAGTAGTTATTAGGTACAGAATACTCAACGGCCAAATGACGCTGACTACCCACCGGACAAATGCGACCCCAACCATGTGGAGTCCAGACGCTCCCGCGGTACAGAATATACATCGAACCCGGGGACCGTGGAACGGCCGGGTAACCGGTACGGAGGTCGCACCAGAGGAGTCCTGCAGCAGACCCTGACGAGCCTTACGGGTGTCAGTACTATAGTCAGCCTGCATGCCTTCACCCGTCCATTGTCCATGTATCGGAGGGTTGGTGTGTCAGGGCATTTACCTAGTAGTACGGAGTACCACCGACGGCCATAGGGCAACAATGAATACGAGCAACGTCGAGAACGGGACGAAAATGCCTCACGGCGATAAGATGCATAATATCGACATTATATCTCGCAGATACTCGGCCAAGTCGCAAGCTAAGAGCCCTACAGGATGGCTACTGGCTCCAGTCGCCCTTGGTATTGCCACCACCACGGCCACCAGCACACCGCATGCATCGTGGAGAGAGGGACAAAGAGGGGAAGCGATGGAGACCGGCCGACCAGTCACCCAACGCTGCCGCATTTGACCCTGTTCTGGGCGTTTTCTAGAAGGCCTATCGAACGGAACGAGGGGTTTAGGTGCATGGCCTACGTTTCCGATTTCTTTTCTTTTCTTTTCTAGAAAGATACGAACATGTTTGCCATCATACTCCGTCTTTTCCGACAGCAGCTGTGATGCCATCTACGGTCGGAAATCGGGGCGTCGGCGAGGGACTAGCCAGAGGAGGGTATGACGTCGTAGGATTGTCGGATTGTCCGTCCGAGGAGATATCGTCCGACAGAAGGATGAAGAGGGGAAAAAAAAAAAAAAGAAAAGAAAAGAAAAAGAAAATCAAAGGCCGGGTAAATTGGTCGGGAAAGCGTCCGCCCCATTGCTGATACCGCGTCGAATAATAGGCGTTAGTCATAGAATTGACTGTAACAGCCGAGTGAGTGGCAGGAAGGGAATACCCCAATGGGGTTAAGGGGATGACTAAGGGGACGCCCGTTTTGGGCAGGTGAGCGAGATCTTGCCCGATTCGGTATGCGCTAGCCCGATTGGGTTCTTCACTTTGGTAGGGTTAACCCTTCTACTAACTGGTAGGAGTATATTCTCGATGCTGGATAATTACCTGGATAGGTAGATAAGGACCTACTCCGTAGATGCTCCGTCCTCTTCGCTCTGGTAGACTACTCCGTAAGTAGATAACGACTCCAAGAACGCATGCAACTGCGATGGTACCTACAGTAGTGAGCTCGTAGTCGAGGGACGGACGGGGCGACTAACGCAAACCGGCGCCAACTCCCTCTAGAGACATTCCACTCACCGGGGCGCAGGATGGCGCCGGGCTAATCACAAGCAGCAAATCCCCAGTCCGCCCCCCACCGGACGATCGCCCGTCGCCAAGCTGTCTCATCGAGGATCGGGTGAGGGATTTTCTCTGCTGGCCGAGGGTATTCTGCTTATCCCCGAAGAATACTAGCCCGGAGCAATAAGATGAGGTCTGTACGAGAACGAAGACGAGTCCTCGAATCAGGTCGGAGGCTAGCTGTCGACCGTTCTTGGTCGTCCGAGCGGTTCCATCACCGGCCCTAAATCCCTAAATACGCTTAATATCGCTGAAAATCACTCATACTAGTTACTACTCCGTACTAAGGTACTACGGACAGACCTGCCACCTGGCCGAGGACGATGACGCCAATCTGCATCCCACAGCGATAAGCAGTGTTGCTAGCCCCATGCCATTGGCTTGTCTGCCTCGGTCGAACCCCGACTCGATTCGGCGGACGTGCTTGACGGAGTAGATACGCCTCGACATGCGGAGGTCGGTCTGGATCGGCTATTCGGCACTGGCATTGAAAGGCGACTTCCCAGAGGGGAATCGCAATGAAGTCCATAATATGACACCTGACGCAACTAGACACCTTGGAAGCCGATTCTGGATCGGCCGGACAAGGCCTCGTCTAATTCTTTCGGCAACGTGTCGCCATCGGTCGCCATCGGTCGCGCGAGTCGGTCTCGTCGCATCGGGCCCAACCCGGGATTCGGCACGTTGCCGCCGTCTGGTTGCGCGCGTTCCACGGGTGGGATGACGCACCTCGGGTATGTTCCATGGTTACGAGGTGCCAGAATTTTCTTTGTTTTCGACAGAGTATGATCCCTGTGGGCGTACGGCTCAACCCATACATAGTTTGATGTACATTCATACTTATACTAGTACTTATGCTCGGTAGTTATGTAGATACTCGTACGGATTACTCCTCCGACCATTCGCCAAGAATACCAGCGTGCAGACCCTGCCAAGGATCTTCTACATGGATCAGATCAAGGGGGTACGATACGAGCATGATAGCCTAGCCTCCTTGCTTGATGGAAGGTTCGCTCGTCCGGCCCCAGCCCGAATTATTATCATTATCCCGAGGCGCATCATACAGTAGTAGACAGAATGATACGCAGGGTCTTCGCCTGCAGGAAGCCTGTCGAATTGTCCGGTGTTCAGTCCGTCATGCATCCCTCGAGGGAAGGTCTGTCGACACCGACAGGATACCAAACGCTCGATCGACGAGTTCGGGGCCACACTATTGCCCCAAAGTGTAGATCGCTATCTGGAGAACTGCAGCCGATGATGGTCACCCCATGATGTCAATGCAGACGGGGTATACCATCACCAGCCTCCACGCAATCCGAGCATCCTTCGAGATACACCTCTGCCTAACTACATCAGAACCAATTGACAATTGAAGATAGTGACTGCCTACTGCGTGCGTACGAATTCGTGGACGACCGTCAGGATCGACAGCGCATATCAGGGGCTGTGAAGCGCCAAGAAATACCCCTCTGAGGTGCTATTCATAGTAGGACGGAGTATCACGACGATTGCAGACGACAGTCCGATGATGGACACTCCTCTATGACGCAGTCATCCACATTACAGTCGATCTGTGAGGTGATACCCTCAATCAAAAAGCCGAGGAATGAGGAATGACTCCCCCGCCAAGCCCAATGGATGTGCACCCTCAGCAAGGGGACTAGACTGTTCGTCTTGGCCTCATCCCCTTTTCCTGTCCGTCCTGCTCTGCCAATGACGGGCGGATGCGTATTGTTGCTCAATATCCGGGGGATCAGAGGTGCTTGTCGCCAGACCTACCAGAGAAGACCAAATTTGCGTCTCTTGGCTTTGCACAATCCTACTGTATGTATTGTACGTAGATAGTGCGCTATTGATGGTAGTGTCCCACCGCCAAAGTTATACGCCCCTGTACGGAGTAGCTACCGACTACTCTGACACCATCAAGAAACAAGAACGACAAGACAATAGCCGCAAACCTCGTTGCTTTTCCCGGTCCTTAGACTCGTTTCGCCTGGATCTGATTTGCTTCCTTCCGCGCACGCACACGGCAGGTTCATGCATGTATGACTTTGACAACGACCAGCACTCCGATAAGCCACCTCCTCCCATCCAGTCCCCTTTCCCGTCCACGTCTCCCGTCCAGCCGGACGCTCTGCGCCAAGCCCCGGTCTGCATTCCTCCCTCTATTATTGTCTTGGCGGGGTGGTGCAGACGAAACTACCGTGTCAAGTGCACTGCCTCGTTGAGGGTATCACAGAGTCTATCTTCGCTCCGGGGTCGCATTGGGCGCGACGGGCTGGGGTTGCGGGGAGATCGACCGATCAGCTGTTTCTTGTCCGTTTCGTAGACTTGGCGACATCGTTTGCTTTGTTGGCGGTTGAGATAGAGGTTGCCTGGTGCTATTTTTGCATCACTACTGTAGATGCTATGGAGTACTATCTAGGTGTGCATGCAGAGGGGCTGTGTAAGGACCATTGTTGTCTTGACATACGGACAGAGACACCACCTGGCAGGACGATGAGCCGGATAGCGAGCGTTACACGGCAGTATTACATCAGTCGGTCTCGTCGTCCGGCTTTTTGTTTCAACTCTGCAGGTAGGATCGTCGCTGCATATTTGTTGCGACAAGGGATCTTGGCAGCCCGATGGAAGGAGTAGAGTATGTGGTGCGGCATGCCGCCCAAAGGGTTAGAATTCATCTATCTGTGTCAGATTGTCTTGTTTGTATGTCTGGGCATTGGAAGATATGACTGGTGGTATTGTTCTATGTTATCGTCAATTATTGCTGATTGTGATCTCCATTGAGTTATATATTGCAGTGACACTGCTATTGGGGTGATTATGACCATCACTATTACTCATATCCATTCGTCATAGAACTGATACGTATCTAATAACTACCTAGGTACTGTAGAGGGTATCCTTATGGCAGAGCGTGCTTAGAATCGACGCTCTACATTAGACTAGACTGGACCATACGTATAGAACCACTGCTCTACACTTAGGCTATTCACATCAGAACGTAATCCTCACTCCCACAGTGCACGGCACCAACGACCCAGGCATACTCTTCTCAAGAGCAAACTTCGCCCTCCACCCCGTACAATGTCCCGGAAGCAGCACCGCCGGGTCGAGCTTCTTCAAGTCGCGCACCGTACTCTCCACGAGCGCCGCATCCCCGTTGGCAAGATGGAACCCCCCAACAACCGCATATAGCGGCACCGCACCCTTCAGCATATCGACCGCATGGCGCGCGCAATTGACAACGCCAGCATGGCTGCACCCGGAGAACACCACAATCCCCCGATCTAGCGTCAGTCAGCATACATCACCACTTATACAAGACCATCAAAGCAGTCACGCGGGCAAACATACCTTTCAAATTACACATCAAGAACCTCTCATCCATAATCAGCTCATCCGACACCCAATCCCCGGTCTTAGGATCAAACCGCATCGCGCCCCGGGCCCCAACCTCATACCCCGTCCGCCGCGGAATCTCCCCCGAGACAAGGAAGAAGTCGTCCAGCACCGTGTGCGGCTCATCGTACAGCGTCACCGCGCCCCCAGCCTCCACGATCTCCTCCAACGTCGGATCCGCCTGCAGTGACACGATCGTCTCGCCGAACGCGATCCCCCGGTACGCCGGCCGGTCGGGATGCAGGTCCACGGGCAGCTTTTCCGGACAGCCCTTCGCCCGTTTGGCGGCCGTGATCATCTGCACTGCCCGCGTGAGGCCCGCCTAGATCTATATCAGCGGCGTGTCCTCCGCAGCGACCTGAGCTGCATACCTGAATGGTCGCGATGCCAGTGCGACAGCTGCACCATCTCGACAGCCGCCAGATCCGGCCGCAGCCGGGACACATTACGCTCCCATGCGTCGGGCTCCGGGCCCGCGTCGAAGAGGATCGAATGGCGTGTGTCGCCTTTTGTGGCCGTCTGCTTTGCGTTAGTATGGATGTATAGCGGGGTGTCTGGTAACAGGGAGAGGGAAGGGGAAGGGGCTCGTACGATGAGGATGGAGAGCCCATGCGCCGAGCAGCATATATCCTCCATGCGCAGCTCTTTGCGCGCGTCGCCGCGGTCGTCGATGTCGTCCGGGGAATTTGCAGCTATCGTGTTCAGCAACCCGGATATCTGCACTGTGTCCGGGGCTGCGGGGGAGATGGGGTCGAGCTCGTTGTCGATGATGACGAGCGCCTCGAGGGAGTCGACCTCTACGAGGTTGAGGTCTGTCATGCTGGGCTGGATGTTACATGAGTTGGTTTGTGGAGTATACGTGCTGTTGGTCTGACGGTTGGAGTGAGGTGACGTCGTTGGTTCCTTAGGCAGCGGATGTGGTTCCTGAATTGTCAGGCAGAAACTGGCATCAAAGAAGCAGCGTCAATTTACTACCTGGTAGTACAGTCTAATTTCTCTGAGAAGACCGTTCTAGGTATAGAATGTTCTATGGATCATTTCTCTGTAATTGTTGTCGGAAACAGACCAATTGGATGGAGGACAGTATACCTCACTGTAGCGATATATATCTGGTTCTTAACGAACCTCCACATGTCCTGCAAGAGTTCCAAGCATGATCCTCGAAGGACTGGCCTATATCCATCTCCCAAACCTGAAGCCTTGAGTAGTGGATTCATTCACTGTCCTGCATTTCCTGGCGGGCTTGTTTGAGGGAGGGACAGCATAGACGGAAGAGTTTGAAGAAACTACCATCTGAACAAAACAGAGCTGCCAGTGAGGGCGTCGAAATGAATACGGAGTGCTTGACGCAGAGATACGATACTATCTACCTACCTAAAGGCCAAGTAGTGAGTCTGGTCAGTGAAGGAATACAGTATTCATTGCTCCTAACATCTATTCATTGTTGCCCCATCCTCTCCCTTTTATCTCTTGTCTTCTCTCCCACCTCCTCCCCTCTCCTCATCGCCATTTAATCCCCTCTGGAGCGGGCCTCTACTCCACCACCCGCCATCTGCTGGTACAAAGAAGGCATGTATATCGTCACCTAAGCGGAAGGAGGATCCAACACGGAGAATTAGGCCTATCAACATGCCGCTGAAGAGACCTTACGCAGGATGGCTATAATGTGATCCTCAGTCAGTGTCTGATGGAATAACACTATCCGGGGTCTGTCTATGGTCTCTCAGGACACTGTGCGGTCTATGGCCACCCAAACCGAGGGTACACTCCTCTCAAACTTTGCGCACGCGAAGAAATAGCGTGGAACGAAGATACCACTATTACCAAACAGCGCCGAGGTACTATACAGGTCCTCATACCTTAGTATAGCCAAGTAGATTCGGTCGTCAATACCATGTGCATAGCCCCGGACCACAACTCCATGTGGAATTGACGGAGTGCCGTACGATGCAAAATGGCTAGACGCGCTGCACACACACCTGCTCTGGCCAGCTGGAAGCTGCGCTGGGTCGTGTTGATGTTCTTACATATGACGGGGGTCGGGTTTCGCACGACTGTCGCGGTGATGACGGCCGACGAACGAGCCCAGGCAGCGAACGCCTTCAACTCGGAAGACAGTGGCGTCGTGGTCCTGGTAACGAGCTTTGCCTCGGGGGGCGTCGGGCTCAACGTGCATGACTGCTGTTCCAGCGCGATCTTTGTGGAGCCACCGCCTGGATCAACGCCGCCTGCAGAAAGTCTGGATCCTGCATCAGACAGAGAGTTTCGATGCGTACGTGCAAAACAACAACCTGCGCAAAGCATTACCGCAGATCGCGCAGTTCGGCTTCTCGAATACAACGCAGACAAGACGCCGATAACGATAGAATGGCACTGGCAGCCAACGAGTCCAGCTGATCGCCATATAGCTGTCAATACCACCTCGCCGTCGTTGAGGAATCTGGTCCGTCATCTATCACCCACTCGAGTGGCGTCCCTATTTTTTCGGGAGATTGCTGGTGACCCAGCCGCCTTCATAAGGGCGTGTGAGGTCTGACGACAGGTTCATCTTCCGCACCGAAGACCCTAAAAGCATGTCGCTTCCGTCGAAAGAGTTCCTGGACATGCAGTTCATGCTGACCAGAATCGCCAACCTTGCGGGGATGAGGAGCTCACAAGCTTGGTGGAGTACTTCGACAACTGGCAGCATGGGATCAGTTTGGGAACCTTATGACGAGAAAGCGAGGTTGTGTCGGATGACCCTGAATTCGAAACTTGAGAAGAGGTCAAGATGGGTGTGTCCACAGAGATGGAGCAGGAATGTCAACCCAAATGGCCATTACACTACCAAACATTACACTACCAAAAAAGGAGCTGCAGCGACGAACTACGGGCTCCTGCATCCGCGGCGGTTTCTGGCGCTCGCCCAAGGCGGCCATCTCAGTACCCGGGCGGGGGTTTACGCCTTACCGGCCATCATGCGACAGATCGCGCTCGCCTGAAAGATGGGTTCGTGGATTGACGAGTCGGCGTCGTGGCTCGGGCGCATTGGGGACGACATCTCGCCCATGCAAGTGACATCGATTGATCTGCGATACCCGGGTCGACTGCAGGCGCAGCATGATGCCAGGTTCCTGAGGTGTCGTATATGTAGCTTGACAGCTATACTAGATTCTAGATCCTATGCAACTGGGATACTGGTTCTCTCTTCCTTATTGGTGCCTGCAAACTACTCTAGGAAATCCAGAGCAGAACTAATCTAGATAGTAATAGTCAATTCAAATCCTCCTGTTAACTTGAAATGACGCTTTATATCGTTACTGACCATATAAGGAATGCATCGGATAACTCCTACTGTATTCCCCACCACAGCAGTGAACCCTACGTTAATATCTATCCTATCCTAGGATAAGATATTCCCGACGCTGTAAGAACATGAGAGCATTAGCTGACATCTACATCTCCAGCCCGCAAAGACATATCACCTTTATCACATCCTTCTCTATCTTAAATCAAAATCTATCCTGCAGAGTGAAGCATATATATACAGTCCACTGTTTGTACATACTCAAATGACAGATGAAATCATCTCCCGTCAATCCATGACATCGGTCTCAACCTCCTCCTTTATGTGCATTGCCAATGCCGAGCCCGAACTAGGCTCGAACTCCTCTTTGATATGCGTCCCTGGTGAGGAGCCCGGACCGCTAGGGAAGGGATGGGCTCTCGTCCTGGAGCCTCCAGGACTCATGGCATCGTCTTGAGCCTCTCGTTTGATACCCGCGCCGGGTCCCAAGCCCGATGACGGGCGTCGCTGATTTGCCCCAGTCTCTCTGAGGACTTCCGAGCCCACAATAGCATCTCCAGACCCGCGGATCCTACCACCAGATCCAAGGCCTGGAGTCCTGGGACTGGCATCCAGCCGCCCTTGTTGCCTCGTTTCTGTCTCGACAAACGTCCTATGCGGCCGTTCTCCCACTGGATAAGAACCCCTTTCAAGGGCTGACATCAATGTCTCTATCCTGTCTGTATACTCTCTTCCCAACCTGAGAGTTAATGGTCCGCGACCAAAGTCTGCTACGTGACCCTTGGCTCGTGCTTTTCTGAAGAACCAGTCGACCCGCTTTGCTCGGTTGTCCTCGAAAGTCTTGGCGAAAATGACTGTATATGATGGACCCATAAATGAAGCGGCTATCTTGCAGTCAGTGCGGTTATTCTGGAGTTTCCGGGCTAGATGTCCTTCTCGCTGGCGGTCCACACTCAAGTCGAAAACACGTCGGGTGGGGTCTCCGAGGAAGTCATTGAGCCTTTCGCAGTCATGACAGTGACATCTCACCGGCTGTCGAACAAGGCTGGTCTCTTGGATTGGCTGTCTGCCGACATAGATATTGATGTAGGCTGCCAGGATCGAGGTGATAATCCGCCGCATCTCAGGCCCGCATTCTCGCGGTGGTCTCTGGGCTAAGCTCTTCGATGTGGGAGGCGAGAGCGCGTAGGAAGGGCAGCCAGAGACTATGGAACTGTGATGGATCGAGGTTTGCAGAGCCTGCCTTGATTTTCAAGGAAAGTGTCCTAAGGAGGATATTGCTGGGTTCGATGAACATTAGCCCTTCGATCAAGTCTACCAGGAGGTCATGCACCGATAGCTTTGGGCCCTGTGCATATTCATTATCAAAGTACGGGGGTTGTCGCATGACCACTGCATATGCAGGACCATCGCTCTCCAGAGCAGAAATGTCGAGTGCCTCAATAGATTTCTCGGCAAGACTTGCGTACATGTCGGAGCTTTCTTCAGAAAATCCGCCGCCTATTGTGTACTGGAGTAGCCCGGCCATAAAACCAAGGATGAAAGGAAACTCCTGCAGCTTGCTCTCCACTAGAGGCTCAAAACTAGGACAATGTCAGCTTATAGGCTCTATCAATGCGAGCAGAGAACGCACTGAGTTGCCAGGTAGTCAAAGTCACGATATTCCACAATAATGTCAGCTAATTCGTATCCGTTCTGTTGAGTCGATTTCTGCGAGGAACCAATGGGGGTTGATGACACCGCATGGTAGACCATGTGTAGCCAGCTCCGAACTTCGTCCGATATTGGCTCAGTGGGACGAACGAGGCGCACAATCGATTGCAATCGGGTTTTTCGTGTTGGTATAGCCATCACTGCATTTAAAAAGCTGCACAATAAGCATCATGAAAAAACCCAAGGGATAGGTGCGTACCCTCTCTTGAAACAATTAAACGGCACATCCCCTGTGGCAACCCGTTCCCTGGCCCATTGAAAAAATTGAGGAGAAGGATGCCATCCTCTCTTGCCAGCAGCATGTTCGAAGAACTCTTGGTCTTTCCAATGTAAAGCAGCCTTGAAGACATTGTCCAAGACGTCCCGGCTTTCTTCACTCCTATGCTCCCAGTTCAGGGCCCAGGCCATCTAACAAACGGTTTTCAGAGTATTGAACGAAGATTGGCGCCCGGGGGCTGCATTGAGGACCTGGCAAGGAAATCAATGATGTATCCGATGTTATCCGAATAGGTCATCGACGGAGACATGTCTGGTAGCATCACAAATGACGCGACGTAATCCTTGGGCATCAGTGCAACAGCCTATCGCGATATTAATCGACAAGTCCTTCGGAATACTTCCGTTGTTGACTTACCGCTATCTCATATCGGTGTAACAGTTTCGCTCCCTATCATGCCAACTCCAATTAGCATTCCTAGTTTGGGATACGAAGCACATAGACGTACACGTCCGCTCTGATAGGATAAAGCGTCCTGATGTTTTGGTTCGATATGGTTTAAGCGGTCTTTTGATAGAATTTCTTCTTCGTCGATGAACACCCCGCACGCAACTTGCCGACCATCCAATTCAACCAAGTCACGAATCTTGTAATAGATATCGCGAGCTTCGTCAAGTGGATAGATTCTTTTCGAGCCGAAGAAACGGTCGGTGGAGCAAGTTCCTTCCGTTTCCTTTTCGAGAATGGCCAGGAATATGTCCATATCTAGCTCCGACGCGAGCTGTCTCAGGGCTTGGACACGACTCATATCATTATTCTTCAGGGTTTCGAGAGTGAACTTGTCCTCCGGGTACTCATGGTCGAGCGTGTAGTAAACAGCGGCCGACTTTCGGGTAGCCTGGAGCCATCCTTCGAGTGCATCGCGGAGTATACCAATCTCAGGTCCCTGAACAATACCAAATGACGGACGAGGCATCGAAGGATCCACACTAAGGTTATATGCAAGGACGCATCGACATCCTGAAGTAATGCAGCGAACCTCGTGAGAAACACCTGAATACCAACAAACATACGATTGTGTCCCCCCGAGGATAGGTAAGGATTTCTTCTTGCAACGATGCTTCACAGACACGGCGCCTCCTTTGTGGGGAGAAGGGAGGACGATGAGCAAAGTGCCAAACGTTCCAGAAGAGTTTTCACCGCTGTTGTGCGGGATGGTTCGTTAGCGGTCACCGAGTATCTGCTTCTGAGGAACGGACGTACTCTTTATGACGCTTGGACATTGCGTTTGTGTCGTATATCAGCATCTTGTGCAGTGTCGCTGCAATCGGTGCCTTGATGCCCAGGTCCTGAGCCACGCGAGCGCAACACGACTCTACATAAGCCCCCCAGCCAGAGTTTCGTATCATATGTCGCTGGATGAGCCTTCGAGATTAATTGGCGTCCTTGTGTCCTTTTCAAGGGCAGCGGAATCGTGCCGACATCCTGAAGGTAGATCTCTGGGTCGAGAAACGGCAAAACACCGCCTGACGCAAAGCTACCAGTGGACTGAAGCCTATTGAGAGCCGTTAGAAGCTTACAATTGGCGTCCTTTACGCGGCTTTCGTCGATGTCACGTTCGGGTGTGAAACCCGTGCAACGCGGGTACACGTCCACATTGAAGTGAGGGAGGCCCTCTTCTGAGTCCATTGCTGCGTGCTCAAACAGCAATAGCAGATTCCATCAAAGGGGTTAATATTCTAAATTGTAGCGATATCGTGCAATCGAAGTACGGGGAGTAGCTGGTTTGACGCGTCGCGACAGACACGCTCTAACCTAAAAAGGTAACTAGATAGATTATGATCATGAGTCAGCAATTTGCATAACCTAGTTATTAATTCACTCAGGAGTATGTAAAGAGCCTCATGTCTTCTACACGGCTAGCTACCCAGTTCATGAGGCCACTTAGCTCTTTCCTATCATTAAGAATAACAGGTTGAGGGGCATGTTCCAGGTCTTCCGATTCGAACAGCAATGACGATTCTCAATAAGGAGAGGATCTCATGGCTGTGCTCATGTGGATGCTCGAAGTCCCTTCTACAGATGAGAGATCCAAGTTGACACGAGCCCCCCACGGCCGGGCGATGCAGAGCGGCTATGAATGCCAACACACCAATTTTTTTTTGCAGGCTGATACCCTGTAGTGCGGTGACTTACATGAGGCTCTGCTGGAACGCAGCCTCGTCTACGTACAAGGCTGCACGGGACTAGTCAGTTCAAACATTAGGTGACATTCCCCCGCTCCCAGTCGATATTCCATCTCGTTATCCAACAGAAGCCCACGCCATATTGCTCATTTATTCTGTTCTTCTCAGACATGGAACACTGGCGGGCCCATGTTAACGAGATTTTTACAGAACTGCGTCGAAAGACACAGAGGTCTTCTACGCCCACCGTGCCCAGGCCCTTCATCACCAGAGGGGAGATAAAGCGAATATGGGAGACAAATGATCGCATCAGGAAGATCATCGGGGAGGACTCTCCTGCCGGCTTACACGCGGTGATCAAAGACAAGCTTCTCGTGATACTCTCGGTGCTTATTGACATCAATGCAGTAGAGACTCTCCAGAACTTCCACCAGAAATTGTTTGCCACGGACGATCCTCTGCAGCCACTTTGTACTGATGAAGAAATGCCTCTGTCCCGGAAAAAAATCAGTCAATTCCTGCCATTTCTCTCGGAAGTGGCGCTATTCAAAGAGAAGCAGAATAAATTCTGCCCGGTCATTATCGCCTGTTCCGAACTTTTCTTGACCCCTAGCGAAGACCGTCCACTTCCGTTCCAAGGATTGGTCGGACTGCTGGGGAGGGGTTCATATGGATCGGTATATGCGGTGAAGATAGCTGCTGAGTGCTTCAGAGACGAAAAAGGCATGTTGTACAGCGATGTAAGTAAGACTTGTACCGAGCCACAAGGGCAACCAAAGCCTGACATTCCGAAGCCCTTCCAGGTCGCCTGCAAAAAGCTGGATGAACACGCCAACTTTGAGACAGAGATGAGAAATCTATGCGTCTTACGCAACAGTCGCAGGTCACAGAGCCACATTCTCCAGGCTTTCGCGATGATCAGTCATGGAGATAGCCGCTATATTCTCACGCCCTACGTCGAGTATGGCGATTTGTATGGTTTTCTGAACGAAGGGCAGCTTGGAGACACCGAGATCTATGACTTTCGGAGTAGATTTCCGCGGGTGTCGCTAGACAGAGGGGACCCGTCAGTTTTTGAGCCCCTTCTGCAACAGTGTCGACATCTTGCAGATGCAATCAGGTGGCTGCATGAAGAGGTCACTACAGAGACGGGAAAGAGGATCTACTTTACACATATGGACCTCAAGCCAGACAACATATTGATCGGACATCATCCGGGCTCAACGGTGGGCAAATGGATCATATCGGACTTTGGTATATCGGTGCCCCGAGAATCACCGCCACAAGCGTCTGCTATCATGAGTCGCGAATTTACTATCTATACGCATCCGAAGAGAGCTAGGGGAACATACCAAGCACCGGAGTTTAAAAGCCATAGCGGCGTCGGTCGGAAAAGCGATGTGTGGTCATTTGCGTGTATCCTAAGCATGGTACTTGCGTGGGCCATAGGGAGAAAGCAGGGCGTTCGCGACTTTGCAACTAAGCGAAAAAAGGGAGGCCTTCTGGACTTATTCTACGAAGTCATCAGTGGGTCTGATAGAGAGCTACGGTATAAAGTCAACACCTCGGTCATCGAGTGGCTAAATAACATCGAGAACACCCCTCAGCCTCATCGCATCGCAGGATGCTGGGCAGCAGCAATCCAGGAACTTCTAATCGTCGAACCCCAAGAAAGACCCGATTCGACCCAATTACTTAAGCGCATGAACCACGTCTACGAGCACTGTGATTATTTGTCCTGTTCTCAACAGAATGAGGTATACGAGAATTGCCGTTCGATATGTCCAGAGATAGGCGGATGGGTACCCTCGGTGGCCCCCGATGCGGATATGCCACGAGCCCTTGGTCACCTCGCTCGAGTCAGGCCTATTCTGAGGCTGTTGGAGCAGCTGTCGCCCTCCAGCATACCACCTGAAGAGATCACAGCTATCGGAAGACACATCGCGCGACGCGAGGCTATGGTAGCAGTCTCCCGCACAACCTATAATGGCAAGGTCCCAGTGGTATATGTCGCATGGGGACTCCTTCTTGCTTTTGACCTCGACCTAGAGAAATGTTCGTCTATACCTCGCGGTTTGTGGAGAATCGCCGAGGCTGGTGACAGAGACTGGAAGGAGGGGGTCACAGTGGAAGGACCTTACTTCTGTGCGTGGGGTTACTGCAGTACGCGGCGACGGATGCAGGTAAATAATACCCCCGCAAAGCATGAAACAGCCTTTAACATTGCTGGTAGTGTGTACTCGGACACTTGGATAGAATTTCCGAGCGTGTTGACGCATCATCCGATGCTCTACAACGGCTCAAGTTAGTGGCCATGTCTGCTCGAGGAGCGGCGGCTTTTGTCCGCAGCAACGATATAATTGTCCGTCCCACCTGGGACGATCCATCAAATGAGATTCGCTTGCGGTGCTCCGAGGAGGACAAGCAGAGGTTCATGCATGCTGTGTTTGACAAGTCAGGGAACCGCCTATATGCATGGGCTCAGGGAACTTATATAGATTCCCTCTATCTCTGGAAGCGCACCGGAACTACCAGACTGGAGCAACTGTCGGTAACTCACTATGAGCGGGTAAATGGTGACATGTATTCTGCCTCTCGGTAACAAAGCTAACCATCGTTTAGAGGGGAGCGCGAGTGCCCATGGTCCCAGTTTACAAGCTGCAAGCGGGCTGTACGATCATGCCCTACGAATTACAGCCGGGCTGCGTGTTTGTAGCAACTGACCGGCGGGAGTATTTCTCCCTGGTTCTGCAAGGCCCCCCTGGAGAGACCTTCGAGGAGAAAATGCGCATTGTCTTTAAAAACACTCTAGATAGTGTTATGTGTGGAGACAACGTTTTGATCTGCCTCGAGAAGAGCTATATCCATTTCCGGCTTAAGGAGTGTCAGCTACGCCAGGGAGCAGACGCTGTCATCGGTTCCATAAGAGAGCTTTGCAAGCTTCAGTCTCATTACGAAGAATCTTCTGTGCTGCGAGCCTTCATAACAAGGACTGGACAAGTCGCTGTGTTGTGCAATGCTGATAGCACGGTTGAGTTCGTGGAATTTTCAGAATGATTCTGCCGCTAGATACCCAAAGATTGCTGTATAGACTAGGCTATTTCGATGTCTATGTTGGATGTATTCTACATGATGCATTAACAATAACGGAGAATGAAAGTATGTATCAATACAATGCCCACAAAAGAAGATCTGGTAGACATCCTCCGCCAGCATCCCTGATCTATCCAGCTGCTCTATGAAATGCAAGTGAAGTACAATGCTGCAGAAAATAAACAATGTCGTGCATCCTTACTTCATGTTCTTCGACCGTGGCCGACTAAAGATCCGGAAGGGCTCCCTTTTCCACCATTTGTCAAAATAAACAATGAGAATGTAGACCGCCATTGTAAGGAAAGTCAGAGGCAGCCATGTCGCAACGAAGATCCAGAACTCATTGCTGATGACTATCTGTTTGTTCGCCTCGTTGAAATCGAAGAAATTCATTCCGTATAGACTCTGCCCCAAAGAGTTAGACGCACTCATGCGGACGGAGGAAGATACGTACCACGACAAATGAGCCGGGGAGATACACAGCAGACATGACGGTGATAATCTTGACAGCTGCGCTATCGTCGACTGTATGTTTCTGCAAATCTTTCAGCTTCACCGTCAGGTCACGAAGCTCTCTGCCCGTCTCGGCGGCTTTGGTCTGCATCTCGGCCGCCCATTTCTGGGTCTGGGCGGTTTGTATCTGATTGCATGCACTCAGAACGTATCCAACCTGGTATATTGGTGAGTGACTGATAGTTCGAGCCGACCCGGTATGAGGGCATACCATGTCAGTTGCGTTCTGGATCCGCGGGATCAGTCCCTCGCAGCTTGCGATGCATCCCGTGATTGTCGCTTCGAATATGTCGTACGCAGCGGCGGGCTGAGGGGATCTTGCTTGTAACCGCTGTATGATATCGAGGTTTCCTTTACTGCATATCCGGACGAGATGCACCAGGTCGGCGAGGTTGCGAAGCCGAGAGATCTCCTCCAGGCTGCGATCCGGATCCATGGAGATGCCAGGCCGGACTTTGGTAAGCGCGTAGTCATTCTGCGTCGGTCAGCGCTATGGTCGTTTCCATGCATCGTGCTTGGTAGTTTAGGGATAGGAGACTTACTATGTGCTCAAATTCCTCCCCCAGATTGCAAATGTACCATCTCCAGTTATCCGTAAAAGTTGAAAAGAGGATGGAGTGCAGGACCGAGGGGTTTTCGATGAAAGACGACAGACGAGTTGCACTTTGTGCTTGGTGTGCGCCGATAAAATCCTGTAATCGGACGTCGAATTTGCTCTGTTCGTTTGGGTGCAGCAGGATGAAGACGTCTCTTCCGGCTCTGCGGTGGTGATAGACGCCTGTCCGTCGAAAAGAGACAGTAGGCTTAGGGCGACCCCGGTTCTTCGCTTCGACGTAGAACATCTGGTACGACGTGTCTGTTACTATCTGTTAGAAGCGGATAGGCGAAGAGACTTCGTGCAGAGTAGTCGGACACGGACAAGAGTCTGATCCATCCGGAGACGAGACGATCGCATTCCTTGCCCCTGTTGTCGATGTGTATATAGGCTCGTTGAACGACAGCAGGATATGTAGGAAGCTTGGATCGACTTTATGCGTTTGCATGATTCTTCCCATCAGGTCGGGCGTGATCAGTAGAGGATCGAGGGAGTTTTTCGAGCAGATCGATCTGCAGAGTGTCAGTTAATTTTGAGATAGCGTCAGAGAGACGACTCACATTATCTTGATGCTAGAGTCAAGATGGAAGCCAAGGTCGAGCTCACTTGAGATGTCGCTGTTGCATGTGAGCTTGGTGCTACGGACCCCGTGCCCTGTATGATCGATCAGCAACAAAGTATAACAAGAACACGCTGTATAGATACCATTTTGAGATATGTCGGTTATACGAACATGGAGATCTTCGCCCGTTGTAAATACCTTCGTCTGTTGCAGCCGGTCCTGTAGGGCTATACAATCCACCGTCGTCGGCGGATCTTCCGCGAGCTCTTGGAAATAAGCATTCCATGCAGGACATGTTGCAATATCAGCAGGTTCCATGACTAGATTCGGCTCAAGATAGCTTGAAGATGGACAGGTATGTCATAAAAAAGCTTGCGTCTTATGTTTATATCATACTGGAGACCTTCAGTGGCCACGCCCGACGGCAGGCTGACTTCCCTGATTGGAACATGCATGTACGAAAAGTCACCCTGCCAGAAAGCGCTAAGGCCGAGAAGGAAAAAGCAAACACGAGGTTGAAAGAAGACGAGCTGACATGATAAACTGCGCCATGCGAAAAAGAACGAGTCAGCCTCGTCCGTTCTTGCAGCCTTGCCCTCCACTTGCAGGGATAGTACTGCCCCGTGCATACTAGATCGGCCAAGTCCGACTGAGGTGGCAGTGATACCCCCCTGTCTGCTCAATACCACCCTCCCAAGGCGCTTGTAACCATCCCCGCCTCTCCTATCGTCTCCGTCTCTGGGCCCGCTCGTAAACTTCGGTGGCAAGGACCCTGTCGCCTCGAGTCAGTCTTCCGGCTGAGAGAGCATGGTGAGATCCACTACTATACCTTTGTTCGTGCTGCGATATAGGGTGTTAAGCCTCTGATGTGGAGTGTCAAGATGGCTGAGCACATACCTCGCTTAGCAGGACGTCCAACTGGAAAGCCCATTTATCGTGGTCGAGCTGTTTACCGCAAAAGATCAGTAGGGGGTCGTTCGACTGGACATTCAGAGGACAGGGTTGTCTCACCGTAATGTTGTAAGGGTGTGCTTGCGGATAGAACTCTTCCAGATAACTCTGGAGGTCTTCTTCGTCAATGTACCCGGACCGTTGGCGATCAAGAACGTAAATATAAGTGTTCATTGCTCCGAACCGTGCCCGCTACGGGCCTCCGCGAGGTGACTGCCAACGCTCAGCACTCTCCTGCTGACGATCCTTCCCGGTATGATTTGACAGTGATATATGGGAGGGATGGAGGGACAGTGGCACACTGCACAGCAATATGGAGGGCATGAACGAGCCGCTAATGTTGATCGGCGGAGAGCGGCACAAGACCAGCAAACACCCAATCCTATCACCCTCCACCGGACTTATCAGTGGCCTCTAGGGGCGTGCCAGCCTTGTCGTTGCTTTTGAGGCTCTTTGCCTCGGCCCAGAGACCCCTTACGTCGGCCTTTTTTACGCGATGTGGCCCAGTAACCATGAGCAGTGCCTTTCGGTCAACTCCCATACTGCAAGGTCTGCATTCTGACTCCTGCTTCTGCACGTAGAACGAGTCTTATCATAAGCTCGCTCGGCCTGCTCGAGATGCCTGGACAGCTCCAGTAAGTCGCAATTTAGCAGAACGTGTGAAAACTGGTGCCAACTCATCTGTTCGCTGGCAGTCAAACCCTCTATGGATACCAGATCTTTGTAAGCCTCCAGTGCCCTCGATGTGGCTCAGCGCGACTTACTGATATTCATTCGTAGTTTATCCTTCTCACGGCGGTTATTGGACATGGAGTGTTTGGGTCAAACGGAGCTGCGCTGGCCGCTGCTGGCCCGGGCGGCCTCATTGTGTCCATCGCGGTGATCAGCTGCGTGACTATCTGCGTGGGAGAATGTGTCGGTGAAATGACGCAGCAGTTTCCGATACCGAATTCCATGGTCGCCTATGTCCAAGCCTTTGTGGACGAGGATCTAGGGCTGGTGATCGGACTTTGCTACTGGTACGGAGCATACTGTCCGTCACGCTTGGAGACGATGTCGGCACTGACTCGGCTAGGTATTCTTATGCAGCGGCCTTTGCAATACAGAATGCAACCGTTGCCACTTTGACTTACTACTGGCGCTCGGGCAACGAGCCAGACCGACAGGCATGGCAGGCTCTTGCGTTCTACGTTGTGTGTCCTTCCGTTCTGTTTGGGCTGAACATGACTGGTGTTTTTGTACGACTCTCTCCCGATGATGACAGCCATCTACTGACCTCCCAAGTACTACGGAGTTATTGAAACCATCAGCGGGGCTTTAAAGGTAGTCCTCATCGTGGCGACTTCCATATATCTCTACATCATCGCTGCCGAAGGTACGGTGTAAAGGGACTGTCATGTCTTTCCTTGACGCTAACTTTCATTCCAGGACATGATCTTATCAAAGATCCATGTAGGTCCCGTCTCTTGTAGTCCGTTAGAACATTGCTTCCACTCACTCAATCAACAGCTAGCCTTACATGGTTCACCAAGCCGGACTTCCTCAGTAACATACCCAAAGCCGTATGGTGCGTCTCCCTCTCGCCGACATGATATGGAAAACCGACTAACAGACATCAAGCTTCGCCATCCCCCTTGTCGCGTACAGCTTCCAGGGAGTCGAGATAGCAGCCATGGCTGCGTTCGAAGCACGGGATGCGCGCGCTCTACGCTGGCCGTCCAAATGGACCGTCTACGCCGTCGCCTTCTTCTACATCATGTGCTCCGTGGGCGAAGCGCTCACGGTCAGCCACGATGACGCCCATCTGCGGTCTACAGATGACAGCATCTGTACGGGCGAGTCAAGCCCTCCCTTCTCCGCCAGCATGATTGTCATCGCTGCGTGGAATGCCGGCCATAAGACGCTCGCGGGCTTCCTCAATGGCTGTCTCATGTTTAGTGTCGTTTCCGCAGCCAACACCTCTCTCTACGCGAGCTCCCGCTCCATGTACGGCCTTGCGCAGCTGATCAACACTCCGAATTGGATCCAGAGGAAGCTCGAATGGGTTGGTCATGTGGACAGTAAGACCGGTGTACCGGTTGGCGCCTTGCTCTTGTCCACGTTGGCGTTTTGCTGGATTCCGTTCCTTCAGTTAGGATGCAAGCGCGAGCAAGTATGTTGTCTCTCTTCATTGAACGTATCTCCTAGTATCATGCTGACGGACACTATAGCTGATCACGAACATGTCAATATCCACAAGCACCTCCTGCATGATCGTCTGGGCCGCTCTCTGCCTGGCCTACCTCCGCTACTACTATTGGTACGCTTGCTCCCATCTCTTCATACGCACAAACTCACATTGTGGTCTAGGCTCGACAAATGCGACGACGTCCTACAAAGGGACTATCCCTCCTTCAGCCGGAACTCTCCCAAATACACGCCCCGCGTCAACCTACAGCGCTTCCAGCCCATCCCCGCCTGGATCGGCCTAATCGGATGCCTGCTCTTCTTTGGCTTTTCCAGCGCCGAGTGGTGGGATCATCCTGAACGAGCCAATCCCGGAAACATCGCCAGCGCCTACGGAGTGGTAAGACCCGCAGTCCGTTCTATGCTTTCATGTTTGAGCCGTGTACACTAATGCTTGTTGCACAGCATATCGTGCTCCTTGTGCTTTTGCTCGTCCGGAAACTGTTCAAAGGACGGCTGTTTCGGAAATGGGGCGTGGACAGGACCGATAATGGACATAGTCTTGCGGATATTTTGGAGGCCCTGCAGAGCAAACATATCCATGATGGGGATGCTAGTGAGAACGGGACTTGGTTGCCGGACATCAGGTTGCGTACGCTGCCCTTGCGGAGTTCTCCTCGCGAAGAAATTTCGACGGATCGTGAGAGGGAGCCTGTGAATGGATCGGTTGTTCGACGTCGGACGTTACCGGTGCCTTCTATATAAATTGTCCTCAGGATGAGAACGTCTCTTGGAAATCTATGGACTGGACCTAATATTGACTCGTCTGTGTTATAGAGGACGCCGGAACATCATTTCATAGTCCCATAGATATTCAGGCTGAGACTGTCAATTCAAACGAGTCATCAAGTCATATCCTACGTCGACTCCATTTGACCAGTAGACAATATGTGCAATTGATAACCACAATAATCTATCTGTGAAAGTCGTTTGATTTAGGTAGAATTACTCGTCATAACACACCGTCTTAAACTTTTCCCGTGTCCACCCTTACCGCGACAAGGCAATATCATCAATTCTCATAATCATCTTCACCGTCTCCGCCGCGAGTTCGATCGCGCTGGTGCTGACCAGAAGGGGCTGGAGGATGTTTTCCTCGGTAATGTCGTCCTTCACACCGCCGCTGCGGATGCTCACACCCGCGTTGTGCTGGCCTTGGGCGTGACGGTGACGCAGATCGGTGACGACCTTGATCGAGTTGAGACCCGCGTTCTCGGCGAGCGTGGTGGGAATGACCTCCATGGCGTCGGCAAACGCCTTCCAGCAGATGGCTTCGGTACCAGTGAGCTCGCGCGCGCGCATGGCCAGCGCATGGGCGACCTCGATTTCGGGCGCACCACCACCAGCAATCAGAGCACGCTTCTTCACCAGACAACGGATGACGCAAAGGGCGTCGTGGAGCGAGCGCTCGGCCTCGTCCAGAATGAGGTTGTTGGCACCGCGGGCAACAATGGACACGGTCTGGTTGGTTGCGGTGGCAGGGGTCTTGATGCCGGTGACCTTCACATACCGAGCACCAGAGGCCTGCACCTCCTCAACGAGGTCGGCGGTACCGAGCTTGTCCTCGGTGAAGGAGTCGACGTTGGCAACGGGCTTGCAGCCCAAGGTCTTGCACAAGAACTCGACCTCATCACGTTCAATGTCCTTGATGGCGAGAATCTTGAGACGGGAGAGGAAGTGGAGGGAGAGGTCGTTGACGGCGTCACGGAGAATGGATTTCTGGATGAGGAGGACATTGCACTTCGTCTTCTGGATCTTCTTCACCATGTTGAGAAGGTACTGGCGCTCTTCCTTGAGGATCTTGTCCATCTGACGGTAGTCGTTGACCACGATCTGGTTTTCCATCTGTTGTCATCCGCGTTAGTAAACGGCATCGATCAGAAATGCATCAATCATCAACATACGTCAGGCTTGGGAGGGCTCAGCTGGAACTGAATCAGACCTATCCGGGCCTTCTCAATCCGTGTGGGTCCTCCACTGCTCTTGATGACGGGCTGGTTGAGCACCAGACCATCCACCATCTCACTGTCTTCGATCGTACCGCCGACCTTCTTCACTATACGGATGTTTCGGAGGTCGACGTTTTCCGCCGTCTTCGGGTCGACGACCTTCAGCACCGAGTCGACGGCCATGGGGCCCAGAAGGCCGGAATGCTGCGACACGATCTTGGAGGAGAGGGAGGTGGAAGCGGCTTGGAGGAGGGTCGAGCGGTCCATCAGGTTGATAGGACGAGACATGTTGTGGAGGATCTCAACGGCGGCGGCGGCGGCTCTTTGGAAGGACTCAGAGATGACCGTAGGGTGGATACCCTTGGACAGGAGGCGCTCGGCAGCACCCAGCAAGCTTCCTGCGATGACGACGACCGACGTTGTACCGTCTCCAGCCTCGACATCCTGGGCGGCACTCAGGTCGACGAGCATCCTAGCGGCCGGGTGCATCACGCTCATGTCCCTCAACATTGTGTTTCCATCGTTGGTCTGCGGGGGTTAGGAGCGGGACATTCAGGAGGTGGAGGGGATCCGTACGATGATGGTGTTGCCCTTGGGGGTTTGGATCTACATCTTTGTTAGTGCTCGGCACAGGAAACTGGGATAGATAGAATCCTACCATCTTGTCCATACCCCTGGGACCCAAAGACTGCGTGGTAGGTTAGCCCCTCATCTGCGACTCCAAACGAATATCGGCGCAAGCGTACCGTTCTGATGGCATCGGCGACGGCTGTAAGAGTCAGCAAAGGCAATTGTTAATGACTGATAGACGAAAATACCTCTAGCTGCGAGAATGTTAGATGTCCGCACCGCCATGGGCTTCTCCTTGTCCTGTCCGACTATCAGTCACGGCCCACAACTCAAGTCTTTCATTTCCTCCGCAAAAACACACCTTGAAGGAGTTGTTGCCGACGTTCCCCTGGGAGACTGCGGTCGCCATTGTGACGGAGGTTTAATGCACCCGGGGTAAATACAAGGAAAAAGAAGGATAGAGGGGGGAAAGAGAAGAGAAGGGGATTGATATGAAGAGTGATGAGGCGGCAGTCTGGAAATTCTTCGAAGTAGCGGGAGTTGCTGATTTAATGCTTGGCGGGCGCTAGTGCCAAAACAGCTCCAACCGACGCAACCACCCAAGCTGGAAGCTCATCACATCACTCCCGTCTCTTCCTCACTCTCTCTCAACATCTCCATCTCATTACATCGCCTTCATCGATTGCTCCGTCTCACTGTCTCGGTACCACTATCTACCTCGGACTATCTCAATACCCTTTCGATCTCCCAATAACCCCTTCTACCCTGTTCCGTCGCTTCGCCGCCGTCTCTCACCATGCCGAGCGCCACGGGTGAGAACTGGGAGAAGTACAGCAAGAACTACGCCGACGATGAAGAACCAGAGAAGAAGATCACTCCTTTGACTGATGAGTACGTTGTTTCGATTGTATTTGACGGGGTTGGGCTACGAACCGCAACTAACTCTCTCTAGGGACATCCAGGTGCTTAAGACGTACGGCGCCGCTCCCTACGCCAACGCCCTGAAGAAGCTCGAAAAGCAAATAAAGGAAAGACAAGCGAGTGTAAACGAGAAGATTGGCGTCAAGGTACGCTCATCCTCACTATTTAATACTTCCTTCCGATGGACGGAGTTGACGTGTTCAGGAATCCGACACCGGTCTCGCTCCGCCACACCTGTGGGATGTTGCGGCCGATCGACAGCGCATGGCAGAAGAACAGCCGCTGCAGGTGGCTCGTTGTACGAAGATCATCCAGGACGAGAAGGACTCCGATAAGAGCAAATATGTCATCAACGTCAAGCAGATCGCCAAGTTCGTCGTCAATCTAGGGGAACGCGTGAGCCCGACAGATATCGAAGAGGGCATGCGAGTTGGGTATGTTCATAATGGATCTATGACGGGGACTCCCTCCGGCTAATGCATCTACAGTGTCGACCGGAATAAGTACCAGATCATGTTGCCCCTTCCTCCGAAGATCGACCCCAGTGTGACGATGATGACGGTCGAAGACAAGCCCGACGTGACCTATGGTGATGTTGGTGGATGCAAAGAGCAGATCGAGAAGCTGCGAGAAGTCGTCGAGATGCCTCTCTTGTCCCCGGAACGGTTCGTCAACCTCGGTATCGACCCGCCCAAGGGTGCTCTGCTATACGGACCCCCCGGTACGGGTAAGACGCTCTGTGCTCGAGCCGTGGCCAACCGAACCGATGCAACTTTCATCCGTGTCATCGGTAGTGAACTGGTGCAGAAGTACGTTGGTGAGGGTGCCCGGATGGTGCGCGAGCTGTTCGAGATGGCCCGCACCAAGAAGGCGTGCATTATCTTCTTTGACGAAATCGACGCCGTCGGTGGAGCCCGTTTTGATGACGGAGCGGGTGGTGACAACGAAGTGCAGCGTACTATGCTGGAACTGATCACGCAATTGGATGGATTCGATGCCCGTGGTAACATCAAGGTGATGTTCGCGACCAACCGACCCTCCACCCTGGATCCGGCTTTGATGCGTCCTGGACGTATTGATCGGAAGATCGAGTTTTCTCTGCCGGATGTGGAGGGCCGTGCGAACATTCTCCGCATTCACGCTAAGAGCATGTCGGTGGAGCGCGACATTCGGTGGGAGTTGATCTCTCGCCTGTGCCCGAACGCTACGGGAGCAGAGCTTCGGAGTGTTGCAACGGAAGCCGGCATGTTTGCCATCCGGGCACGACGCAAGGTGGCGACAGAGAAGGACTTTTTGGCGGCCGTGGACAAGGTGATCAAGGGCAACCTGAAGTTCAACTCGACGGCGACGTATATGCAGTACAACTAGAGGGTGGAATGTATCATGGGGTTACATGGATGGGAGATGGATGCATGTATGAACATTAATACTAGGGATTACGGTGCATTGATTTTTATTGATCTTTGCTCTGGTATCTGTAGATGTACTACAGCTATCTCCTACCTAATGCCTCTGGATACGGCTGTATGGTCACGTGATATAAATAATGGAATCATGGATTACCTCAGCTGAATACAACACCTTATACAGCCATGACACGAGTCAATTGATGAATCTAATATAGCATATACAGCATATACTATCCATCTTGAATATCATCCCACACTCCGTATACTTCATAGGATGCGGTCTCTCGGACTGTGCTCTCGGAATTCCTCGCAGCCGCCGGGTTAAAAGAACACCGGCCACGTGCCTGCGTCTTCTCGGCCAATCAGCGGCTGCCGGCTGCCCGAGGTGATTACCACTGCGCGGCCGCTGATTGGCGCTCTCGGCCCCGGTCTTCCCCGTCGGCAAGTGCGCGCTGCTTATGTCATCCAGCCCTTCCGCCCCGAGCAGAAACGACGATCCAAAAGTTGCTGCAACCACGACTTCATCCATTCCAGCCGATTCTCTCCTCTCCTCTCCTCCCCCTCCGTGCTCTCTCTTCTTCCACTCTCCCTCCCCTCAACCTCCCTCTTGGTGTCATTAGAGAAGTGTCTCCTTTTCTTTTGAACCCCTCATCATGAGCTCCCTGAGCTTGCGGAGCCTAGCTCCCGCCTCCAAGGTCCGTTGCTCCGACCAACACCCGGCACCTTTCCTCGCAGGTCGCATGCCTTCCGCGCGCATTGCAGCACTGACACTGGTGTTATACAGATCTCCCGTGCCCTGAGGGATCAGAGACGTCTTTTCTCTTCTTCTCGCCCCGCTGGTACGTCGTCCTCACGACCATCCGTCCTGTGCGCCCTATACTAACCGTCGCCAGCCCGCATTTTCGGCAACGGACCCCTGCGCGCGAAGGAAGCCAATGGCTACATCTCCGAGAAATACCCCGTCATTGTAAGCCTCCATTACACCGGCACATACTATCAAACAAATAGATTCTCATTCGACCACAGGACCACGAGTACGATGCCGTCGTCGTCGGTGCCGGTGGTGCCGGTCTCCGTGCCGCCTTCGGTTTGGCCGAGGCTGGTTTCAACACCGCTTGTGTTTCCAAGCTCTTCCCTACCAGAAGTCACACGGTCGCTGCCCAGGGTGGTATCAACGCTGCCCTCGGAAAGTACGTCATCATCATCTTCGTTCCGTTCAAAATGGCGCTAACCCCGTCTTCTGTAGCATGCACCCCGATGACTGGAGATGGCACATGTACGATACCGTGAAGGGCTCTGACTGGCTCGGTGACCAGGATGCCATTCACTACATGACCCGTGAGGCCCCCGCCTCCGTTCGTGAGCTGGAGGGTTACGGTTGCCCCTTCTCCCGTACCGAGGACGGCCGGATCTACCAGCGTGCCTTCGGTGGTCAGTCGCGGGAGTTCGGCAAGGGTGGTCAGGCCTACCGTTGCTGCGCTGTCGCTGACCGTACCGGTCACGCCCTTCTGCACACTCTCTACGGACAGTCCCTGCGTCACAACACCAACTACTTCATCGAATACTTTGCCCTTGACCTGCTGATGGAGGATGGTGAGTGCCGCGGTATCATCGCCTACAACCAGGAGGACGGTACCCTCCACCGTTTCAAGGCCCACCACACTGTCCTGGCCACCGGTGGATACGGCCGTGCCTACTTCTCCTGCACGTCCGCCCACACCTGCACTGGTGACGGTATGGCCATGGTCGCCCGTGCCGGTCTCCCCAACCAGGATCTGGAGTTCGTCCAGTTCCACCCCACTGGTATCTACGGTGCGGGTTGCCTGATCACTGAGGGTGCTCGTGGTGAGGGTGGTTACCTCCTCAACTCTCAGGGTGAGCGTTTCATGGAGCGTTATGCGCCCACCGCCAAGGATCTGGCCTCCCGTGACGTCGTCTCCCGCTCCATGACCCTGGAAATCCGTGAGGGCCGTGGTGTCGGTCCCGAGGCCGACCACATCTACCTCCAGCTGAGCCATCTGCCCGCCAAGCTCCTGCACGAGCGTCTTCCCGGTATCTCCGAGACCGCCTCCATCTTCGCCGGTGTCGATGTCACCAAGCAGCCCATCCCCGTCCTGCCCACCGTCCACTACAACATGGGTGGTATCCCCACCAAGTACACTGGTGAGGTCCTGACGGTGGATGAGCAGGGCAAGGACAAGGTCGTCCCTGGTTTGTACGCTTGCGGTGAGGCTGCTTGTGTGTCCGTCCACGGTGCCAACCGTCTCGGTGCCAACTCCCTCCTGGATCTGGTTGTCTTCGGCCGTGCTGTCTCTCACCGCGTCCGCGACATCGCCTCCCCCGGCAAGCCCCACAAGGAGCTCAGCTCCGACGCCGGTGCCCAGTCCATCAAGGACCTCGACTTCGTCCGCACCGCCGAGGGTCCCAAGTCCACCTTCGACATCCGCAACGCCATGCAGAAGACCATGCAGTCGGACGTCAGCGTCTTCCGTACCCAGGAGAGCTTGGACGAGGGTGTTGAGAAGATCACCAACATTGACACCTGGTTCGACCAGGTCGGCACCAAGGACCGCAGCATGATCTGGAACTCCGACTTGGTTGAGACTCTCGAGCTCCGTAACCTCCTGACTTGCGCGTATGTACTCCCGTGAAAAAGAACCATAACAACAGAAGCTAACATGACTGATCTAGTACCCAAACCGCCGTCGCCGCCGCCAACCGTAAGGAGTCTCGTGGTGCCCACGCCCGTGAGGACTACCCCGACCGTGATGACGAGAACTGGATGAAGCACACCCTCACCTGGCAGAAGACCCCTCACGGCAAGGTCGACCTCAGCTACCGTGCCGTCGAGGCCAACACCCTGGACGAGGCTGAGTGCAAGCCTGTGCCTCCTTTCAAGCGTGTCTACTAAGCGCGCTTTGGGAAGGATGGTGGAGTGGAGGAGCTCCGTAATGAAGCCGCGTGAGGCCTATCAAATCGACTTTGCGACGACTGAGAGCGGACGAAAGAAAGAGCGTCACGAAAATTAGGCCGTGTTTATCTCTTGTGTTTATATGTGTATATCCATTTTCCTTCCAGGCGATGAGTTTGGTGTACTCACGTTCGTGTTTTTTATAGCCGTCTATTACCATACAATAGGAGTTTTCTTTGCGTTTATCTTGGTCGAATGTTCTCGAGCGTTTTCTTCTGTGCGGGTGACATGGGTTCTCCTTTCTGGGTGGTGTCAGGTATACTGAGTCCGTTCGCTCTTTGTTTCTGCACCCTCGGCGGGTCACACACACAAAGGAAAACGTGGTGAGAGGCTGAGCGGCCATAATTATAGAACGTGTTGTTTCAAATGGCCTGCGTACTAACTCTGCAAGGTACATGGCCGGCATCGAGGCGTTCACCATTGAGACAGAGCACGTCTTGCCTCCATCACGAGGCCCAGATGTCTCAAATTTGCTTCTCGGACTGGATGGACGATCCTTGGGCTAGTCCTCGGCAAAGCCACCGTCTTGGTCGGCCGTCGATGGATTGTTGGCGTCCTACTACAGACAAAGAAGCATCTAACGTTGTCACAACAACCCGCTATTTCTCCGGTGCCTTTGTCAGGCATCTGGATCCGGCCCAGTACCATGAATCGTCGCTCCGAGGAAGTCTTCGGGTTCTATGAGGGCTCTTAGAGTACATAGGACAGAAGTCAGAATGAGTCGACAGGACACTTGCTTGCATCTCGACCTACTCCTCCTGAGCCGGTTCTCTTGGTGGTTTAGCTGGCATGCTTCGTTCACTCGCTATTAGTCTCCTTGCGGTCTTGTTTCCTTGCTAGCATCTGATTTACTCGTTCTCCTCGGTGGTCTGAAATGGCCCGACTGCCGGTGCGAGATACATGTCCCGCCCACAAGCAGTGGTATGTCTGCGCTGTAGGGGATTATCACGGCTGTTGCTCAGTCGATCCATGCAGAACGGGTGTCTGTCCGGACGATGATACGCTGATATCGATGTCCACCTCGTCCACCACGTCGTTGACTTCACGCACTAACACCAAGGCAACGCAAGACGTTGCCCTTTCTACTTTGACTTCAGCTACGTCTCTCACGACGACTTCATCTACAGCTACAGCGTTTCCCACGGCTCAATCAGTAACTACTTCTGTGAAGACTACTGACCAGCACGGGATGGTGATTGGAGGAGTGGTGGGTGGCATTGTCGGATTCCTGCTGCTGTTGGGATTGGCCCTATTTCTGTGGTTCTCTCGCAGGAAAAAGCCCGGTGAGAAGGTGGCTGCATATACTCTTGTGGCTTTGGGGGGTCTTCGATCCAAACGGGAGGGGCGCAAAAGACCTGGTCTGGCGACTGAGGGGAGGGCAATGAATCGACCGAGTATGGATTCCCCTTCCGATAATTGTATACTTCTAACTCCATAGGGTCCAATACGAGAAACACCAAAAGCCCTTCTCCGCGGACATCGACTAGAACATCGCCGACAAGGTCTCCCATCAAACCTTCTCCAACGAAGCCCTCACCAACAACCCGAGCATTCCCATCGGCACCCGCAGATAGACTCCCTCCCAGCAGACAATCACCCATATCACCCCTGCTCAGCGGGCGCTCCCCAACTGCTACGACGATTCACTCCGCCCGCTCGATCACCGCTTCAAACACAATCAGTAGCTCCTCGACCCTGGCAATCTCCCCCTTGACCGTCTTCGACAGGTCCCTGTCCATCAACAGAAGCGGAACAGGATGCAGTACCGTCTCTGAGAAGAAGCTCCCTCCCCTCCCCCAACACCCAGCACCGCGCCCCCCGACTGAGCTCCCGGACACGGGGTTCTACCGGCAACGAGTCGAGCTTGCCGCCTGTCCTTCGCGCGAGCTGATCAATCGGTTCGACCCGCGCCGCCAGCTCTCATCCGAGATCAATGATTTCGAAGACGAACGGCAGGATGGCACGGTTGGAGCAGGCGGTCCGCCGCGCACGGGTCCGGTCGTCACGGCGGATGGTGTAGTGCTGACGGCCAACTTTGAACGGACGTCATGCGGGGACGAGGTCCTGGGCAGCTCCGGTGACAGTGGTCCGGCACATGTGATGAGCTTCATGCAGTATGACCCCGAGTGGAACGAGGTGCAGCCGGCGTATCACCCTTCCTGGGGGAGGGAGACCGCGAAGTTGGAGAAGATCGAGGAATCGTGATGTGTGAACGATAGGAATCCTACTGCTGGATGGTGGGATCAGCCACTATACATAATGTCCGTTTTGTTGCGTGCTGTTGTTTGTTGATAGAGTGCCATTGCATTCTGTTGGCTATCACTCGTTGTATAATACAGTGTGATGCTGGTAACTTAATCCATTCATTCTATGAATCCCACGTATCTCGTAAATCCCATGGACGACTTTTATTGATCTAAACAACCGAAACAAGCACAGGCCAAATCTAAAGCAGTCCCCGCAGGACGGCAGTCTGCTCCAACACAGCGCGGCGGCTAGTCCCGCCGACGGCGTCCTTGAGCTCGACGGCGCGCTCGTAATCCAGACAAGCGCGGACGTCATCGTCGAAGCGAGCGTCGACAGTCTTGAGCTGCTCCAGCGACAAAGTGTCCATGGGCACCTTGTTCTGCTCGGCGAGCTGGACGACCCGGCCGGAGATATGATGTCCCTCGCGGAAGGGCACGCCCTTGCGCACGAGATAATCCGCAATCTCGGTGGCCAGCATCTCGGGCGCCAGGGCGGCGGTCATCTTCTCAGGGATAGTGGTGAGGGTGGACAGCACGCCGGTGGCGATCTGGATGCTGTCGCCGACAGTCTTGATATGGTCGAGCAGCGGCTCGACGCTCTCCTGCAGGTCCTTGTTGTAGGTGGTCGGCAGGCCCTTGATGGTGCACATCAGGCCGGCCATATGGCCGAAGGCGCGGCCGGCCTTGCCGCGCAGCAGCTCGAGACTGTCGGCGTTCTTCTTCTGCGGCATGAGCGACGAGCCGGTGGAGTAGGCATCGCTGAGCCGCACGAACCCAAACTCCAGACTGCTGTAGATGATCAGGTCCTCGGCCCAGCGCGAGATCTTCAGCATAAACGACGCGCCCCACTGCATGGTCTCCATGGCAAAGTCGCGGTCGCCGACCGCGTTCATGCTGTTGTACAGCAGGCCGTCGAAGCCGAGCTCCGCGGCCATGGCGGCACGGTCGATCTGGAACGGGTTGCCGGCGAGCGCGCCCGTGCCCAGCGGGCTGCGGTTGACGCGCGCCGTCACCTCGCGCAGCCGCTGCAGCTCGCTCGCAAACGCCGTCGCATGCGACAGCAGCCAGTGGCTCCAGCGGACCGGCTGCGCCTTCTGCAGGTGCGTGTACCCGGGCATGAGGTAGTCGATCTCGGCCTCGGCCCGCGAAATGCACACGCGCACCAGGTCCGCCAGGTACCCGTCCAGCCGCCGCAGCTCGTCGCGCAGCCACAGCCGCATGTCCGTCGCGATCTGCTCGTTGCGCGACCGCCCCGTGTGCAGCTTGCCGCCGATCTCCTTGCCGATGAGCTCCGAGAGCCGTCGCTCGTTGGCCGTGTGGATGTCTTCGTCGTTGGGCTTGACTTCGAACGTGTTGCTGCGCCATTCTTCGGCGATCTGTGCGAAGCCCCGCTCGATCGCGGCGAACTCGTCGGCCGTCAGGATGCCGGTTTTGGTGTTGGCGCGCGCGAAGGCCAGCGAGCCCGCGATGTCTTGCTGCCACAGGATGCGGTCGTAGGGGAGCGATTGGTTGTACTGCACCATTAGGGGGTCGAGGCCCTCTGTTTTGAGTTAGTGGGTTGAGTGACTGGGGAGACGGTGGGGGTACGCACGGGTGAAACGGCCTCCCCAGAGCATGTTCTCGGCGACGGCTTTCGGGGCGCTCATTTTGGATTCAATTGCGTTGGGGAATTGAAATGAGTTGGGTGGTGAAGGTGTGGTGGTAGTTAACTTTGGACGAGAGGGTTGAGTCATGCATCTCGCGGCAACTTGGGTTCTTCCGGGTCCGCGCTAGCTGTTTTGGGTGTGTCTATAGTATGAGTGTATTATTTACTTCTTCACTGCCTAGAGGACAGAGTACACCAATTTCTATTACTGCGGTGTATTTTAAGGAGTATTGGAGGGACAATGTTGTGGGTCATGTGATTTGGTAGAGAGCAGCGATATATATCTCGGTTGTCTATATTGACAGGTATGAACTTATGATGTTCATATAGTTATACACTAGTGTAGATGTTTATAAAAATACTTTATATCACCGAGCATATCAATCGACCCGACAAGGCGGAACTTGATACATCACCCTTCGAGAACACCTCTCTCCATTCTATCCTACACATCCATTCTAACGCCCGACACCTGTCAATCGCCGGGGACTGACTCAAACGCCACGGACCCAGCTCAGAGGTAAGTAATCCCCGACAGTCTCAGTCTGATTCTGGACCCAGGAACCGGGATACTGCAGATGGCGATCACCGCGTGGCAGCGACAAACCTAAGGAGCTAGTTAGTCTGATGGACATGGGACAACACATCGGGGACTAGGACCGGGCACCTGAGACAGTAGGAAAGGAGCAGACATAAAGAAGAATCCCGAGATGGAGCGAGACCCAGCGTGGTGGAAAGGGGCGGTGGGCAGACCCGACAGACTGGATAGATAGAAACCAGTCCAAGAAACTACTTGTATACTCCGTACGGAGGAGTCAATAGTGCGGACACGCGCCTCGGTGGAGAATGAGAATGACAGAGACCGGCTGTCAGAGGAAGATCCTGAATCATGAGACATAACTAGTTAGCAACGAAATACTCCGTAGACGGAGTGTCCTCTGAGGAATTCTCCGCAATGGAGACCTTTTCCGAACGGCGAATAACCATAATTCAACGAGGCATAGTACTCCGTATGGGTAGTAGGAGTATTTGTCATTCGTCTTTTCTAGATACTAGCGGTCTTAATATATAGTAATATACTATTAATCTATCCTGTGGCGGTGCATACTATCGACGCGCTAGTCCTCATCCTCTCTAGCGACGGGATGATTTGGAATTGAGAAATCTCCTGCCACATGTCGGCCATGCCCTTGACACCTGTCAATCGCTCGACAGGGAGATATCAAGCCATCATTCACGTGTGCCATCCAGTCCGCTGCATATGACCTGTCCACTTCCTGAAGACGCCTTCTAGAAGATTTCGCTGCATCATGCAGCTCGTATTCGCGAGACATCTCGATCCATCAATCAATCATCATTCATCGATCGTCATAAGATCAATCCTCAATCTATAGTATATCCCCCCACAATAATCTCCTACAGCACCTCCACATTTACCCCCTAAGCACCAAACGAACAAGATAGACAAAAGAAATCCATTCTAGCGAGCGACAATGATCATCATATCGTAACCTCATCCAGAGTACTCCGTGCATCGTATCCCTCCCTACCACGGACTGCGCGGGCCCACCATCCAATCTTCCATCGCCAACCACTCACTCCACCGCGATTCCGCCATGCGTAGCTCCTCCTCCGTCGGCGCGCGCAGCGGCCGCAGGAATGGTGTCTGCTCGTCCGGGCGCTCGTCGTACGCCGCCTTGGTCGCCGCCCACCCGCCGCTCTTGGCCGTAAACAGGTAATTGATGCGCTCCTGCTGCCATGTCGTCGCCACGCCTGCCGTCCACTCCGACCCGAAGAACGCCCGCAGCACGGCCGGCGTGTCGTGCGCCGTGACCACCAGCCGCCGGATGTATGCGCGCAGCGACACGCGTGTCGCGGCCGGCGAGAAGCATGTGATCGCGTCTGTTGCCCGCTGGCTCGGCAGGCGGATGTTGAGAAAGGCAGCGAGCGATTGCACGGCGCCCGTGTGCTGGCCCTCGTCGAGGAAGAATCGCACACACGCCTCGTATGCCGGGTACCAGTTGTCGAGGTCGACGTGGTACAGCTCTGTGCTGGATGGTCCGTCCATGGGCGCATGGTGCATAGGCGCGTCCTGGCTGGGACTGCGCGGCCACGGCGTGGCCAGCTCGGCGGGCGACAGGGCCGGCGTGTGCGCCGGCCGCGCGCATTCCGAGTCTGTCGTTGATTCTGAGAGGTGAGATTGGGTCGGAGGAAATGGGGTAAGGGAGTCTTACTAGGGACGTGGGGGTAGGTTAAGGCAGTTGGAGACGAGGGCTCCGGCATGTCGGAGGATTCCCAGCAAGATCGTTCAGCGTGCATGTTCATGTTGGAGCAGACGAGAATGAAGTGTAGCATCAAACTGGATCATGGATGTAGGAGAGGCGGCCGGCCAGCCCTTATAGGAGTCTCACGACCCGCGGGCATGCCGACGCTGACGACGAGCAGGAGTCGCCGAGCACGGTCATGCTGCCGGACGAGTGGAGCGGCTATTGGCACATCCTGAGGATCTGAGGCTCTCCTGCTCCCTGGATAGGAAATAGTGCAGACTGGATGGAGCGACTATTGGCATTGGGAGCAGCCACAGATGGAGAGAGCCACAGAAAGCAAGCCACGACATGTGGCACAGCACAGGCCATACTTTTTTTTTCTGTGGCTGTGCCTCCCCTTGCGTGGGCCCCCTTTTCGGCCTTAAGCGGATCAATCACGTAGCGGCCTGGACTAGCCCTGCACTAGTCCTCGGTCTTGTCCTAGGCCTTGACTAGGCCTGGACTAGGGGAGCAGGACCAGACCCAGGAACCTGGAACCCGATGGCACTAGAGGAAAAGATTTGGAAGACCACCCCCCCCTTGGCGTGTTGATCCGCTCCTCAGCTAGCCATGCCTGCACAATCCGATTCATCCTCCTCCTCCCACCCCGAGATTTCCAAATGGCGTGAGAGAGGCTGATGGCTGGCCGGGCTAGACGTGGCTAGGCCGGCTGGCCCGTTTCTCGGGCTAGTGGTAGCGAGCTGTTGACCCAGCAAGACGGATCGATAGTCAGCATTCCCTGTCCGGATGTGACAGCTCGCGCCCTCGCGTCTCTCGTCATCATCCTGATGAATCCAGTTGGGCGGGTGACACGATCTCCACCGGGCTGAGGGACATCCACATGGAGGGGAGGGCCTGACGAGACGTGGTACAGGCCGAGTGCAACCGGGCGAGGAGCATTCCAGTTGGGTTGCACCAGGGGTATCAGGCAGACCGCATGTTCTCGTCACCTTACAGAGGATGTATGCAGTTGCGCCCAAGGAATGGGGGGGTCAACGTGGTTGTGATGAGGTGGTGAGATGGTGAGACGCAAGGGACGCAAGGGACACATCGTTGGAGCCAGTAAGCGATCGACGATGACCCCTTCCCTCGGGCACACCGGTCAAGCTGATGCGCAGGAATGCTGATCGGTGGTCATAATTTCATCAGCGGGGGAGAGATATGGAGTATGTTGTAGATGGAAGGTGTACTCCGTATTCGGTACAGATACACTGATAATAGCTTACCTGATTAGGGCTAGTGGTTGGGGAGTGGGTCTGTAGGGGCATCCGGATTGGCTGCTCACATTTATTCTCGGGCGTTTCGGCGTCTGATTGGGGGATCTGAGGGAATGGGAACTCAAATCATCCGAGGTCTGTTCTCAGCTGAATGTACTGGTACCTGCTAGTATCTCTAATTAAAAGAAGTAATTAAAGAAGTAAGTCATTCTATAGATAAAAAAAATATTTAAAAAAATCAGAAAAACAACCCCGGCCATGCGGATCCCCACTTGACAGCCGGTGGCTGAGTTGCCTGCCATGCGGTTGTGAGCGTCTCACGAGATATAAAGCATCAGGTTCCCATGAGTCTGTCCTCAGTTGGATCAGATATAGATCAGACAAGACTTGACTACACCTTGAACATCTACAACAGAAACACAGCTCCTCGCATCTATACTCTACTACACCTACCTACACTACACAACACAACACAATGTGCTACAAGAGCAACTACGAGCCTTATGTATGTCACCATGCCTCCATACTCCCTCCCTTGTTCTTAGAACTAACATCCCCAGACCAGCCAACCCCTCGACATGGAACCCACCAACGAACAACTCCTCTACCCCCTCGGTTCCCTCTATCCGCACGTCGTCGCCCTCCAGCTGCAATCCGACGAGTCGCCCTGGCTCAAGACCCGCCAATACGCCGGCTACCATGACACCAGCTTCTGGGCCGACATCGAGGTGCCGCCCTCGCCCTCGGAGTTTTCCACCCGCTCCACCATCCGCAGCCGATATAGCGGTGAGTCCCGAACCTAAATCCATGAGACCTGTCACCCGCATCGCATGCTGATGCAGCCGTGTCCAGACTCCACCGCTTGCAAGCTCGTTTCCAGAATCCGACGGCTCCTTAGCCGGGATGAGCTGCGGAGACGCCAGCAGCAGCAGCAGCAGCAGCGTCGCTATGAGTGATGCATGCATTGCGTGCACGCATTCTTTACGTTTCATTATGTCGGTGTTGTCTTCTGTATAGATCTGGTTTTGATGTCTGCCGCGGAAAGCGAATACCCTCCGTCTGCATGTTTCTTTTGTCTGTCTAGCCATGTGCCGTTCCTTGAGCATGTTTCTTTCTTTGCTAGCGAGGAGTTGGGGATAACCACATTACCTACTTAGTATATAGACCTTGAATAATAGATCACTACCTACACTACATTACATCCACTCGTTCCATCACTACAACTCGTACGAGATACAGCCCGTACGAAGGTAGGAACAATAATCTCCGACGTCCACCGCAAACTCTCTCACCCTAATCGCCGATCTAATCTCGCACGTACTCAGCATACTAGCATACTAGCATACTAGAGTAACCTTAGTTAGAACAAAGCGGTGTGACCATCTGACGTCTCAGAAACCACCCCCCGCATTCCAGACAGATCATAATCCCATGCACTATTACAGATCCCCCCCCCACCGGCCGATCGCCCTGACCTTCCCTGTTGCACTCCTGCACGCCCCCAATAGTCCGATCGATCACGAACCGGCCATCAACCAACCAGACCCTCGTGATCCGCGGGCGGGTACGCCCGCGCGGAATGCAGGCGATATGTCGGATGGGGGGTATCGTGCTCGTTCATGTCAGGGCCGCAGATGCAGGATGGAGTCATGGTCACGTAGTGTAGTCTGTAGGTTGTAGGTTGTAGGTTGTAGGGTTGTAGGGTTGTAGAGGGTTTCAGGGGGTGGAGTGGAGGGTGGGCACGCGGACCGGGCCCTGCTTGCGTGCGCGTGCAGATAGCAGGGCACATTGTGCAACCCTCGTCGGATGGATTTGTCAGGTATAACCTTTCTCTGACAATTATCAAATGGCGGTGTTGAGGAGAGATGTAACGGTTTGTGTGGTAGTCGAGAGATAACTACCTACCTACCTACCTACCTATGGGGAATCGAGTCTACGATGGCAATGGCACAGTTACACGACCACTACCCCTCCACTCCAACAGATAAACCCTAGACATGACGCAATGTAAGACAAGAGCACACGCGAGAACAGGATCATATCCTAATCACCCTGCAGGCAGTAAGACATGCATGCGAACGAACCGATAACACGCAATAGTCTAGTGTATAGCCGAGATAGTCAGCGGACGATCACCCTCACTACCTCCGGCTTGCCTGCCTGCGCGCTCTGAGGAAAACGTCACTGTTCCCTGACTCCTGTTTCAGTTGCAGGACCAAATCGCGCATGGCACATGAGTCTGTACGACCCAAGCATCTCATCTATGCAAGGGGTGTCCTCTCGTGAGGCCATCATCTAGCCGAGACCGAGACCGAGACGAGACCAGACCGACTGGAATGTGTCAGCGCGAGGAATGCCGCACCAGCACCAGCACCGGCTGTCGCGCCTGTCATACGACCCCGAGCCAAGCGAGTCTCGCACCGTCCAGTCCGGTCTGGCCGAGGAAAGGAATGCCCGATACGAAAGGACTCGTTTCGGATGCCGATATCAGCAGAATCCGGGGTAAGCCAGCCAGCTCACCGCATGCCCACTGCACGCATACTCCACCGCAAACCTACATCCCCATTGCCGAACGAACAGTCCTCCCCCTCAGAATTAATGCTAGCCGCCGCTGGCGACGTTTGTCCGGCAGTCACTTATGCAGGACACCGTTCCAGGAGGCAGGTCACATTGTCCAGCGCGCTGCATGAACGCGACAAAGGAAAAAGCAATTCGCATCGCCAGCCGGATTGCTTTGTCTTCTCCTTTTCCTCTGATGCAACGATGCAGGGTGTTGGCGGCTACAGCCGGGGAGGGCAAACACGCTCAGGAGGTTTCGTCGGTAGTGCAGTGTACCTGCAGATGCAGGTCATGCATCAGGCGCATCAGGCGTGTCTGAATGCGGGGACAGTTGGGTTTGTAACTGGGGATTGTCGGGCCGGCAATGGCGCGAGAAGAATTCATCGTAGGGTGATGGTTTAGTCTTACTGGCAGTCGTTGAACATGACCTGTCCTACAAGGTGATGACATGGCACATCTTACTATAGGAATGGTGAGTTGTTGCAAAGTTGAATGCGATTGCATTTCGATGGACGTCTTGACATGATATTACAGAGCCCAGCCCATCGCTTGGAATACTCACTAATCATGTCAGAGGTTGCAGAAGCCAAACATAACATTGATATGAAGTTCACTCGGATTCAAATTGTGACCCTTGTCGGGGAGGCCAATGAAGGACTCCAAGAATACAAACATAACCATGCTACAAAACAAAACAAAACAATCCGGTGCATAGTGTTGACAGGGTGTGAGCATAGCTGATGCTTCACAATTTTGGTCGGGTTGGTCCCATGTCAATCCAAGAAAGTCAAACTCCATTTAGTTCCCAACTCCCGCTCGTAAACAAGTTCCAAATGGATATCCCATATCAAATCATTTGGACATCGTATCCATTCCGTTAAGCATGGCGAATTCTTCCCAGTTGATCGTCTCCGGCAGGAATTGGTCTTCGTGGAAGACCGCAGACGGAGGCACGGCCGCGCCATAACCCAGATCCGAAAAGTCAATGTTGCCGGCTTCATAGCCGCTGGGGACTTGATAACCCCCGCTGAGTCCATCCAGGTAAGGGTTGTTGACGTTGGCGAACATGTCTTCAAAGTTGTTCATATGAATCACGTCGCCGTCCATCGACCGAGTCATTTCCGGAAAGCCCAAATCCGCATAGCCCATGTTCACGCCTCCGTTCCCTCCCATGGGGCTGTTCGCGTTGAACAGTTGGAAGTCGGCCACCGGGGTGGGCAACGGAGGATCAGCAAAGTTGAAGTCGGTAGTCGGCAGAGGTCGGGAGACTGCCTGCGGGGGGGACGGACTGGGTCCAGTGTTCGGAGTCGAGAATGACTGCGCGGTGCTGGTGCCGGGAGTGGTAAGGCCGGGAGTGTCCGGAGTAGACTGAGGACTGGCTTTCTTGCCCTTGACCTTGTCCTTGCGCTTGCCGTTGCTCTTGGTCCGGACGTATTGCCAGCCGTGCTTCTTCTCCTTATGCTGCTTCAAATTACTCAACCGCTTAGAGCGATAATTGCATCCTCCCAGATCGCATTCATACGGTTCCGGGTCGGGGTTGTGCTTGTCGTTGAAATGACGGTCTTTCTCCTTTTCAGTCGGGAATCCATAGGTGTAGTACTTGCACTCAGGTACCGAACACTTGAACGGGCGTGTGTGGGTCTTCATGTGTTTACTGCAAGACGTTAGCATGAATCGAAGCCAATGACAACGGTACTCCGAAAGGGTTCACTCACGTGAGGTCACAGGGTCTCGCGAAAATTTGCCCGCAAAAGTCGCACGGAGTGTTGATGTTCATGGGAGCCTCGTTCTTCCGGCGGCGGGCCATGCACCGGTGGGCGCCCTCTCCATCCGTCGAGCATAGGCTGAGGCCACGCTTCATGCTCGGCACCTGGCTCTCCTGGTAGGGTTTACCCGTGCGGAGCGACATCATCTGGTCATCGGACTGAGCGACCAGTTCCGCCTGGCGTCCTGTTTTGGCCAAGCCGCCTTTGAACACGAGCTTGGGCAACCTGCGAGAGCTGGTTAGCGTTTATAAAGACTGGTAGTGGTAGTTCAAAAGACATACTTGGAGGTGGCACCGTTGCTATCCTTCTGTGAGAGATTCTGTTTCGCTCGCTCACAGAGCGCCTTGAAGCGGACAATTTGATCGTAAAGGTCGAGGATGTACTCATTCGAGTACGGGACATCACCAGGCATAGTGCGGTCCGATTCATCCAGGCGGTGCCAAGTGTCGTCGAGGCACAGGACCACCTGATTCAGGAAAAGAGAAAATTCCTCCTTCTCATTAACATGGTCAATCTGCTACAAGTTAGCCATGCACCATACAACCTGGGTAACGCTTCGTACAGGGAATGGATTGCGGAATAGATTTTCCACGTCACGGAGACAGCGGAATCGATTGTCCTTGACCCCTTGAGCGGCATATCGAACAGTGCTGTGGAACTTATCGAACTGCGTGTTCATAAGAAGAGGGTAGAAGACACGGTGCTCTATCTTGTCGACCCCGTCAGGCGATATTTTCCGAAGATGTGAGGCGGACATGGGGGCGTTCGAGTCCAGATCGGCTACGATCTAGTTAGACAGGTCAATATCAAGCAGGCTGCTGGAACTTACCGGATTCGGTACAAGACAGCACTTCTTCGCTACAAATAGAGGTCCCGAGACCGCTGTCCGAAGTGTGATGGTTGACTCTTTGGAGCGGCTTCTTGGGAGCTGAACGGACGGACGGACTCTGGGGAGGGTCCGAGATATGCAAAGAGTCGAAATGAAGTTGCAAGACACTGCGGGGCACGGGGAGCTCCTCATCAACGGATTCCGAGGGAGTGAAGGTATCGAGGTCGAGGGTATCGAGGATTTTGCTCATGCGCTCTCTGCCGGCCGCGATGGCTTCGAGGGCAGCGGGAGAGGTAGGAGAGCGGCGGGGTGCAAGAGGCAAGCTGAGACGAGGATCGCGCGGGGTGGGACGGTTTCTCGCTGCATGAAAGGTTTCGCTCTTTCTGAACAGCGGGTTTGAGGGGGTCGAGTCGACGGATCGACAGTTGGACGAGTTAAGTAAAGATGGAGGAGAAGTGGACAAAGCAGCCCTCCGGCGGGGATGGCGCCGAAGGGTTGTGTCGTACTGGGAATCCTTGGGCGACGACATTTTGGCTGTCGTAATAACGTGCTAACTGGAGGACAATACTCTGATTATAACATGAGCAAGACCATTACAGGACCATTCGGGAATCACTCAGGAGGCAGCGGAATTCTGTATCCGTTTCAGACGTACCATGAACTCCTTGAGTCGCGTCCCAAGAACAGTTGGCCCAAACCGACGCGGTTCGAAGCAAAGTAAATGGCAGGGCACAGCGATGACAGTCCGCAATGGAGTCTGATAGAGCGGTTCTTTGTTTATTAAGGAGAAGAGACTAGTGATGGATAGATCAATGAATCGATCGCAGTGCGATAGCCGACGGACTACAGCTTGGACTGGACGAGCGAGGATGAAGGAGGAGCGGATGGAGAAGAAGATGGAGATGATGATGGAGAGGAGCAAAGTGTCAGATTGAAAGAAGAGGAGGAGAGCGAGAAGGAGGCTGAGGACGTCGGTTGAATGTCTGCCTGATGGGCCAAACGAGGCTAAACCTCGTCGGGGAAAGCCCGGGTGGCCTGATTGGGTGTGCGCCATCTTGGTCTTCCCCACATGAGTACCTTGAGATATATTACCGTATACTCAAATTACGCGTAATTATGGGTCAATCCGGGCGAGAATGAGGCACTTCTCCGGTCATGACGCTTCCAATACGAGGTGTTCCTTGTATCTCTGTGGCTCGGGACTCTCGTGGCCCCGATTACCCGTCTCACCCATCCAATCAGACTTTCTCGGCGTTGGGTGTTCCCAAAATAGTCGATGCTCCAGGGCGCCGCGGGTTCCGTGACGGTTAAACGGACAATACTGGAGTACCGAGTACATACCTAGTTAAGATCATACGGTGTGGTAGAATCAGACGGCAACATCTTTGATATGTGGTCTATACTATAGGTAGTCGCCCTACGAAGTGGAGTCGGATAGACCCTTCCCCCGACTCCCACCATCCCCCCGGTCAGGGTCCCAACTGTCGATGATCCTTCGTTGTAGGCTGCCACAGACATACGTACTCCTTCGGCGTTCCCGTTGCTTCTCCTGCCTTCCAACGCAATTTGGAGCTAGTAGGGATGTGTCTGCTTACGGGACCCTGCTGTGAAATCATCATCCACCACACTCAATGATCACTCAATAAAAGAATAATAATGTGGTGAGGACGACGGTGTGATGATGACCTCCGGCAGATGGGTGGCTTGGCTTGGCTGTCTGCTCAGCCACACTCATGTACCTTCGTACCGTCTCATCCTGATCCCTGGGTTGTTATCCCCTCTGCCATCGGAAGGCAGCATCATTTCCGAGAAATGGGAGGGAGAAAAAAAAAAAAGGAAGAAAGAGATCATATCTACATATGCTATCAGGTGAGTTCATGGACCCCACCTTGACTCACCAATATCCAAGCGCAATATCCACATTGAGTAGTGATGATTGCATTCGATGATATATTTGAGGTAGCTGGCACGAAGGGTTCGTGCTCGATGGCTTATGATCAGCATTGGCCCCGCTGGCACTTCCCATCCATCCATCCCATGCATTTGGAGCCGAAGAAACTTTGCAGTATCTTTTCAATTCAATTCTTTGAATCTAGTCCACCCATAGTAGCTTAGTAGTTCCTATCTATGTACATGTCATTGCACCTACACAGACCCCGTCGGCTTGCTTTCATCCCTATCCAGCGCCCATACATCAATTCTCGATCCATCGTGATGTCGATTCCCCAGCTCAAATGGGACAGTTACAACATACTCACCGGATCCAAAGTACCTACCTACACAGGAACAAGGAGCCATACAACAGGCCAATCAACAGAGCGGTCACATGCTACGGTTCTGCGTATAGGTGAGGTATAGTCGGCGTCAAGACTACAGTAGCATGACTCTTGAAGGAGATTATGACTCCGCAAGACTCGACCAAGCGCTCTTTTGAAAGAGAGCTTCGTCGTAAATAGCCATCATAGTCTTCCATCAATAGAACCACAATACTTACCCATCTACATAGGTATGTCATGGTCTCCATCCCAATCATCATACTCCTGGCCGAAACTGAAACTACCAGGCTCCAAATATGGCCTTCTAAATGGTCTCAAGTGGACTGAATCTGTATACCGGAGAGCGTCTTGTAGACCCATGGTAATGGGTGCTCGGGGAGAATCCCCCGATCTATAGCCAAACTTAGAGTTTCTAATATACTTCACTCTCTCTCCGTTCATTATACCCATGCTCCCGCAATCGAATTGTTTTGCGACTCAAAGTAACGTTGTCCAATAGCCCCTAAGTTTTCATTGAGAGAGCGGGTAAAAAATTACGCCTTTGTTTGTCCGATATGTCAAAATGATGTAGTACGTATCGCATACTTTTTTCAGCTGGCACGTTTGGTTCCGGGGGATATGGACGTACTCCATGTAAGAACCCAATTGATACTACCTATTATAATCCTGATTGAGTTTCTATCTAGCGATAGATAATAGCAGTACAAGGCATGTTCTTTGGCCCACAATCCAGTCTTGATGAACAGGTCAATTAAACTTAAGTTATGTGTCTCTTTATTGCGCACTCGCTCATTGATACCGAAGTACTGACTGTCTTAGAAATCATACAAGAATTTGGGGAGCTGCCAAATATCTACAGCGCGTCAAGCCCGTGCGAAATCGAACATGAAATGAATATATGTACCGTCCCACAATGCGAACTATGTGGAGTGTATCTGAACGCCGTTCTTGGAAAAAACCGCCTTCAATGAAGCAACTTGGTACCCGAGACTGGCGACTTGCCTCGAACGACTTGAACACCAAGCCATCAGGACGCGTGTCAAGACCCCAAAGAAGCAGATCAAGACGTCGAAACCATGATACGTCGATCTAACGAATGCCCCCAAATTTCCGATTGAAGACAGGAGCCAATGCATTGAACATTGAAATCTGCTGCAGCTCGCGATCGCAGTAGTCCGCAACCTAAGAGCTGGATTTGCGCTACAATACTATCTTTCCAAGACGAGATTGTCCCACCCATGTTTACAGCATTATACCGGGCGTGTCTTTGATGAAGACGAATATAATCACCAAGTTGCTGCATTTGATCCGTGAAATTCTCCATGGCCTGCGAGAATTGCCTGTTGGAGATGTCCAGCGCGTGGTGATATTAACAGCCGACTTTGTAAGCCAGCAAAGTCCGCGCCAGTTTACTGAACGATGTCTCTGAATGGATGCGACAGGAACGCACCCCAATGACCAATGACGCGTGAAGGCTACCTCAATTAGATATCCGCCGGAGCATCGGTATAAGCTTACTCCCTTGTGAGCGAAGCCTGGATTTATCACCCTCATGAACAACATAGGGATTACCAGCGAGGTCACCATCTCGAGAGAGTATTGATACAAGGACAGTAGAGAGGAATCCACCGATCTCGTGACGCGGCGAGAATGAACCTCGGCTTCGGGAAGAGGCAGAAAGTGCGGGCGGTGCCGACGAATGGACCGGAGAGATCTCTCTCCCCCGGACTTTCTCCATCATCAATCACCGTGCTGGAGTTCCCCTCGTTCTTCACACCTCCCTCCCTCCCCCAAGACCGTCAGACAGCCTGGTAGAAGATCATGACTCCTTGATTGATATCCATCTCCTACCGCTGTTCATCCCCCTTCGGACATCTTGGATCCTCCCCTTACTCGTCCTCTCTCCCTACTCCACCCGACCGAGGGGAATTGTTCCGATACCGCCTCCCCATCATGAACTCCGAGCGCCGCGACCTGAACGCCGATCTCACCAAACGCCGTAGACGGAATGTCGGTCGCAAGCGTCTGCGCAGCAGGGCTCCTATCGCAGCACGGTTGTCCCTGGACCACCAACTGCGGGGCGGCGTTGGGATGCTTTCCGATGACCTGGTGAAGGATCTCTTCCCTGGTAAGTGATGCATTTCCCTAACCCATGAATATCCGTAGACCGACCTCTAACGCGTGAATGGTAGGAGATCGAGACGAGAACGAAACCCGCTATGTCGCCATCTCGCCATACTTCCCCGGGCAGCCCTCGGTTGAGGATCTTGCCTGGACCATCATTCCGGTTCGGCCCCAATCGAAGGATCGCGCCTACGAGTCCCCGCTTCCGCACTCGACGGTCGTCTTCCCAGATGCTGCCGACTCCCTGCAACCGTTTGTACAGGCTTTGAGCAGGCTCGACCCGACGCGACACGGCCTCCAAGCCCAGCGGTCGATCGAGATCAGGGTGCTGGACGTCGTTCCTCTTCATCTGGACACGGTTTACGTGACTGTGGAGCGGAACCTGCTCCGGAACCACGATGATGTCCAGAACAAATTCGGCGGTGGGTTTACGAGCAGTCTCCATGGCCCTAACGGGTTGTGGGCCAAGACCGGCAAGAGCTTGGAGACGAAGAAGTATTCCAAGAAAGCCGCCGCAGAGGCAGAGGAGCGCCTCATGGCAGCTGTTCGCGAGGCCCTGGGAACGCAAAAGGTGGTGCATACCGGCGACGTGCTGCCTCTCCCATTGCCTCCGCATCCCATCACCTACGCTCCCCCGCCTCCTGTGCACATTTCCTTCTGTGAACCCGTATCTCAGGGTCTGTTGATGCCGACGACCAAGATTGTCCTCATCCAGGCACGCCCGCACAATACCCGGAGTCAGCGCAGCCTGAGATCTGGATCGGGCTTGCTCAAACAGGTCGCGGAGAACGAGGCTGACGACACGTCCAACGAACAATTCTATTCTGCGGCGGAGGATAAACCTGTGGAGGACAGCACTGAGATGGAGACCACTTCAGCTGCAGAAGACTCCGAGACGGAAGGATCTACAGGTAATACGAGCGACTCTTCGGACGATTCCTTAGAAGACATGATTACCCTTACCGCGCCCGAACTTCCCCAGCACCCGTCCGGTGTCATGTCGGGCATGACCGCCGCGACTCCCCGCGCGGCCAGACGCGGTGATGGTATCCACACCCCGGGGTCAGTCACGTCTACGTTCACTTCGGCGACCCTGCGTGCCGGTCGAGCTGGTGGAGGGAAGGTTTTCAAGACCGAGGGCCTCCTACGTGCGATTCCAAATGACCTTCTGCACCCTAGACCGCGCGAAGACGATGACCCGGAGTCGTTTGTTTTCGTCGACATTAGCACCCTGGCGAAGATTGGTTGCTTTTCGGGAGATTGGGTTAGAGTTGAGGTGACCGAGGAGCCTCAGACGAACATCTTCGCTTCGATCAAGCTAGGAAGCTTCAATGACCAGGAGCAGGATTCTGGCGACTGGCGCGCGGTCAAGATCTATGGTCTGCCGGGTCTCCCGTCGGCCAAACCTCGTTACTCAATCAACCAATCTGGCGATCGCCGTCCGAGTATCTCCCAACGCCCTACGCTGCGCCTGACCCCGTCCGTCTTCGTCCCTCCACTGCTTCTGAACAACCTCGACAACCCGAAGTACCTACGGATAGCTCCAATGGCCTTTGCTAATGCTAGCGGTGGCCCCAAATCCGGTCTCCTGCACCAAATGAAAGCAAGCTCGGTCCGAAGCCCGCCGATGGCGAAGGAAGTGACCTTGCTCAAAGTGTCTACCCCCCTTTCCATGGACCGTACTCTGCAGCCCGCCTTGTTTGCAGGCCTCAAGCAGTACTTTGAGTCCAAAAGGCGTCTTCTCAAGAGTGGAGATCTCGTGGGAATCAGCGTTGACGAAGGGCTTGGGAGAGCTGTTTTTGCAGGACCCGCTGCCGCCGATGGCTCTCATCAAGATGAAGATATTACTACGCGACTGGGTCGGGTTGGAGATGCGGATCATGCTGGATCGAGAAAAGTCGGGGTCGCCTGGTTCCGCGTTGGACAAGTTGTCCCCAGTTCGTCGGATGACCCAGATGAAACCGCGGAGAACCAGTGGGGTGGTGTAGCTATCATTGACTCGGCCACTACGAGAATGGTACAGGCGGGCAGCGATGTGAGCAAAGTGCCGGGCGTTCTGAACAACGGATGGGAATACTGGTTGGGAGTGAAGACTGTACCCAAGTCTGTGAGCGACTTTCCGAGCTCCCATGGGTTGATCACCGAATCACCCCAGACGTATATTTCTTCCCTGCAGGAGCGCATCCGCGACCTGATGTCTGTTGCCACTAGCCCCCGTGCTATCCAGCTCGGTATGAAGCCTGTTGTCATCCTTCTCCGGTCGCAACAGAGACATATCGGAAAGGCAACGGTGGCTACCCGAGCGTGCGCAGATATTGGGCTTCATACCTTCCCCATTGATGCTTATGATATCCTGACGGAAGGTGGAGCGAACGGCGGCGACGTCAAGACCGAGGCATACCTGAAAGCGAGAGCGGAACGTGCATTCCACTGTGGATCGAACTGCACCGCACTTCTCATCAAACACATTGAAGTCCTTACTGCTGATAGAATTGTCTCCGCGATGTCGGAGATTGTGAACGATGCGCGAGTGGTGATCGCCACCACGACTGACGTTGAGCAAATCCCGGAGGGCATCCGGAGCCTGTTCACCCACGAGTTCGAAATGACCGCTCCTGAAGAAAAGGAGCGCGAGGGGATCCTCCGGAACGCTGTATGTGAGCGAAGCATCAAGCTTTCGCCGGATGTCGACCTGGGAACGGTCGCTCTGAAGACAGCTGCCCTGGTGGCCGGCGACCTAGTGGATGTCGTTGAACGCGCAGCCTCGATCCGAACCGCTCGTTTGGACAAACTGGCCGAGTCTGCGAGCAAACAGACGTCCGTTGCCCCGGTCAGCGTCAGAGATATCATTGTCTCTGGTGGTGATGCCGCACGAGGGGTCACCAAGGCCGATTTCGACACTGCTGTGGAAGCCGCCCGAAAGAATTTTGCTGATTCCATTGGCGCACCCAAGATTCCCAATGTCAGCTGGGATGACGTGGGAGGTCTTACGAACGTTAAGGATGCCCTCATCGAGACCATTCAACTTCCCTTGGAACGACCGGAGCTGTTCGCGAAGGGTATGAAGAAGCGGAGCGGTATCCTATTCTACGGTCCTCCGGGTACGGGTAAAACACTGCTTGCTAAGGCGATTGCCACGGAATTCTCCCTGAACTTCTTTTCGGTGAAGGGTCCTGAGCTGCTGAACATGTACATTGGTGAGTCTGAAGCCAACGTGCGGCGGGTGTTCCAACGGGCCCGGGATGCTCGGCCTTGCGTGGTGTTCTTCGATGAATTGGACTCGGTCGCCCCGAAGCGAGGCAACCAGGGTGACAGTGGCGGAGTGATGGATCGTATCGTCAGTCAGCTTCTTGCGGAATTGGACGGCATGAACGGGGGTGAAGAGAACAGCGGGGGCGTCTTTGTGATCGGCGCGACGAACCGTCCCGACCTGCTGGATAACGCCCTGCTTCGGCCAGGACGTTTCGACAAGATGCTGTATCTGGGCGTCTCCGACACGCACGAGAAGCAGGCGACGATTCTGGAGGCGCTTACGAGGAAGTTTACGCTGGATCCGGCGGTGTCGCTGCGGCGGGTGGCAGACCGACTGCCGCTTACGTATACGGGTGCTGACCTGTATGCGCTGTGCTCGGACGCCATGCTGAAGGCGATTACGCGCAAGGCCACGGCGGTGGACGAGAAGATCAAGGCGCTGCCGGGCGAGCCGGTCAGCACGGCCTGGTTCTTTGACCACCTGGCGACGCCGGAAGATGTTGCGGTGATGGTGACGGAGGACGACTTTAGCCAGGCCCAGGGGGAGCTGGTGCCGAGTGTCAGGTACGTGTTCTTATCGATGCAGTTAACAGCCTTGTTTCGGAACGATTGCTGATCCTTTGTAGTGCGAAGGAATTGGAGCATTTTGAGCGGATCCGGCAGTCGTTTGAGTCGGTTGATAAGAAAAAGCAGGACGGGGCGAACCCACCGGGAGGCCCACAGACGATTGGCGACGCGCTGGAGGCGCTTAATATCGGGGACGAACTGGATGGCCCTATTGATGGGGGGCCGGTGACGAATGGGGATCATGTTCCCGTGGGGACTGGCAAGGGCAAGGCCAAGCAGGGTGGTCCACCGGTGGCGAAGGGCAAGGGTAAGGGGAAGAGTAAGATGGTGTCGGTGCCAAACGGAGACTCAGACTCTTCGCTGGACGGGCCTACATCGGGACCCCGGGAAGAGGGTACCTACGATGACGTCGGGGAGGACGAGGAGTACATAGTCCGGACCGACGGGACGCAGTAGAGGAGAATGGGAATGGGAAGGAGTATAGAGGGAGGAGGAACGGGGGTGTACATACATTGTCTTCTCGATTGTATTGATTGACTGACGATTGCATATCATTGCATATCTATTGTACTGAGTATTAAGTGGCGAGGTCGGAGAGATTTCGGGGGGAGACAGTATACGGAGTAGTACAATAGTGGATCCGTTTCGTATCTCCTCCGAGTAGATAGTTACTAAGTACAGTATGTACAATAGTCTACTCCCACGGATGACACACGTGTATAGTTAATTATCAGAAAGACAAGCTTTGGACCCATCGGGAGACGGGCTAGTGTTCGGCGCTTCCATCCAATGGCGGGGGCTGCTTCTCTTATCGAGTCGCCGAGCGGAGATGCGTCCGCTTTCCTTACCCCATGCCCATTAGGTAACAGACTGCCTCCCCGCATATCCTTCTCCATAGTCAGTCAGGTCAGGATGGCCGCATGAGGTCAGGAACCCGTAATAGGGCCTGTGCCTGGCCAGTATCGGAGTCTACTTTCCCCTTTCTTCCTCCCTCTCTCTCTCTTCTTCCTTCCACCTTCCATTGAGTCCATTGAGACTGCATTGAATCCTATCTCACGACGAGGACAACACCATGTCGTCTTCCAAGGGCTTTCAGAATGACGACGATGCCCAGTTGGCCGCCATGGGCCACAAGGCCGAGTTGAACCGCAACTTTTCCATGCTGTATGCTTGCTTCTCCCGTTCCCTCTCCTTGTTGTCTATCAAGACGCTCACGCATCATCTCTAGTTCCATGTTAGGACTGGCCTTTGCTATTCTCAATGTATGCTTCCCCCGCAATGCTTCTCTCCCGGCCATTGGACCCGAGAACCAGTCCGTCGCGACACTAAACCATCCCCCCAATCCCAATCCTGGCTCCGATCAACTCTAACCCGTCCTCAGTCGTGGACCGCGTTATCGGCTAGCTTATCGCTCAGTCTGCCGTCCGGGGGCTGTGTCAGCGTCATTTGGGGTGAGTGACCTGCTTGATAGACGATAGACTCGTCCTAAATCAATCCCCAAGGTCTCGTTACAGCTGGTATCTGTAACCTATCTACCGCCGTCTCGCTGGCCGAGTTCTTGTCCGCCTATCCCACGTGAGTTCCTACCTATAGTCACTGGCGGTCAGATCGGATCTGACTGTGGTATAGTGCTGGAGGACAATATCACTGGGTTGCAGGTATGTCATCTATCTTATCAAAACCCTGATTGAATAATGCTAACTGATCGTGTATAGTCAGTGAGTAATCTCTCCCTCGTCAGCATCGTTCGCTCGTCTAATATTCTCCAAGTCTCCTGGGAAAAATGGGTCCCAAGTCTCTCCTGGATCACTGGCTGGGCCAATGTCTCGGGATGGGTAAGCCGCGCACTTAAGCGTCCATGCGCAAAGCTGACGCGACTAGGTTGCACTTACATGCACGGGTGGCCTGTTGGGTAGCCAATTGATTCTAGGGGTTATCGCCCTGATGCATCCGGTATGCGACCTCACAGGACCTAGACTTCCCCGGCTAATCCTTCGCAGACGTACGAAGCGCAGCGCTGGCATCAATTTCTGCTTTACGTTGCCTACAATATCATTGGCTTCCTTGTCAACTCGCTCATGAACAAAGGCTTGCCACTGGTTACGAAGGGTGCCTGTATGTCGTCAAAGTCGGTCAATCCTGCAATAGCGACGGCGCTGACAGTATGCAGTCATCTGGTCGATCACTGGTTTTGCGGTCATCTCCATCACCATCCTTGCGTGCTCATCTCCAAACTATAGCTCTGGAGAGTACGTGCTGGTCTCCCCGCATTGAGGATATGACTGACGCGCGTAGGTTTGTCTTTGGAGATTTTATCAACACTACCGGCTGTATGTGCGTGCCATTACTCTCATTGAACCAAACTAACTTATCCAGGGCCGGATGGACTTGCTTGGCTTCTCGGTGTATGTCCCACCACTCACAAGGACTGAATCTTTCTGACCGATACTAGTTGCTCCAAGGAGGTCTTGGTCTCACGGGATTTGTATGTCACCTAATTTACTCGGTCAATGATCATAGCTAACAGTCACAGGATGGCGTTGCACACATGATTGAAGGTACGAGATCGGAAAAATGCTGAAATGCCATATCCTAATATCTGGACAGAAATTCCAGACGCCTCCGTGGTCGGCCCGCGGATCATGATCTACTGCGTTTCCATCGGCTGTTTCACTGGATTGGTCTTTTTGATCGTCCTGCTGTTCGTCGCGGGAGATATCACCCAGGTGATCAATTCCACCGCCGGATGTCTCCTCCAGATCTTTAAAAACGCAACCGCCAACAATGCGGGTGCGATCTGTCTGCTCATGTACGGTATATCGCTTTCCTCGGGGTGATGGGTTACTGACTCGATCGAAGGTTTCCCCTGGTGTGCATCTTGTTCGCGACAATCACGATCATGGCCACCAGCAGCCGTATGATCTACGCCTTTGCGAGGTAAGTTTTTCCGCCAGACTCTACGATGGCAGATGCTGATAGCGCACAGAGACGGAGGTCTTCCCGCATCGCCATTTTTCAGCAAGGTCCACGACAAGCTCAAAGTGCCTTTGAATGCCCTGTACCTGACCAATGCGCTGGTCATCATCTTCGGCCTGATCTTCCTCGGTTCCTCTAGGTGAGTCGATCGTGGTCCTCCGTGAGCGCACCGCTAATGCAACCAGTGCATTCAACGCCATCGTCTCTTCATCCGTGGTGATGCTCGACATCTCCTACGGCATTCCCATCGCTATTAACTGCTTGCGCGGACGGAAAATGCTGCCCGAGCGCCCGTTTGTGCTCCCCAATGCCGTCGGCTGGACGGTGAACCTGGTACGGAAGACGAACCACCCACTCGAAGCACTCGCACTGACTGTGGGAACTAGATTGCCCTGGCCTATATCTCCCTCACCACCGTCTTGTTCCTCTTTCCTCCTGAGATCCCTGTGACAGGTAGCAACATGAGTAAGTCCATGCAAAATCCCCGGCGTGTCGTGCAAACCCGCTGACTTCCCACCAGACTACTGTGTCGCCGCGTTCGGTATTATCCTGATCATCTCGACTTTCCAGTGGATTGTGGATGGTCGCAAGAACTTCACTGGCCCGCGGGTAGATGTTGCGGTACTGTCGGGCGAGGTCGCTGTGGGCAGTAGCGAGCCTGTTGAGGGAACAAGTCCCTCGAAAGATGCGATGCAGCGTGATTAAAAAATAAGCAGGGGTGTATAGAATGGTCAGGTTAATATAGAGTAGCAGCGATAGACATAATGACAATTGTCTGATAATGTACTTCGGTGGTGATACATTGCGTCATAAGTGGCCTGAGGCAACACGGCGGCGGTCCCAACACTTTAATCGGTCTCCCCACACTTTCTCCAACGCGATCTTCTCTTTGACGCCAACTGATGCTGCGACAGCACAACAGCTTAGATGTAATCTTTGCCTCTTTATCTGTACTTTCTACATCCCCTACATCCCCGTTGCAGTCCATTCCATTACCTGTGGTCGACCACAGCCAGAGATCTGTCGGGCGAACAGCGGCCCAAGACATCTATAGCTCAACATGATCTCGTTCTCCTTTCTTCGCTCGTTTGGCAACTTGATCTCCTGGAGTGATCGGAAGCTCTTACACCTTCCATCTGTCACAATCCATGAGATCGACACCGCCCAGGAAAAGCCCGCCAGAGCGCTGAAGCATTTGTTGAAGCTCAACCACGCCAACCACGCCATTCTGTGGAATGACCGAAAATTCCACAACCATGTACCGCATGTAAGTCAGCACTCATGCCTATGCGTAAGGATGTCTCTAACAGTCCTAGATACTCGGCTCCTCTTTTCTCCAGGGCGCTGACGCCAATGACTTGACCCGTGCATATGAGGCCGAAAGCAAGGGCCTGGAGGCCTGGGTTGACTCGCCAAACGAGATCAGTACTTACGACTGGAGGGACTATCTTTCAGCGAAAGAGTAGGCTATCATTCCGTGCAGCAGAAGCTAGTCTATGAAGTGTGCGTGCGCTGACTGCTGCCAGATACCAGCGTGCATATGTAGACTTTTTCGAAGATGAACTCGTCCGCCATGGATATGACTGGAAGGAGGTTGTCCAGAACTACCTGTATTCCGGAAGACAGCCGTTGGTTAATTCTCTGGTCGCGGGTCGTATGTCTCTGCTTACATTCTATGCACCGTTCTGCGTTAACTCTACCCAGTCGGCCACCCACTCATCCACCTTGGCTATGCGTTCGAACTGTCCAGTCGTGAAACAGCCATCGAAGCGCTAGCGCTCACCGCTACGTGCTACAGCGACATCCACAAATACTTTGACGACCCATCGTACTCCCAAGCGCACTCGTCGTACTCCTCGACATCCCTGTTTGAGATTCTAAGCAAGGTCCGCGCCGACAAGCGCTTCCACGGCCTGTTCGGCACACCAGGCGACCACAACCTGGACGTTCTCTTCACGAAACACGAAGCCGATCTTCTCCACCACTGGAATGCGTGGAAGATCGAAAACCCCGAAGAACAGTTCCGTGAGACGCAGGAAGTCGCCGCCGCCCTGCTAACGGCCACGCGCGCCGAGCCCGCGCAAAAATACGACTTCTTCTTAGTGCATGTCCTCACCACCAGCCACGCCGTCCGCGTTCTCCTCCCCCTGATCCCGGGGCGGTTCCAGCTCTCGCTGATTCGGCAGTGGTGGCTCCTGACGTTGGCTGTTTACATTGCGCAGCTGAGGCCGGAGGTGAATGTCGATGCGGTGAGGGATGTGCAGTTGGGTGGAAGAGATTGGGAGTGGACGGCGAGGAAGGCGACCAAGGGCGAGTATTCGACGGATGCGCATTACGTCAAGGCGATTCGGGCATTGAGGGAAGCGGCCAACACCTGGGGAGACTCGGAATCGTTTTATTTGAAGGCGGCGGTGAAATTCGCCGAGGAGTTTGATGGATGGGGTGGGTTCTTGTGATGCATATGATGTTCATCATGGCGTCTGGTGTTGGATTTGAGCTATACTCCGTATCTAAGCCTAATACTCTATCATAATAGCAGTCTTTTGATCGGATTTGAGACGACATAGTACTGGGTAAGATCATATCTTGCCTCAGGCAGAACTCACCGGATGAAAAGTTTAGTTTGTCATGTTTGCATGGTAGCTGGTAGCTTTCCCTTGACCTCTTCATCTCAATCTCAACATCTTCAGACGTTCGATACCCAACAATTTCCCGCAGAGGCAGATGAGCCTCATCCTCACACCAACGACTAACCGAACAGCGTCTAACCACAATGCCCGAAGCAGTCCCCGGGGAACACCCCTCCCTCTACCTCCACGCAGAGCTCCTCCCCAACATCCGACACATCACGCTCTACATTTCCCTCCCCGCAACCATCCCGAAGACCCTCCTCCCAAAGATCACACTCTCCGACTCGCGTCGCGCAGTATCCGTATCCCTCCCAGAACCGCACAATCATGTCTCCGACACGATCAAACTCCCCGCGCGGGTCAACGAAGCCGCCCGGCGGACGTTAGCCACCAGCTCAACCCCTAACCAAACCCCCCAGAGTCAGACAGAATCCCACACGCGGGAATACTCATTCCGCATGCTGATCGACGACCGCACGGGACCGCTTCTCCTCCGCGAAGAACCGCTCGACGCGTTCGTCCCATGGACGGCGACGGATATGCGGCCGGCGACGCGGCTGCGCTGCCGGGTCTGCGAGAACATGCTTCTAGAGCGTCCAATGGCCCGGTGGCCCGATGCAGATACGATAGAGAACGGAAACGAGCCGACAGGCTGGATGTGGAAAGACCTGCCCAGCGGGAACTGGGCCGAGATGATGGATTTCTGGCACTGTCATAAACCCGATCCAGAGCCAGACACAGCCGCCGCCGCCGCCGCCGGGAACCTTTCGCAGGAGCAAAGCGCTGTGGTCAAGGGGTACGGGGCTGCGAACCGGGTTGTTGCGACGCCGGGGACGGTGCTGGTCGACGTGGCGACGTTTTTGGTTTCGGGGACGGACTGTCGCGGGGTGAATGTGAATGCGCAGGTGAGGATGTTCTCTTTCTTGTCGAGATAGTAACTGGGCAAAAAGAAGGAGGCCTTCCAGTCCGTGGTCTGGTCTTCGATACAATTGCCCTAGAGCTACGGTGTCTGGGCCCCGACATCCCACGGCGTGTGGAAGATGGCGTCTGCGTGGCGGAGCGCCGACGCAGTTATCCTCTTCGAGATGGATTTCGCGTCGGCTCTTCTCCAGCGGAGGCTGGACTTCCAGACGATCCGGTCGGGGCCGTGACGGCCTCGGTGTTTCTTCGTTGATTCGGTCTTCGTGGCTTATCCCAGAGGCATGGGATCGACGTGATTATAACGAGGTACATGCGCTGTAGGCTAGATGCGTAGTTGATTGATATTGATTGAAACAATGCAATTCTTTGAAAGCTGATAGATAGTCTTAGGCGACGGAAAATACAACATCGCCCGCGGAGCTCCTCTGCTCTGGCTGTGACAGTCTCATCGGAATCGACGACCCCGTCGCAGAAGGATGGCGTCTCTTCAAGACGAGTCTCTCCGCGCACACCCCTCCAGACGACACACCAACACCCTCCGAAGAAAAATGGGAAACCCACTCCATCGAAACCATCGTCGCCGCCCAACTCCTCGAGCTGATCGAACGCGAAAGCGCCCGCCGCTTCGTCCTGCACTGCGGCCAGAAATCTGGATTATTGGTACCCCCTTTCTCCACTTCCTATCATATGCGATATGAATGAGTCTAGCTAACGCAGTGCAGCTCTGGGTCTTCAACCCCGACCTCAGGTACTCAAACTGCAGTTCCAGCCATAGCGTCACCGCGCAGCGCGCGATGAAAGTTCTCTTTCAGAGCGTTGCAGACGTCGACGCAATGCTTCACCCGGAATGTGGGAAGCCGTCACCGCTGTCGCTGGAGGAGCTGCGGCTGCCTGGGACGGTGTTTGGGGCTGTTGAGGAGGTTTTGAAGACGAGGAATGAGATGCTGCCTGCGTCGGCGAGGGCGTTTCGGGAGTGGAGTGTGAGTATCTTGCATCGGTTTGAGAGGGTCGGTGGGTGAGTTGCTGTCTGGAAGGAGAGGAATGGCTATAGACTACGGTATAGGTAAGTTCTTGCAGGATGCGAAGGATGTGATTTCTCATTCTAACTATCCTTTTGCAGATGCCGATGCTATCACGAGAGCGATCGTCGCGAGTCTTCCCAAAGTTCTGGACATTGGTATGATCCACGAGGTATATCGGACAGGCCGGCCATTAAATCGCGCCCAAAAATCCTACTCTTGCCAATAGTCATGTATGCGGTGGCACCTTCGGCAAACATTTGTACGTTGAGGTCCAAAAGGGGATTCTCTTCTCGAGGCTGGAATCCCCTGCAAACAGTTTCGCAGAACTTTCACTGCGAAATCAGTTTCAAATCCCAGGGCTTTGAGTTGAGTTTCGTTCAGAAGGCCTTGATCTTCGAGATCTGCAATATGCTCTCCAATAGCTGACGCTAAGGTCTCTCGAAGCTCCTTGTCTCCTGTCGACCCCAGTGCCTCTTCGGCAGCCGAGGGGAGAACGGAAAGGAAGTCTTTACTACCACCGTGCCTTTCAATCAGTCGCTTCAGCCTGCCATTTGCTAAAGCAACAAGCCCGTCGACCTTGTAGTAGTCGCCTACCGAGTTGGCACGAATGTGGTCGAGAAAGGAGGCTGCAGCGGTTGGGGATGGCGCCGACGCTGTTGCAGTCATGGTGCTGCTCTCTCCGCCGGCAGTCCATTGAGGGGCGTTTCTCGGGTCAATCATGTGTGTAGGGAACCGGTCGGAGTCGAAGCTGGCGCTTCCAGGGTATCTATCGTCGTCCGGCGGATCATTGCTGTCATAATCGCCCGTGTACATGAATTGCACGAAGTGTTTCACGGTCTGCACATGGAAACTGTCCATGCTGATCGTGCCTGTGTGTGATTCCTGCATGGCTCGAGTGAGCAACGCTGTCCGTCAGATCATTGCACTTGAGACGCACTAGGAAGCCACCCTGGACTGCTGCTTTCAGCGGCTCGGACTGCGTGCACACAATGGCCTTGTGGACCTTTGAACTCTTCCCCGTTGCAGACAAACGTCAGGTCACTGAACTCTCCCGTGTCCATGATTTTAACCAGAACCGAGTCGGGCTTATCGCTCGTTGTCGTGCCGCGCTGGGGGCCTGGCATCTCGCTCTGCATTTCGGTGACTTCATAAGACCTCCACCCCATCACGACGGCGAACAACTTGATAAGTAGAATGTACAGGCAGTGATAAGGACGGCGATATATTGGGTTGAGAGGAGGCTGTCTATCATGATGAACTCATCATCGGAAAGAGCTCATCCAATCCCGACCACTACCGTCCACAGGAGAACCAGAGAAGGGCTAGAGATGTCAGATTGCGAGTCGATGACTACGATGGGTCCAGGCATAAAACTGTATCAGTTCATTATGGACTATACTAAAATCCTAGCTAGCCTCGAACGGCGTCTCGTATGGACGCTCGGCCTGAGGAGTGATCCGCGCTAGATGGCGTCTCTGTCCGTCCTCCCAATCGAACAGAGCGCTGTGTGCTACCACACGGTTCTGCAAACATTAGCACCGAGATAACCTTGACAGTGTGGATGTGACTTACATCCCAGACGACGACCGTGCCAGGACGCCATCTCACCCGGGTCTGGATGTCCTGCGACAGCGCGATGTGGTCGTACAGGAATTTCAGCAGAAAGTCTGATTCTTCCTTCTTGTATCCGACAATATAACGAGTGACTATTCCGTCAGTACACTTACTAAACACCAACGCATTCAATGGGAGACCTACACTGCGGGTTCACAAACAACGCTTTCTCCCCCGTAACCTACTCAAGTCAGCCAGAACCTCCTCTACCTCAAGATAACAGCAACTTACCGGGTGCGTGCGAACAATCGGATGCTCCGTCATAATCCCCTCGCGCCGGGCAATACCCCCCTTATTCAGACTGTTATTGATCTGCTCAATCCCCGAATGCACCGCCCTCAGACCATGCAACCGCCTCCGGAACTCAGGCGATAGCCGCCGATACGCCTGCGCCATATCACAGAACAGCGTATCCCCCCCGCTCGACGGTCCATCCAGCAGATACAGAAACGTCGTGCCGGGCGGCTGCTTCTCGAACGTCACGTCCGAGTGCCAGGTGATCGAGTTGGTGCGGGTGGCCAGGAAATCCTGGCCGCTGGTGTCGTCGGCGCCGCGGTGCACCAGATGGATCTCCGGGAAGCCCTTGGGCGCGCCGGACGTCTGGTGGATGTGGTGTCTGCCGAAGTAGCCGCCCCATTCGAGGGCCTTGTCGATGGGCAGGTGGGCGAAGTCCTGGTCGCGGAAGGCTTGTCGGATTAGTTGGCTTCATTGAATAGAGAGGGGGTGGTAACGTACCGACGACCTTGCGCTGGGCGACGAACAGTGCCAGCTGGTCTTTGCCTTTGTCGGACAACTGGCTGAGCTGGACGCCCTTGACCTCGCTGCCGATCGTGGGCGTGAGGTCGTCGATCTCGGCCTTGCCGGCGGGCAGGAGATCGGGGAAGCCGGGGTCGGCGTCTTTGCCGTGGTCGTAGTGCTCAAAGTCCGTTAATGGAGGGTATCTATGCATCCATTAGTTTACTGATGCGGAAGGATGAGAGTTGTAAACACCTCTCGGTCTCGTTATCCCACACGGGGAGGTAGTTGGGGAACGAAGCAGGCGGCTGCTTCGTCGTGCCCTTGAGTTCGTTCTCGTGCTGATAAGCCTCGCCATATCCTATGAGGTTCTCCTTGTTGAAGCCTGCATCGGTTTTGAGGACGGTCTTTGGCGCCTGGCGCAGAGCGACGGTTTCAGTGAGCGAGGGGGCCATGGTACAGACTTGATCCGCTGCGCAGTCTCCTCGAGCATGAAGTTGGATTCACCATCGACCTAACAGAGGATTCCTTCCCCAGATATAGCCCTTCACATCCGATTATCCGTGCTGGGCTTGCGCAATAGTTGCGGGGTATGTCTACAGCTCGTCGTACGAGAAGCCGTCCATTCGAGCGCACCGAGCCGCCGCGGGGTCGAAGACATGACTTGGAAATGTACGACGAAGGAAGCATCCAGCTGGTTGCTGTCTGGTTGATGAACAGATCAGACGCTTGCCCTATGGCGTGATAGAAGCGATCTGGATTCATCGATATCGATGTTCACGCCGATTCGGCAGCGGCATTTCTATGTCCGGGAAAAGCGCGCCTTACGAGGACAAAACTTCAATTCGGGAAATGACAACGTCTTCTTCATATTCAACTGGTTGGCGTTAACCGTGGTCGAGACACTCGTTGATGCTGTTGTTGCCGGAGTGGGCCAAGCATGGCGTGATAGGGCTTCTAGTTTGCGCAAGTCGACAGCACTAGAATTTTACCATCTGCGGAGTAGAGGGCAGAAGAGCCCCGCTGAAGACGTTTAGATGTTGCTTGGTGAGCTTCACCAGATCGAGCAGATAAGTTTGTCGGTTATTGATATCTGGCTCATGAATCAAGTTGACAGGGGATAGAGCACTGGTTTGCGCGACACAGACACTATTCAGGAAGGCTTGTTCTATCAGATGGACACGGCTATCCTACTGTACGCGTCGTCCTGTGTGGCGATGTAGATGACGAAAGATACCACCATAAGCCAATCCGATGGTGAAATCACCCGCGTCTCCATCCTCACTAGTCAGTTATGGCACGTTGGAATATGGGAAGCTGGCTCCAAAGCGATATGTTGTCTACGCTAATCGACATCCCAGCATTCTTGGAGACATTCTACTCGTCTCGCATAGCGTCACCATAGTCTGGCGTGCGTGATGCTGCTCTCTTTTACTTCCAATTGGACACTGGGCCATGGCCTCGTCGACCATTCGCATCTGGTGGATCTCCTTATGGAGTCTAGATACTGTCCTCGGTTGTTGACACTGCGGCAGTCGACCTTGGTTCATCCAGCCATTACAGCTATCGCTCCAAGGACCTAAAATATCCTAGAACGGCGTAAAAGAATTCACAATTGGCTGTCGTATCTCTCCACACGTGGGGTACGTCTAGCTGTGCATACGTTACTGTCCGTGCTTGACAAGGAATTGCGTGATGGACCTGCTCCGTTGAGAGATAGAGCTATATAACCTTGTCCTCTGTACATGCGTGTCCGTCCAGGCCTACATCACACGCTCCGACTCTAGCGACAATGGCCTCGAACGAGACAAAAGGGGCAGACCTAGACACCAAGGCTCTCCCCTCGGGGACGTCATCGTCGACATCACTCGACGCCGCCGAGCGCAGCAACCGGATCAAAGACTTGAGCGACTGCGCTTTCGACACCAGCGAAGATCCCAGATACTACAAGCCGATCCCGTCATACGAAGGCATCCATCGATGGGATCCGGACTTTGACTGGGAAGAGGAGGAGGAAAAGCGCGTCCTCAGAAAGGTATTCCCGTACTATAAATCCCATCGAACTTGATAAAAACTAACCCTCCAGATCGATCTGCGCGTCTGCACCTTCGCCTGCGTCACGTTCTTTGCCCTGCAGCTGGACCGCGGCAATGTCGTCCAGGCCATGTCGGACAACATGCTGGGCGACCTGGGCATGAACACCAACGACTACAACACCGGCCAGACCATCTTCTTCCTCTGCTTCCTGTTCGCCGAGCTCCCGTCGCAGCTGATCTCGAAGAAACTCGGCCCGGACCGGTGGATCCCCATCCAGATGTTCTCGTGGAGTCTCATCGCAGCGTGCCAGGCGTTCCTCAAGAGCAAGGGCGGCTACTACGCCTGCCGTGCGCTGCTGGGGCTGTTCGAAGGCGGATTGTAAGTCCCTGCATTCGTTCGTACCTTATACACCGTCCTAATCTGGTGGCCAGCATCCCCGACACCATCCTCTTCCTCTCCTTCTGGTACAAGTCAAAAGAACTCCCCATCCGGCTCAGCTACTTCTGGGTCTCGTACCAGGGCACCGCGATCATCGGCGCGTTCCTCGCCTTCGGCTTCCTGCACATCCGCCGCGATGACGGCACCGGCGGCTGGCGGTACCTGTTCGCATACGAAGGCCTGATCACGGGGGTCGTCGCCATCGTCGCCGCGTTCTGGATGCCCGCGTCGCCGGTGCAGACGAAGGGCGGCTTCCGCGGCAAGGACGGCTGGTTCAATGAGCGCGAGGAGAAGATCATGGTCAACCGCGTGCTGCGCGACGACCCCAGCAAGGGCGGCATGCACAACCGCCAGGCGGTGGATCTGCGCATGCTGTGGCGCGCCCTGTGCGACTACGACATGTGGCCGATCTACCTGCTCGGCCTGACGTGGATGATCCCCAACACGCCCGCCACGAGCTACATCACGCTGAACCTGAAGGCGCTGGGCTTTTCGACTTTCCAGACGAACCTGCTGACCATCCCCGCGTATGTCATTTTCATCCTCAACCTGCTGTTCTGGACGTGGGTGTCCGAGCGGTTTAACCAGCGCCTGCTGCTCGGCGTCGTCTCCGAGTTCTGGTGTCTGGTGCTGTTGATCGCGTTGGCGGTGCTGCCGGATGGGGCTAGTCCGTGGGCGCGCTGGATTCTCAACGTGCTGCTCATCGGCGCGCCGTACGTCCATGCCATCATCGTGGCTATGACGTCGCGGAATGCCGGGTCGGTGCGGACGCGCACGGTCGCCAGCGCCGTCTACAATATGATGGTGCAGGCGTCGAATATCATCGGGAATAATGTAAGTATACTTTTGTCTAGAGGTGACCGGAGCTGGGCTAACGGCGTAGATCTACCGCAACAACGACAAGCCGTATTACCGCGTCGGCAACCGCGTGCTGATCGCCCTGACGGTGTGGAGCATGTTGCTGTTTGTCTTTGCCAAGTTTTACTACATGTGGCGCAACAAGTGCGTTGTCTGTCTGGCTATGGCGTCGGGGTATGCTGACCAGGTGCAGGAAAAACGCGGAGAAATGGGACGCGATGAGCAGCGCCGAGCGCGAGGCGTATCTCGAGGCGAACAAGGACAAGGGAAACAAACGGTATGTTGCGATTCTTCCTGGGCCGCGACGGCTGCTGATGAGTGCAGGCTTGATTTCCGGTTCATCCACTAGAGTAGACATAGATAGACATCAATCAGTAGGATTGATAAAAGCCGAACGCCTTATATCCCTACTCAATCATATAATCATCATCTCAATAAGCAAAATCACTCCCCAATAACATACTCACACCCCGACTCCCCAATCCAGACCTCGTGCAGCTTGTTGGCCGGCACATCGACGCGGGCGCCCACGCCGAACGTCTCCTTCTTCACCTCCCCGTGGTGCAGCGTGGCGTTGTCTTCGGGATAGGTGATGGTCAGGGAGCCCTGTCGGATGAGATGCGTTGTCACGCCTGCGTGTCTGTGCGGGGGGTAGTATGCATTGCTAGCAGGTCAGCCTGTCCACGCTCTACCAGTAGGTACGAAGTACTATAGTAGGTGCACACCTTCCGTCCGCCCAGGTGAACACATGGCGGAAGCCCCAGTCTCTGACGAGACGCTCGCATTCGCTGCGGGTGCCGATAGGGTATGTTTCTGCCATGGTGGTCTGTACGAAGTAAATACTAGATAGAGTGATAGAGATGAAGTCGGAAGTTGATATTGATGTTGTTGGTAATTTGCGTCTTCTCGTTGGATGCGGGGAGCGATGACGTCATGCCTGAGATGTCTGCCTTGTTGCCTGATTGTTTATAGTCTATCAGTTCTTTTCTGTGTTTACTTATGCGGTAGCATCTTCTACAGATGCAACTACATTCCTAGTACTGTCTGACATCTCTCATTGATTAGGCCGTCTCGTATTCACGACAGCTGCGGATCATATAGTACAGTAAGTCGGGAGCATCCCATCCACCGGCGGTCAGATCGTGAATCCCGCGAATCGATCCATCTGCGGCACTCCCATCGCGACCCAGGATCGAGAGCGGAAGACCGGCGGGCAATCTATGTACACTCTGCTCTCAAGGGCGGCTGGATGATCCCGTAGGGAGGCAGGGTGCGGTCCTGCGTTGATGCGTGGGGCATGGCTTATCTGGAGGCAGTTAGCATGGCTTCTGGCAGAGAATCCGGAGAATGGATGGCCGGACGGGTCTTACCAGCAGCGCGTCTCACGTCGAGCAGGGTGTGCCGCACTTGTGGCAGTTCTTGCCGGGGATCACCCAAACTTCTTCGCCGTTGCCTTGGCAGGTGGGACAGCGGACTCCGGGCATCTGGTCTCGTTAGGACGCTGGTGTGCTGTGTACTGGTGTACTGGTGTACTGGTGTACTGGTATACTGGAGGGGATACGCACAGGCATGGTGATGTTGTATAAGGGGGGTCTTGTATGGCGTGGGGAGGATGAAAATGGACGGGTGCACAGATCCAGCAAGCAGATGCCAGACGAAGGACAAACTTCAGGATGAGTAGAGCAGAGTTCAATAGCGTCCGAGTGAACCAAATTTCAGTCGCTGAGCTTATCGAATCGACGGAAGTAGCTGACGGCGGGTGTTGTTCCCGACTTTATACGTTCAGTCGCCGCCATGGAGACGGGACTGATTTTTCTCTCGTCCGCTTCGATGGCCCCTATCACATCGGGAGATCTTCATCCTAGGTTGGTCGATCGATCGATTGACCACTCGGTTGGGTTGGAATCGATAAGATTGGCTTGCAATTGCAATGCAGAGCCATGGGCGGCGCTGCCATGCAACGCGACGCAATGCATCCGTCTCATTCTATCTATCGTGCGGTGGAGTGGATGTGATGAACGGACCCTGGCGACGCAACCTGTCAAGCGCTCGGTCCTGGCTGGGATTCGCTCGGATGTTGCCGTTATGACAAGCATTGCAGTTGGGTTGCGATAGATCCACTGGGTTGGTGGCCTGCAGGCGCATCTACGTGTCGATGGCAGTCAGAAACATATCACCATTGATCAAACAGCCGGACAGCTCGGAACGACACCACCACAACTATCATCACACCATCCCAAGCATCACACACATCAATTGGTGGCCGCCGTCAGAACCGCGGGGCAGAACGACAGATCAGTTCGTCCATCGTCCTCTTTGGCAGCCTTTGCAACGTCCATTGGCCACGGGGCCCTGTCTAGCCACGCATCCTGGGCCCCATATTGGGTCCCGATTACGTGCAGGGAGTCAAGCCAGCCAGGTTCCCTGGTCTTCATCTTCACACTAGGCGAGCTCTGGGATGCTGGGATCAGGCGGAATTAGACTCCACCGCACCAGTGGCTCGGTGCTATCGCATTCTCACTGGTCGTGGCAGAGTTAGGCGTCTCCAGCGGCTAGACAGGTATCCTGCTACAAGGAAGGACCCTGCACTCCGTACCGAGACGGTGGATAGTTCATTTGACGACCGCACCAGCTTCTTGCTTTTTACGGAGTGCCCCTTCCCGTCCCCTCCAGGAAGCAGGACAGTCTGGGGACTGCAGGACGGTTCTACCCCGCTGACCGTGTTGATCCGTGGTATTTCTCACATCACAGCGGGCTAATGCCCCAGATTAGACTAGACACCGCCCTTTGCCCTGGGTGGAATTCGATACATAACATCAACGTCCACACAGGTGGAGTCCGGAGTCTCCGTGGTCGGCCCCTGCTCGAGTCGGACAGGGCACATCGCTGGCCACGGTGCATGGATAGGTGCATCATAGGCCGATTATTTTCCGACCCTGTGCTTCCCATGGCTGCTGCTGCTGCACACCTGAAAGACGACGAGGTCGATCTCGTTTTTGAAGCTCAGGGGCCGGAAAAGGGCACTAGTGTCGACGCCGGTGCTCGCCAAGTCACTGCGCTAAACGGAACAGGAATGCCCCAGTGGGATATCCGTCCAAAGTGACAGGTCGACTGTGGAGGGTCTCGCCTGTCAAATCAGAATTTCCGCTTGCTTTGACCAGCCAGCCGCCGTTTCTTTTTATGGAGTATGGAGTATCGATGGGGGGGTTCAGGAAAGGGGTGGGGAGTGGCTATGCAGGTGGTGTCCAAGTAGGAAGCTATCCAGAGACTGCACTCGATCAGTTCATCCGTTCTGTCCATGCTGGACAACCCAGTTGGACACGGACACGGACAAGCCTCCAGTCGATCTCACCGCCAGTTATCGCATGCATGTCCCTAGCCGGAGTCTGTCTGCAGCGGCGTCGGATCATGATTCTTCTCGGTGTTCCTCTCGCTCTTGCTCGGCTTTCCAGCACGGTGGATCTCCTGAGTCATGTACAAAATCGAACCGGTGTGTTGGGTTGCGTGGCTACCTGGAGCCGCATCGGTTGCTGATGCATTGCAGTGGATGTTGGCAAGCTGGTATCCCAGTTGATGACAATTCTATCTGTAGTTTGCATTCGCTGCATAGTCATTTCGGCGGCATTCCCGCTTACAATATAGACACACTTATGGAACCGCGAGATGACCGTCATACCCTCCTTGAAACCATCTACAGTACGAGATTCGAAGTGAGAATGAGGCCCCAAACTCCTGCAATCCGCCCGATCAGGTCAAGTCCGGCAGGATTCCTTGTGGCTGCATCCTGCCTGAAGGAGCAGGGTTCTTACGTGGGCCCGACGCAAGGCAAGGTAAAGCAAGTCCCAGACCGCCGGACGGCCCATGCACAGGAAACGCAACCGTTCCTATGTAGGGTCTCCGAAACCTGGTTGACCGGCAGACAACGATAGTATATGCAGCTCGCAATTACGAAAGCGTCTTGGTGATGCGGACGAGCAAGCTCCCGCCGGACGCCGACCCGGCACAGTCGCAGAGGTGAATCAGACGATAACCCTCTTGCAGATGGTTCAGCTTGATGCAGGCCCACGCCGCCATGGAGTCGCGTCCAAACTCGTCGTCCTTGACTTTGAATCTGTGGCAGGAGTCAGTGCGAGGCGGTTGTGGCGGCCTGACAGGCCGCAGAAAGCAGCAGGACAAGACAACGGGGCAAGGCTGGTGTAACACCCATATCACGCCATCAAAAGGCAGCCAATGGATGTGACATCACCATCAGAAGAGAAAACAAATATGCTCCGATACGCACCTGATGAAGGTCAACTCATCGACGATCCCCGACACCGTGGGGAACTGGATGAGCTGGCTGCCAAAATCGGGATTGCACCCGGTGGCGCTCTTGGTCGTGCGTTTGTAGCTCGATTTCTCCGAGTCCGTGCTGTCGTCGCCCTGGGGCACTCCCACCGCGTTGTCCCCCTCGGTCTCGACATGCAGGTGGCACGCCACGTAGGGATGGAAGCCCTTTTCGTTCGTGTCGCCCGGCGGTAGCGGGATGTTCTGTCCGGCGATCACCTCGATCGAGAGATCCAGTTGTTTGCGGACGATCGCACTGCCAGCGCCGTCTGAGCTCCGGTAGCCCGGTGGCTTGAGCACCCAGCCTCGCTGGTCAGCAAACATGGCACGATTCAGCATCACGCCTTTGTCGACATTCTGCCAGTTGAGCGCGACGATCTGCGCACCGCGCCGCCAGAAAAAGCTCGGGTCGAGATTGGACGAGGTCACCCGCAGCCCGAACGGATAGATGCGCATGAAGTGGTTGCGGTTGTGCTCGAAAAGTGCCTCCGGGTCTTTCGCATGCGCCGCCCGCGCCGCTTTCTCGGACAGCGAAAACACGTGTCCGGGGACTTTGGCCTCTGTTATGCTAGTCAGCATCATCATGGTGAATGAGAGAGGGAGGGAAATGAGGGCAACCTGGTTGGGCAAAGTGGCTGAAGCGGAACCCTTTCGTAAAGACCGCGAGTCTGCTGAGACCTTGAAAGATCTTTGACGGGGGTTTGGCAGGTGCCCCGGTTGAATCGCCTTGGGAGGCTTTCTGTTGCAACTCGTCGAGCTCGTCCGTGCGGTCTTCCGCGTCGTCCTGCGGGCCATCGCCTGTCGGCGACACCCACTTCACCTTGATGAGGATCTTGCGCTTGAGGTCCTCCGGCGCAGGAATGATCTTGGTCGCTTCGATCTCGGGCGTCACCTCGATCAGCATGCCCTTGAACGCCTCCTCCATGATCTCCACCATGGTCTGCTGCTGCTCCAGGCATGCATGCACCTCCAAGCTGACGATCACGGGCATGTCATTCGTGACGAATGCGTTGTCGCGGATGGCATAGCAGACATCGCGGAACGTCGTGCCCTTGGTGAGCGTGTGACCATGCAGGACTCTCGGCTCAGGGCGCGGCGGAGGAGCAGCCAGGTCGACAGGCTGCTGGCTGGCCGGCGCTGCATCGCCGGATGAACTGCGACCGAGGAGACCACCCAGTTTGGAGGAGAGGGACTTCTTTACGCTCTTTTTGCGTCGGGGGGGTTTGGGCTGGCTCGCGGGTTTGTGGTTGGCATCCTCTTCATCGCTACTGCTGCTACTGCTACTGGTCTCGTCGTCGGATTCACTGTCGGAATCGGGCTCTCCGTCCCAAACATCAATTTCGACGCACCGGCAGCCGTTGAGGAGCACCTACGACCAGGTCAGCTGCGCACGCGACGGAGCCGTCTTGCATGGGGTGATGCGTGGTGCCCTTTGCAGACGCGGTAGATGCAAAAACCAAGGAACGACCTACCGCAGCATATGCGCGTGCATCGGAGTCGCTGGACAGCTGGTTCCCCGTCAGGTAGGTGTTATGACTTGACGAAATGAAATAGTCGGTCATGGGGTGAGAGAAGGATGCATCTTTGGCTGGGCGTAATGCAGACGCCGCTGGACTGGCCATATAGGCCTGAAACGCCTCCAATGAAGCCAGCGGATCGACGGCCTCGATCGCATCGGGAGATTCTTGCTGGACATGCAGGAGAAAATCGGATTGGTAGGCTTTCACCGAGTTGTAGATTCTCTCCACGTGGGCGAGGACAGACGGCGCGAATGAGGTGACTGCGGCGGGATCTGCGACGGAGATATCGCCCGTCTTTTTGACGACTTCATCCATTGTGTCGTGTCAGATGCGCCGACAGTCCGTAGGTCGCAGAGTGTACGCTGCAGCGGGGGACGACGTTGAAGTTGTTGATGGTGGCGATCGGCTGTTGATCAATGCGCTGCGGGTGGTTTGGAGGGGTTCGACAGTTTAACGGAGGTGAGCTGAGCCGAATGTCTGTTCTGAATGAGAGAGATCTGGAGCATATGCGAGGTCAAAGGAGACGACAGGTCATATCGAGGGACGATCTGTGGTGTAGAACAGGAGCAACGTGGGGGAAAGTCAGACTCACTAAAGCGATGATGAATTGGCGGTGGCTGTTTCATCTGCTGTTAATTCGCCGGCTCCACTCTTGGCTGGGACTGACTTAGTTACTGTTAATACAAGTAGTTAATAGATGTTATGGTGTTAGAAGGTGAGGTAGTAGTAGTATGCAAGAGAAAGGAATGAGGAGTATACAGGAAGGAGTAGTAGTAGTGAGTGGGATGTCGTAGTGTACTTCTACCGCGAAGAACAGATCCTTCTGAAGCTGTCGACGAGGGTATTGTTCAGAAGATGTATCTAATCACCTGAATAAGTCCTTCTATCTTTCTACTACTATATATCGTGGATCGTGTATAGGCATATCAGGTAGTCGTCGAGTATAGAGTGCCTAGAGTACAGATGTATAGAGACGCCTACAATTCTACAGATTCACCCACATACTGCATCATAAACACACGAACTATTCAGATAAACCCTCTAATAGTACTAGCAATCCCATAATTAAGGGAATCAATAGAATCCTCGTTCTTCAAATTCTGTTGTTTCTGTACTCTGGGGGTCATGACAAACCCTCGGCTATACAACTCTTCCGTCTCATCTCATCTCACCTTCAACTTCCTCCTCACATTCTTTCCCTTCAACCACACCACCACCACCATGGCAAAAAACACCCCTCCGCACTTCTTCGACATCACCTCGACGCTCCCAGGTCCGTTTGACCCATCCTCTCTCCTCTCTCCAACACTCACTAACTCCCACCAGGAGCGTCGCAGTCCTGGTCCCCAAACACCATGCGAACTCGCATGGTCCTCAACTACAAGCGCATTCGCTACACGCAGTCCTTCGTCTCCTACCCCGACATCGCGCCGCTGCTCTCCCATCTCGCCGTCCAGCCCCATGCCCAGGGCATGCCCTACACCCTCCCGGCCATCGTCCACCCCTCCGTCTCCTCCAACCCCAACGGCGCCCTGATGGACTCGCTCGCCATCGCCGCCCACCTCGACCAGACCTACCCCTCGCCCCCGCTGTTCCCCGCCGGCGACGCCAGCTACGCCCTCACCCTCGCCGTCGCGCGCCTCGTCTCCAAGGTCGTCGCCCAATGCGGCCCGCTCGTCATCCCCAACGTCGCCGATCTGCTCGACCCCCGCGGCCGCGAGTACTTCATCAAGACGCGGTCGGCCCGTTTCGGCAGGCCGCTGTCCGAGGTGCGCCCGCGCGACAAGAACGAGCTGCGCGCCATGATCGACGCCGCCAAGGCGGAGTTTGTCCCCATTGCGCAGATGCTGCTGGGCCGGCTGGGGAAGAAGGGCCCCTTCTTCGAGGGCGAGCGGCCCAGCTATGCGGATTTTCTGGTCGTGTCGTTGCTGGCGTGGTTTGAGCGCGCGGATCGGCCGCTCTTCGAGGAGTTTGCGGCGCTGGGGGATGGTGCGGTCAGGGCTCTGTGGGAGGCGTGTTTGCCGTGGGTGAATGGCCAGGGCGAGGAGAAAGAGTGGCCGGTGCCGAGGTGAGGATACTGGCACTGTAGGGAGGCTGTCATTTGTTCAAGCGATGCATCACCAACTTGTATTAGTACGTAATTCGGGTGCCTACTAATGCCCTCTATACGACGATAATACCACGATCCAATGATCCATTGCGCTATGGATGATAATATGAGTACACAAATACAGTGATAAAATACAGTCCATCTCACCCAAAAATTGTACAGCAACACTACAGCCCACGCAGGAAGTTCGCCTCGCGAATGGCCTTCCGCCGCGCCTCTCTCGCGCTCTTGGTGATCTCGGTCCGCTTCTCCAGACTCTCCGTCGCGTCGGCCAGGAGATCGCTAGCGGTCTGCTCGCCACGGTTGTACGGCGCAGGAGTGATATCCGTCGCGTGGTGGTGGACAGGGATCTTGGGAGGGAGGGTCGCAGCACGGGCAGCCATCTTCTTCTCGTAGCGTTTGCGCTGTTTCTTGTTCAGGGCTGCGACGACATTCGATTAGCACATCTCCACACTCTACACCAACTTCAAAGGAGCGAAAGGGACATACTGCTAGGATCCACACCACCCTCCGACTTGGCCTGCTTCTTCGCATCATCCAACAACGACCACAGCCACTCCGGATACTCGGAGTCTTCCAGCGCCACGAGGTCCGGCTTGTTCTTGAAGTAGTTCAGACCCTGCAGTTTCGTGCCGGCCGGACACGAGCTGGGCGGCCGCTCCACGGGCTTCGTGGGCTTCGCCGGGTTGGCGTCCGTGTGCACGCCCTCCGGTGTGCTCAAGGGCTGCGACACCCCCGGGGTTGCGGACGAGACGGCCGACGGCACTGTGATATCGCCGGTGACGGGTTGGCGAGGGTTCGGCGGCGGGGGCGTCGCGGAGACGGTCGGCTTGCCATCACTGTAATTCCGGAATTGGCTCCGGTAGAGGGGAAGCTGGCGCGCGCATGACGAAGACGACGTCCACGTCACGGTGTGTTGCGGCTGGAGTCGCGAAAGGATAGTGGTGCGGCAGCGTTGGCAGATCATTTTCACGGGCGCCGGTCGAGGGTTGCCTAAATGAGTGCGATGGTGTGTAGCTGCGTAGGTGAGCCTGGATAGGCTGTCCGAGGCTCAATGGGAGATTCGCTGGAGCGAGATTGCTGTTGGATTCTCGGAGTAAACGGAGAAAACGTCGGGATGAATTTGATGCCAAGCCGGTGTGTCATGTGATGTTCTCCAGAGAATTACCTCAGCAGCATGTCACGTGGTTTTATACAAATGTTGACATGCCGAATCGGGCAATATCATAATGAACCAGAAACTGCACCCTAGGGCTCTCGTGACAGTTGTGGTGGTCCTGGATGATAATGGGTGTGTCCACTGTCTTCACAGGTGGTGAGGTTAGAAAAGTCCCATGCCACAGGCATCATGTGGGTAACTATATATTGCATGAGCTGACGCTGCCTTATGTTGATACCTCTAAGGATGTTCCTCTCTTTCATACGACTGGCAAACAACTATCTCATTTCCAGCCTTCCGTCCATCTCTCATCGCGCCTGGTTTCCTATCCAGGTAGCCCGAGCCGAAATGCGATATCATCCACCCGCAGCTCATCCCACTGGCAGCCACCAACGCCGAGAAAGGCAAACAAGAACCACAGCTGCGGTCGTCAAGAGGAATACGATCCTTGCTGAAACCTGCACAGCTGAAGCAGATAGAGCATGGTGGAGAAAAGCAGTATATGACTAAGCCCACAGTCACGGGCTCTCGTTCTGGCTTCGCCCCTCGACTCCTCCCGTCTGCACGTCTCCATCCCCAGGCAAAACCATAAGAATCAAATAAGAGCATCGTGGTGTGTCCGTCTACTGTGAGGTTGTACTGCATATGTGATCATGCCATGGTCGATGGATGAACGTCTACCGCACCCAACTGACGGCTTTACGGGCCACTCGTGCTACTGATCGATCTAGACCGAGAGGAAGCCACGACAGTGCAGGCATCACGAGCTGAAGAAACGACATGGCTTGGATTGATTACTATTAAAGAATCAGAGTGCCTCGTCAGTAGGTCAACCCCAGCTGCAACGAGACCTCGCCAGGCAAGATACTATAACAACAGATGACATACATGGTGTGGAGGACACCTGCAGGGGATGCTTTTCTATCATGCAAACAACAGGGAAATAAGGGCATGTAAACATTATCGGCATGGGGACTCAACAAGCAGACAGGGCAAACAAAACAATATCATCGCCACTAAGCGCCGTCCATGAGAAGAAAATCGAGATCCAAACAGACTTCGTCCGTCCTAGGAGGACAGACCGCTGACATCCAAGAAATTGCACAGACTAACGCAGGCATCTTTCAAGCTCTTTTCAGTCTTCCACTGGAGCTCTTCCTGAGATCGGGTGGCCACCGCCACACAAGAGCCAACATCCCCAGCACGGCGAGGAGCAGCCTTCCGGGGGATGTGCTTGGAGGACACGGTCTCCATGGTCTCGACGACTTCGCGGACAGAGTGCCCACGCCCAGTGCCCAGATTGAACGTGCGGAAGTTCTCCACCAGCTTGCCTTCGTTGGCCGTACCAAGAGCCGCAATATGACCGCGGGCGAGGTCAGTGACGTGGATGAAGTCGCGGACGGCAGTGCCGTCTTCCGTGTCCCAGTCGGTGCCAAACATCTGCAGCTCCTGATACTGCCCTGTCATGACCTTGACCACGACAGGGAGGAGGTTCGTGGGCGTCTGCCGAGGATCCTCCCCCAGGAGACCAGACTCGTCACAGCCTATCGGGTTGAAATAACGAAGCGCGACAATGGTCCATTCGGGGTCGGAGGCCGCCAGGTCGGCGAGAATGGCCTCACAGATCCATTTTGTCCGTCCGTAAGGGTTCGTGATGCCCGTACATCCAGGCTTTGCGACAGTCTCTGACCCAGTGTGGTCCCGGATGACCTCCTCCTTGTGGACACAGAGTTCCTCCTTGAGCGGGAGACCGGAAGTCGCCAGCGTACCGTACACAGTCGCCGATGACGAGAAGACAAACGTCTTGATTCCAAACTCTCCCAAGGTATAGGCAAAGTCGATGAGGCCGCTGACGTTGTTGGCGTAATATTTCAACGGATCGCGGATGCTCTCCTCCACGGCCTTGTACGCAGCAAAATGGATGACGCCCGAGATCTTGGACTTGGATGCCCCCCATCGGGAGGAAAGCCGATACTGTTCGAGCAGGATCCGCAGTGCAGCCGTATCCCGGTAATCATGGGCATGCAGATGCAGGGCAGGAACCTTGGTCCCCTGCTGCTCATGGTATTTGGTTGCAAGAGTTTTGATACGGTCGAAGACGTTCTGAAAGGAGTTGCTGAGGTTGTCGATCACAATCACGTTATAGTTGGCCTTCAATAACTCCAACGTTGTGTGACTGCCAATAAAGCCGAGACCGCCAGTGACCAGAATGTACTGGTCCAAAGGGAAAGCCTGCAGCAGTTCCCCCAGATCGCCATCAAACAAGACGGATGATTGCGTCGCCGGCGTATCGACACACACGGGAGATCCAGGCTCCACCGGAGTGCTGGCATCGGACGGGCGAGGGCTCTCCATTATTGGCGAGAAGGCAGGATGGATACAGACGAAGGCAAGCAAGCAGACGCAAAAGTACGAGCACCGACGGCCGAGGACGGAAACGAGTGACGTCTGGTAGAGAACAGCAGACAAACGAGCGCGATTACCTCCAGACTGGAAGCTCAAAGAAAGGAGTACACAAATTTTTATACTCCCTGAACGAAAGACGGACCTGCCACCAGGCCACCGATGTAACGGATGTATCCAGCAGGGTCAGGCGGAAATCTCCGAATTCGTCTTGCCTTATTTACAACAAAAGAAGGCCATATATAGCGAATGGATGCAGGGAATGCAGGGCACAAAAGAAAGACGCCGGAAAATAATAATAAAGAAAAAAAACCAAAGAAGGCGAGAAAAAAAGAAAGTGCCTGTCAGCGCTTCTGCACGGCAAGCGGTCCAGAATATGTCTTAACAGGTGCTTCAGAGTGAGTTCGCCTCCGATGGACGTGGGCATGGACGAACTGGCGCCGCCTCCACCGGGACTACAGCCACTATTTGGTCCACGCAGGGACTTATGCCAGTGAGAAAGGAATTGTCTCGACCGTGAACAGAGTATGATCCGAGACTGACTGCATGCCCCCGCTCTATTTTGGGTCTGTGGCAGCCATTGTCTGGTTCGAACCATCTCTACTAATCATACTACTGATCACTAAGTGTGGATGACTGGCTAGACTACTTATTCTTTAGCCTGCCAGTGTCTGGCAGATTTCCGCGACGCCCATACCAACTACCCACTTCTGTTTCGTCTTTGCGCCTTTGCGCCGAGTGCTCGGAAATTGGCAATGATGGAACGACCGGAAAAACACGTGAGGAACCGGCGATGTCTCCAGAGTCGACGCTCTCGGATCATTCTTGCCGTCGTTGCTTTCATTGCTGTGCTCGCGGTTGTTATCCCCCCTGCTGTTGTGGTCACCCTACACAAGAAGAACAGCATGGGCCCCAAGGCCAAGGTGTTTGTGCCTCTCTATGTGTACCCTGCTCCGGGGGCCTGGACTCCTTTGGAAGAAGTGTAGGTCTCTTTTCATCTCCTCTCTCCCATCCCTCCACCCCCCACCAGCCCAATGGCTATGCCTGGTTCATATCCACGCCATAAGCCACCTGGGAGACGAATGGCCTGACCTCCCCGTAAACTATATGATGCGAGCGAGGTAGCTAAGCGCCACAGGATCTCTGCGCGCCCCGACGTCAACTTCACCGTCGTGATCAATCCTGGTAGCGGCCCCGGACCCGACGCCTTGCCTGATGCGAACTATACTAGGGAGATTCCCAAGCTGGCCTCATACGACAATGTGCGCCTTCTGGGATACGTCGCTACCACCTACGCGAAGCGGAACATCTCGCTAGTGCGCAAGGACATCGAGACCTATGCGGCGTGGCCGAGCCGGAGTTCCAACCCGGACCTGGCGGTTCGGGGAATATTCTTCGATGAAACGCCCCAAGAATACGATCCCAATGTATTGTCATATTTCCAGGAGCTCACATCATTTGTGAAGTCGACCCCTGGGCTTGGTCCCGATCATTTTGTACGTGCGACCCGTTTGTTTACCTGGTAATTCGGGTAATTTACTTTACCACCTTACGCCTTCGTCTGGATCGGTTGTTTGTTGACTCGCTTTCAACCATCATGCTATATTAAACATCAGGCTCCTTTGTGCTATGGTTGAGGCGATACTGACACCGGCAGGTTGTTCACAATCCCGGAGCCATCCCCGACACCCGCTACTTGTCGACGGCTGACTCGACGGTGGTGTTCGAGGCCAGCTACGATACGTTCCAGGAGCGCGATGGCGCTAAAATGTTCGAGGAGATTCCAAACAGCAACCGAAGTCAGCTCTGCGCGGTGATCCACTCGGTTCCGCAGGATGTGGAAGGGTCCAAGCTGCGTGGACTAGTGAAGCAAGTTCGGCGAGTCGCGGACGAGATTTTCATCACGCATTTGGAGACGGACTACTATGCCAGCTTTGGCGGGCAGTGGAAGGAGTTTGTGGATCTGATGGCGAAGTGAAAATTTCCCGATTGACTTCGCACTACTGCTTCAGGACGCTTAGGATGATGATGTATACGAAATGAAGTGGTGTCTTTCGGCGCACTGATGTATCGTCGGCCTTTGTTACTTCTGCTGGACAGCTAGCATGGTAGAAACTACATATCCATTTTGCTTTTGCCTATGGCTAAAGATAGATCCATTGTTCTTCGATGGATACCACCGGGCCCAGGAGTTCGTCCGTCTACGGGTATGAGATGTAATTTTCAAACAGCCTATACACCCCAGCCCTACTCCAATACGAGCTGACCCCGAGCGCTCGGTAAGCATGCATTGACTATTTATTGGTTCTGTGGGATACACGAACAATGGTTTGTCAGGATTGACTGGCCTACAACGCAGGTTGTGTCTGACTCAACGTCCATGCTTAGAAATGCAGACTACCTAGGTAACTACATGAGCTGGCAAAGTGCGACAAAGAAAACATGCCCAGCTACTAGTGAGTCCCGTCTCTCGCGCGATGCAGCGGGGAGCGCGGACGGCACAGTCTAGCGCACGTAGTTGCATCGATGCCCACTTAGCCGAACCGATCACTGGGACACCGGTGGTTTGAGTGGGAGACACCACATCGCCGGTATTTCTAATCGAGCAGTACTTTAGACGGAGTACCAAAAGCAGTATCCCGTGTGCATCTGGCCTAGGGCTGTTCCACAGTCGGCGTGAAACTCGAACAATGAAGGTCCGACATTTGGCCCTAGGGGCTCTGACCTGGCCCGGTCTCATCGATACAACATCTTGGCCGTGTCTTGCATGCTGGCCATCCGAGTTGTCCAAGTCGCGACTGGGATAGGTGAGACATACATCTGGTGCTGTGGTGAGGAGGTTAGACCGTCGGACGACCTGAGTGCTATCCATGTCGTCGATGGATAGGTCGTACAAGGACGTCATCTGGCTGTTGCGCACAGCGGTTTCTCCGATCAGCCACGATCGCTGTGCGCCCTCGGAGTAATTCTGGCGATACTGTGTCCGAGTCCAGGAATGTCTCCTGTATGCTGCATGCTGTAGGAGTATGCAGAGGGCGGGTAGAGTAGGGACTCGTCGCGTGATGATGTCTCGTATAGTATATGATGGTATATTGACAGCGTGGATCTCGCTGTATACAGCGCATCAGCATAGGCTGGATCAACACAGCCTTAGGTCCCAGGCCTTAGACCACTAGTCCTCCATCTTCCTAGTCCCATCGCGAGTCATGCCAGCCGTCCTCAGCCCGTCCAGCCCGTCCAGCCCAGCCCAGTTCAGTCGCCTTACAAACCCGACCTGACGGGATAGACACTACTGCAAATCTCCAATACCAGCTGCAACAATAATACATACAAGGCGACACAGACCGGACCCGCATCGGCCGGCACTATCGCCGGCGAACAAGACAAGACGCCTGCATGCCAAGGAAGACGGGCAAAAATAGAACGAGAAAAATCTGCAGGCGCCCGACTTTGCCTCCGCAAGAAGCAAGCAGAAAAAAAAAAGCAACACAGCAAGATGGAGATTGTCGCTTGCCTCGCATGGGAAGCACCTCCGAAGCGCTGTGGCCCACAGGAACGAACAGGAACACCCGTCCAGGAACCACTTTTGGGTCTTTGGGTTGTTGTTGGCGCCGGTCCCAACCGAACTTTATCGTTCGATCGGATCGGATCCAGTTGTTTTGTACGAGTATAGATACGAGGCGTATGGAGTACTATACGGAGTATTGTGTGATGGGGTTCGGATGGGTTCGGATGTGGAATTGATCTCAGCGTCGTCATTCCCCCGGCCGGGACAGTGCTGAGGCTGGCTGACTGTCGAAAGATCATGTTTGTATAGATCTGGTCTACTCGGTAAACAGAAGCGAGGCTGCTCTATCTCGCCAAGTACTCCGGAGTACAGTACACTTCCGTATGGGGATGACCGTGGCGTATCTGATATCGCAAATACAACCAACCCACCGTACAGCGCACTGATACCCGGTATAAAGTACGAGGTACACAGCCTAGACCAAGGAATCTCCACTGCCCGAAGCCCTAGACGAACCATCTCCACAAGCTAAAAACTAGTCAAACAGCAATTGAAACCGATCCAGTGGAAAGCGAGCGGACGGGAGGCCTCCAGCTTGGCAGGATGAAGAATCTGCCCTCCACTTGGCGCTGTTCGATCGAGGTTCGATCGAGGTTCGATTGAGCAATGCTGATCTGCTTGGTGGGGGTTCTCCGTTCCATGGTGCGAGCTCTTCTCCATTAGAGAAATTGCTCCGTATGATGGGGCTTGGAACCGTGGTATCGGTGACGACCCGCTGTTCACGATGGCCTGAGGAAGAGTTTTCCACGGCCGACACTCGGTGGTCTGGTGGTTTCAGTGGTTTGAGGGTGAGACGCCAAGTAGAGGTCTATATAGAAAACGGCGTAGTGCTAGTTCTCTGGCGTATGCTCCGGATAGTCTGGACTGGACTGGACTGGACTGGACGTGGGCTCCGTCTTCGAATACGCCAGAATGGAATTATGCTCATGAAGTGCAATAGATCAAGTCAATAATACATGCATCCAAAGACAATGCCATATCTCAAACACCCATAGCTTCAACTCCAACGCCATGCTCTAATCCAAACACTAGCACGTCTCAATCCAATTATCCAGATCCATATTCTTGATGACCGTCGAGAAATTGCCGTACCCAAAGTCGCAGGCTTTGTTCTTCTGGCTCGCCGTCACCGACATCTGGTTGTTGGTGTCGTCGCCCTTGGGATACTCGATGTGGAAGACGGGCTTGCCCTGCTGCACGAACGGCGCATAGGTGTCGCACTCGCTGTACTGCGCGCACTGCTCGTTGACGCTCCACTGCATGTTCTTGATGACGGACGGGATGATCTGGCCGGCATTCTTGAGCCCGATGGACATGTTGCGCCCGTGCGCCTCGTTCGCCAGCCAGGTCATGTAGTCGATCGAGTCCTCCGCCGTCAGGTCGAGCCCGCCGCCGTCGTTGTCGTACGCGTCGACGTTGTCCGGGTCGACGCCGTCGCAGCCCTTCTGCACCGCCATGTCCAGCCGCGTCTGCATGATCGACCGCACGTTCGCCGACCGCAGGTTCAGCCACTTCTCGTTCGGCCACCCGTCCATCACGCTGCCCTTGTCCGAGTCCTTGAACTTATCCTTGTCTGGCCGCCAGTTCTCCCAGCTGCCCGCCGAGAAGTAGCAGATCACCTTGCGGCCTTGCTTGTGCAGCGCGTCCAGCGTCGCCTTGTCGTTGTTGAAGAGGTCGATATCGTAGATGTCTGCGTCGACCGACGTGTCGTTGAGCGGGTAGTACAGCACGATCTGCCACTTTGTGCCCACCGCTGGCTGCCACTTGGCCGTCGTCACGTTGCCCCCGCCTCCGGGCGTCTCGCCCTCACCACCGCCCTCTTCTTCACCGCCGCCGCCGCCGCCCAGTCCGATACCCAGGCCGACGCCGAGGCCGACGGCCAGCGCGACGATGACGAGGAGGACGCTGCCGATGACAAGCAGTCGTTTCTTGGTGGACCAGGACTTCCAGCCGCCGGCCGCCCGGCCGTGGGCCTTCAGGGCGCCGTCATCGAACGCGTTTGCCATGCGGGGGAGGAGGAGTAGACTGAGGGAGAATATTTGTAGATGTAGTAGAGGTTGACAGCGATGAGGATGTGCGGAGTATTAAAGGACCCGCTGATGATCAGATAGAGATAGATAGAAAGAATCTCGTGGGCCCAGATTCGGGTGATCAGGGTCTAGAGACCCTTCCCAGCGTTACACAGCCAGCTAGGCATTCACGTTTCTGAATGGTGCAGTGAGGAAGAGGCGCAGAAAAGCACTAGAGCATTCACTCTAGGGGACTACAGAGTAAGCTAGTGAAGGCAGTCTATGACAAAGAGACACTGTCAGAGGACGAAACCGGGCTGCCCGGGGCACTACGGCAACCTACCTACTCCGTGCACGGCGCTTGCTGGTTTTCTTTGTTTCTTCCTATTCACTGTTGTGGCAAGGCACAGATGCTTAGGTTTGTGGCGGAGGCACAGTCTATGCAATCCCATCCTCCACTGAAGCTTGCACCATCCATCCCCATGCCCATCAGCAAGACTATCGCGCAATGGCCTGACGCTGTGAGAATTTTCTCTGGAACCCTGCCAATGGCTATGCGGTTAGTGCCCGGGAAATCTGATCCGTCCACGGACACTAACCGCAGCTCCCGAGATTTCCTCTTAGGGGGTGATGATACCGTACCGTATGTAACTCACTCCCTCCATGTACGGACAGTAAGATACCTGTACACAGCCAGAGTATCTTGCACTCTACACTTCGCACCACTTTCGCTTCAATTTCCACGTCAGAATGTCTCGTATCCACGCTTGGCTTAATATCGGCTGCCGTCAAGACTCGCTCGCCAGAGCCGCGAGTCGCCGGACGGCCGTTCCGGGCCAGGGGACGCTGAACGACGCTGATACTGGCGGACGCTGGTCTGGCCGAGCCTCTAGTGCCAATTTGGCGCCTGGTCTGGCGTGCTTCGCTGTCGCCACTAGTACATAAACTAGGTACCTGGTTGGATCGCAGAGTCGATCCACTTCCACGTTGTCGAGCCATCGCCGTAAGGAATAAAGAACGGTGGAACGGGGGCTTCGGGCTATGTGAGCGCTTCTGTCATCCAATCGTCCGTCGCTTGAGCAGACATGGAAAAGATGCAGTTGAACTGGGGATTGGGACCAGTCAGATCTTGCCAGCGCATGCCCTGGCAGCGGGGAAGCTTGTCCTGCAGAGGGGATCATCATGATGCGTAGAATACGAGAGGCACAAAAAGCAAGTGAGGAAGAAAGCACAGGGGATGAAGTGATAGTGATGTGATCACTATGTGGTCACCATATTATCCCCGGCCATAGGGAAGTCTGGCATACCAGCATTGATTCCAATCCCATCCGTCTAGTCCCAGGAGAGTAAGAGTCTCATTATCCCTACGCAATGCGTGACACTGACAGCTGCAAGCCGCAGTCGGAGTTATTCTAATATCGTCTACTTCTCCCCAAACTTCTCCCCCTGCGCAGCTCGCACCAGTGAGATTTTAGCTCGCTCGGGGAGAATCACCCTATTCATAGAACGTCTTCGGCCGAATTCAAACGTCGCTTTATCCCAGTAGTCCTGGTCGTAGGGGTGGCTGATTTTGCCGGCTAAACCTCCTGCCAAGATCACGACTCGTCGTACATGCCTAGTCTGCCACTAATGCGGCGGGGGTTGCTGTCGCGTTCTAGACTGCTGTTGATTATGGTCAAGGATGAGGCGCGCAATGCGGAGTCATTTGTTACCATGGCGAGACATGCATCTCTAGCGGAGGCTACGAAGCGAGATGTTATTGGACTTGTTTTGAACAATTACATGGATACTGCGTACGTTGAGCCAGGGCCATAGTCCATATTGAAAACGTGCATCTCCATTACAACATTACATACATACATATTAATGTTCTACCTAAGAATGCCGAACCCCACGCTTACAGCGCGATCGGGGTAGAGAGAGTGAAGGTCACCGGCGAGCCCGACAGCTTCGCCCACACAGTCAGCGGGTCGCTACCGAGCTGCTCAGTGGTGAAGCCCAGCGTGCTGGTCGGGGCGACGGGGAAGGTGACGGGGATGGGCTCGCTGCAGGTGTTGCCGTTGGCCGACACGGTCACGCCGGTGATCTGCTTGTTGGCGATGGCGTACGAGAGCGAGTAGTTGCACTGGTCGCGGTTGTAGCGCGAGAGGAAGCCCGCGGACATCTGCGCATGTTAGCATCTGCACGTAAGAACATAGTGGCAAACGAAAAAGGAAAAAAATCACATACATCGGCGTGCGTGACGGTGACCAAGGGCCACTCCACTAGCCGCACAAATTCCTGCACCTGCGTCTCCACCCAGGCCTGGAAGATCGAGTACTGGCCCGAAACCCCGTTGACGGTGATCGGGGTGGTGTCGGCGTTGCGCAGGTTGGCCTGGTGGAACATGTAGGGGTCGTGGTGCAGGCCGAACAGATGGCGCATGGTGTCGGCCTTTTCAGTGTCGAGGAGGGTCTGGAAGTCGCCCGAGCCGGCCGAGGTATCGATCCACTCCTGCACGGTGCACGCGGGCGTGTCGCAGTTGTAGTAGATGCGGGTGGCCCAGCGCGGGTTGACCTGCATGCCGTCGAAGTTGTCGGCGGCCGTGGTGGTGAAGTAGGGCCACATGTCGTTCTGGGTGTTGAGCAGGGCCGGGCGCGTGTTGTCGCCGACGCAGTTTTTGATGCCGTTCTCCCACCAGGCGCGTAGCGCGTCGCCGTTGTGCAAGCCCGTGATGGCTGGCGGGATGATGCCGTTCGCCGTGAAGTACTTGGCCGTGTCGAGGCCCGTCTGCTTCAGCCACGCCTGGTTGAAGCTGATCTCCTTGACCACGTCCGAGTACGTCGCGTTGTTCTGCTCCAGATGCGTGAACGTGTGCGAGATGTGCCCGAACTTGTCGCGGTTCTCGACGGTCGTCCACCACAGCAGCAGGTCGTCCAGCTGCGTGCACGCGGTCGTCCAGTTGTAGCTGGTCGGCGTGGTCGGCCAGAGGTTGGTGCCTGTGCCCAGCGGCTTCACCCACTCCAGCGGCGTGTCGGGGGGAGAGTCGTACTCGATGCCGCCGCCATTGCACGCGGTGTAGCCGGCATCCGTCGACGATGACGCCTCGAGGTTCCCGTTGCCGTTGTGGCCGACCTCGACGAAGTAGCTGCTGCCCGCGTTCATCTTGGCCGTGATGGTCGGGATCCAATTGGCGATCCCGTCCATGTCCTTGGTGGTGATGCGGAAGATCGTGCCATTGGGATAGTAGATGTCGGTCTCCAGGAACATGTCATCGATCTGCGTGTTGAGGTTGACCCGACGGTGTCCAGCGTAGAGTCCGCGGGTAATCCAGGTGATCCAAGCATGCTGCAGGTAGTTGGAGGTCGCGCTCCACGTGGTGTCGAAGCCGATGAAGAAGGCCATCTGCTCGCGGCCGGAGAAGTTGTTGATGACAGCAGCAGTGGTCTCACCAGAGGTGACCGAGTTGGCAGCAAACTTGGCAATCTCCTTGGTCGTGGTAGTGTTGCTGATAGTAGCGGGATAATGCCAGAGGCCCTGCGTGCTGACTCCAGCACCGGTGCGCAATCCAGACGTGGCAAAGTCACTGGTGTCCGAGAACGAGATGAGCTGCTCGACGCCGGTGTCGCAGCATCCGCCGCCAACAGCCGTGGCGCCGAAGTTGGGACCCGGGTAGACATCGTACTGCACCATGCGCACTCCGTAGGCCAGCTGGTACGCGTACAGCTGGTTCCACTGGTCCGTGGTCAGGGCGCTCTGGTAGCCGGTCGTGTTGCCATAGTCATAGCTGACTTCGCCCGCCACAACGATACCTCCGAAGTTTCCTCCGGAGGAGCTGTTCAGGGCCGGCAGCTGGACACCCGACTGGGGTACCAGCAGGGTTGTGAACGGAATGCCGTAGCCATTGAGGCCCGACGAGGCCACCTTGGCCGAGGCCGAGTCCCTGGCAATGACCAGGATGTTGGCCAGGACCGAGCCCTGCGCAATGGCGGTCGCCGTGGGCGAGACCACCACGCTCGACGAGGTCAGAGACATGGTAGAAGAGGTAACGAGCGTAGTAGAAGACGAAGTGAGCGACGGAGTAGCAGTGGGAGTCCCAGCGGCCGAGGTCGTCGACGTGACTCGCGAAGGAGGTGTCGATGTAATGACAGTCGGAGCTGACGGCCAAGTTCCTGGGGGCGTGCTACAGGTTAAAAGGCCGAAGTAGCAAGCAGCCTGGAGGATCCACGACGCAACCATTGCAAAGCGGCCCAGGGGGAAATCCCTTCACCTGGTTTAAAAACAGGCACAGAAACGAAAGCGAGCGAATGATAGCGAACGACGAGGTGGACCTAGCAACTGGATCTCACCATGAACGCAGCAAAGCAAGCAGAGAGAGGCTTTTGGATGGACCAGAGATCGACACGCCTGTCAACTGCGTGATGTGCCCACCGTCACCATCGCTAGGGCTCCCGTGTATTTATGCTCGGCCGGCCAAAGAAGAAACGTCCGGCCTATCGCTAAACCGAACAAAAGGAAACCTGCAGGCCGATTCCCTCTGTCCCAAGCCCCGTGGGTTCCACCATGATTCAGTTGCAACGACCATAGCCGACGGAGATATGATTGGTATGGTCCGAGTCCAGGCTAAGATTAAAGGATCGGTGATCGAGCCTGATCCACAGACACTTTGGACGACACTAGACGAAGTTTACTCCAGAGTAGAGTAGAAGTAGTGGGATGACAGGCAAAGTAGGCTAGGAGGAATTTGAGCCCGCCACCAAGTTGATCTATACGAAAGAACGCCTCCGACTACGCGCTGTCGAAAGGAGGAATTATAAACGAAAAGGACCTGCCATGCCGCCCCAACTGCTCCATTCTGCGTGCTATAAATGAGAGGCGCAAACATGGCGTGGTGGGACAGAAGCGAGGACCGGCGAGCCCGCCGGCCGGTTCTCGTGTCTAGTCGGAGATGGTCTCTTCCTAGAGCCTCAGCGCGACTTGGCAATGCTAATAATAATCCTCCAAAGACCCGGTTATTATGATTAGTATGATTAGCATGATGTACGGCGTGGCGGGCACAGGCAATGAAAGAAGCAAGACAGACAAACAGCCAGCCTTAGTTAGGGCAAGGAGACGGGATGTTCGGGCAGGTATTACCTTACGCAGACGAAACAGGAAATTTGCAAACAGACCGAAATACGGTGTATTACCAGCTAGCTGCTCCTGCTCCCCACTCGCCAAAATCATGGATGGATGGATGGATCGTTTGCTTCCTCATCATCCTGGTCTCCCCCCTGGTCACCGCCAGTCCCATTCAGTCCATTTGTCCATTCAGTCCTGCTCGCGCTGACTCCATCAAGACCAATGGGACGGTCTTCGGCTCTCCCCCGTTCGGGGTTTTTGGAGCAGATCGTGCAGGATAATGGATGTATGTGTTCCCAGGCTGAGCCACTTGACAAAGCAGACCTGCTGTGTACATCCAAGCAAAGGGTCCCGGTGACAAACCAAGTGGAACCGTCCCATTCATGTGAATCGAGTGACCATGGACATGTCGATATCTGAGAAGGAGAAGAAGTCCGATGGCTGCCACGCTATCGGGGACCTGTCGCCACACTCATGGCATCAGTCCGAAACCGCCTGGCGTCAATCATTTATTACGTTCTGACAGGGCAACAGGCTTTTAGCGCTAGCCAGGCTCTTGGGTGTTTTAGATGCTCGCTATTTTTGTCCGTCTTTTTTTAACCTGCTTGACGCTTAGGCTAAGTCCAGCGCCACAAATCCGTCCTTCGCACTCCTTCGCTCCAGACCAGGTGGTTCCATACAAGACAAGCAGAAACACTGAAGGCTAATATAGCACCGGCATTCGATCTCGTATCAGTAGATTGCGTGTTGTGTGCCCCTCGGCCTCTCGGTTAGTGAGCAGGAAGTCCTCCGTCTAGCAACGGGAAACTCCGTAGATCCTTGAGGACTTGCATTCGCATTTGCCTTCTCGTTCAATTGAGCCTCTTGTACGATCTTTTTATCTGTTTCCTTTGTTCCTTTTGTTCCTTTCTATCTTCCTTCGTTGCATATCGTGGTCCTCCCCCCGTTCGTTACTTAGTTGACCCATTCAAGGACACGACTCTTTGTCCCTGTTCACGCAAACAGCACAGCAACACCATGCGCAAATAGGACGAGACTCTTTCGAGGATTTGCGCCTGAGGGTATTCAGCTTTGCGTGATCCCCCGAGGACCATCGCCGTCTCTCGTTTAACTCGATACACCTTAATATCTAATCGCAATGACGAAAATACTCCAACCCTCGCCCTTGGGGTGGGACAGACTGAAGGAACACTGGTGGCAGTTTGTAAGAAATATCGTGTTGATCGAGCATACATCTACCTGCCGTCATCTAACGTCCGGCAGGTCTTTATTGGTATTTTAATCGGCAGCGTGGCTATTGGATGCATATATCTCCTCTATGCTGGGGTAAAACGGCTGCGCCAGTACCGAAAGGTAGGTCATATTCTCCGAACGGAGCATATCGATGTGATATCTGACATGCGCAATGCAATCAACAGACCAAGTCCCGTTTGGAGACGCTGTCGCCCAAAGTTTCTCAACGGCTTGATCGCTTCTCCACTCGAGAGCTCGTCTTGACCAACTCGAACGTGCCAGAAAAGAAGCCATCTTCTTTTGGTGTCTATCTTGGAGATTTTGGCGCATACCCGGACGAGTCTCAGATTCGCCTTCTCACGCAATGGGACCTTCTCATCGTGGACCCCTTCCGGCCTGGAACCCTTCAAGCACTCACTCATGCGCGAGGAAAGCAAGTGTTGGGGAGAGTCGACCTCGATCGCCTCATCGCCTCCGACGAGTCGACTCTGCTCGCCATCGAGAAGCTGGAAAATATGCTCGCCGAGTCGTTCGATGAAACCATGCTCACCGGCATTCTCTTGGTGAACTGGGAGGACAAGTTTACGTCGCCCATTCGCGCCAAATTGTTCCAGGCGATTCGTCAGGTAGGACTGGTACTGTACTTGGAAACAGCTCCTCCGGATTTCTTGCAAGACCACAAGGCGCTGCAGGTGGACGCCGTCTCTGGAGTGGTCATCAGGAATGCCAGCATCCTCCCTGAAGGCCAGAAGCGGGACTATTTCCAGATGCAACAAATGCAGCCCACCATCAAGGCCTTTGTGTCCGAGTCGTGCATGCGGGATTTCGTGGTGTTGGCTTGGGAAACCATCGAGGATGACGCTGAACTGTCGAACGCTGTTGTCCAAAGATCTTTGCAATGGTGCAACTTTTACAGCGCAATTCCATGGATCGGCCGCAGATCTGCCCTGGAGGATGCTGCGCTCAACACCAAAGTTATCGAGCCTCTGTCATCGTTCGGCTGGCTGAAGGATGCCGACATTATGAAGGCGCATGATCGCTGGCGATCCAACATGCACATCGAGGATGAAGACCTCGACCGTGAGGCCTGGGACACACTCATGCCATTCTTTCCCGCTCTGCAAGATGTCCTCGAATCTTCCGAGCACTACCAGGAAGTCGGAGACAAGCTCTCGGTTGCGATCCGTGACCCTCCCGAGTGGGTTGCGCAGGTGAAATCGCAGGGTAGTCCGTTGTCCATTTCCATGGCCGGTGTTGAATACAATTCGTTCGGATGTTTTCCCCTGGGCTCAGAGGCGACACCAGTTGCGTTTGCCGAGATCCTCCAGTCCCAACAACGACTGAAGACGCTTGGGCTTTTGCATCCTGTTCCGTCAACGAAGGTCCAAAGCATCGGTCTGCTGCTCAAGAAGTTCCACGAAACGTTCGTTCTCTCGCATTGGACGGGCTCGGACCAGCTGGCCGCCTGCGTGAAGGAGCTTTCCAATCTCGCTTTCAACGATGGCCTCCGAGTCTACCTTGGCTTGGACTCCGGCTTGCGCAAGAGTGCCGATGCCCGCTTCTGGGCTGTCTACCAGTTGGACGCGGACGGACTCGAAGTCTACGCTTCCAAGAACGCACAGGGCCTCGCAGGCACTGTACTGCACACATTCTTGTCTGCAAAGGGTCACCCGCGACATGTTTGCTTCGAAGCAGAGATAGCCTTGGCTGAATGGTCCAAGGACACGGCGGAGGGAACGAATCTCCCAAGACGACTCGTTCAGGACATCGATCTGTTGAGCCCGGAGGAGCGATTGCTCCTGCTGCAGCATCTGACCTTGACAGACGCAAAGAGCGACATCTCGGAGACCATCTGCCAATACATTCGGAGACAGCTGATTGACGCTCCGTCACTGGCGCAGCTCAAGGAACTGAACACAACTTCTTACCTCGACGGATCCGTCTCGGATGAGGAATTGGTGACCTCTCGTGTGAAATGGTACCGTGAACAGGGTCGTGAACACCCTTCGGTATCAACGTGCCTGGCCTTATTTCGAGAGACGGACCGCATGTTCACTCAAATTCTCCGAGAGCGCCGGGAAGGTGACCTGGCCCTCATATCCAACGCCATCTGCCAGTTGCTGGGGAACCAGAACATAGATGCCTACGTCGATATCATGGCCTTGTCGCTCTTCTGTTCTGCCAGAAAAGGTGCCCTCGATGAGATCTATGCCGAAGTGACCGACCGAAACCCGCTGTTCAACTACCAGTCCGACCAGGCGGCTGCTTTTGCCGAGTCCTTCGCCCTTGGATCGCGTTGCGAGGCCTACTTTGATGTCAACCCCAGCGCCTTTGGAAAGCTGTTATCTGATCGGTTCCGAAAGGAATACAACGACGAGAGGCTTCCGGACTGGGTCAACGGTGCTCCGCAGATGGCCACGGCATACGGTGGTGCGCAGATCGATGTCAACCCGGACGACAAGGTCAAAGCGATGCGTGGGTACCAGCGATTTACTTTCCTCAGTGTCTTTGCGCTGCCGGCCTTGATCGATATCATCCTTCTGACCATCATCGGCCGTGGTTTGTATCTGTCGGCCTTCATGACGGACGACGAGCAGACGAGCGCTACGACAGCGTTGATGATCTCGCTGATATTATCTGGTGCAATTGGTACATGGATTGCCTGTGTAGGACCTTACTATCTCATCTCGATGGCCTTTGCGGCAGCCAATATGTTTGTCCTAATCAGACTCATCGCTGGCTTCGCGTTCACGATTGCTGGCGGCTTGATCGGATTCATCGCCATCTCCAGCGTCAAGGGACCGCGTGCAGGCATCATCTTCTATCTTTACCTCGTCGGCATGACCATCTACTTCACTTCATTTGCCTGCCTCGCCAGCTTTAGCTACCCTGGATCGACCTTCTTGTCCGGTCGGAAAGTTATTTTTGCATGCATTCCGATCCTGTTCCTGTCTCCCATCATTACGACTTTCTCGGGCAACGACTCTGCCGTCTATGTCGCCGTGCTCTACTTCTTCATTGGATGCTTGCTTCTCGGGCTGCGCTCCATCGCTTCCAAATGGGTCACCTGGTACCAGAATATCAGGAGGACCGACGATACAGAAATCCGGAAGTGGTATATCGCCAGCCATGGAAACAACGATGAGAAGGTCTTTGGCGGATTGAGCGACCCGGCCGTCCTGAAGCTATCCCGGGAGGCGCTACTCAAGGATGTTCTGGCTGAAACGAACCGACGAATGTTCTCCAAGCCGACGCAGGACACTCTGGTCCTTGAGCTTGCTCGGGACTGGGAGTCAACCAATTTCCTACTCGACTGGTATTGCAGATACGCCGACGTTTCCAAGCCGATCCCCTTCAGCTCCTCCTGGAACATTCAGACAAAGGTTGCTCTAGACGTCCTACGCAATTCGCAAAAGGGCATTCGTCTGCACAACGCTTTCATCCACTGGCGCCAGTCCAGCAGAGAAATTGGCTGCGGAGTTCTGTACTTCATTCTTGCACTGCTGGACAAATGGGTCGAATTGCTCTGTGGCGAACCTGTCCAAGGTTTCTTGGGTAGCGCAATCAGGCGTGCTAATATCAATACCGAGGACTACCGAATGTCTGTTGGTTTCGGACTGGCTTACTACCTCATCGGGGCCGTCCTCATCGACACCAAGGCGCAGGAACTTCATGATCTCATTGGGAAGCGTACCGCTGTCGCTGTTGGTTCTGCCAAAGACATACGTCCTTCCCAGAAGGCTGATGTGCGGTTCAAGAGAAAGGTGTATTGGAAGACCCTGTTCAAGTTTCTGATGTGGCATGTCTGGAGTCTTGCTTTTGCGACAGCTCTTGCCTGGACCTTCCAACCGAAATTGGTGGCCATGAAGATGTTCTTCGCGTATGTACTGGCATACACCGGGCTCCTTTGGTACCAGTATACGAAGATCTTCTCGGGCCCTCACGCCTTGAAGCCTCTCCTCATCGGTGCTCTTGTCGGATTACCGGTGGGAATCGCCTTGAAGCGCTGCGTTAAGGACTTCCCCTACGCGCAAGTTATCGGACTGGCATCGGCCACCTGGACGGTTGCGATTTTGTCACTCTTCACCGCGAAGATGGGCATGCCCAAAAAGGTCGATTCGCCGGTCGAACTTGGCAAGACGTTCCACGCGTACACTGCTCCGTGGGCCGACCCTGAATGGTCCCAGCAGGAACTCCAGACCTTCTTCGAAGGGATCTCGTTGATTCCATATGACGCCCGATTGAAGCTGACGCCTGGATCTCACCCCGGTGCAGAGGTCAAGAACATCCTCCTGTCGCGCAAGAAGGAGCCGAGAATCGAAGAAGCGTTCTTGAAGTCGCAGGAGATCGTCGACACCGCCCTGGCCTCCTGGGAAAAGGGCGATATTGCTCTTGAGCTTGTGCCCCTAGGCTCTCTTGGGCCGAGCATTCACGCCTTGAGCTGCAGCACGTCGGACCAGCTGAAGATTGCTGTGTGTGTGGGACGAGGCCTGGATGAGCGTATTGATGTCAGTGCCAACTGCCAGGTGATTGCGGAGACTCTCCTGCACGCAGTGTCAGAGTCTTTGCTTCGCATGCCCCACGAGTATGCGGTCCTTGCGGAATCCCTTGTCACCGCAGGCGTGACCGAGACCACCGCTCGGCAGCTTCGCGAAGAGCTCAACACCCCCCGTCGTTGTACGTTGGGCCAAGAAGGAGCTGCTGAGACAGCTGTGTCTGGGTTTCGAGTGTGACATTCACTGGGAGAAGCTGCCGCAGAGCATCCGAATCTCACTTCTAGATCGCTGCCTCGGTCAGCCCTGTCGGGTGTCGGACAGTGACTGGAAGTGGCTGCGGAACAGCCTTTGTCAGTTCGACACGACGGACCTCCGAGTGCATGTCGCCCGAAGCAACCTGGGAGCCGCCACCGCTGTCAGTGTTCTGGACTATGCGCATTTCGGAACCGGAGAGGCCGCCGTGGTCAAGGATGCCGAAACCCCGACGTACATTCCATATATCCGCAAGTTGCCCCCTATCGTCCTCTCGCTCTTCCAGCACCCGGTCAGCTATATCTACTATACCCTTGCGTCGGTCGTCAAATTCATCATTGTGGCTCTGGTCGCTGATCCAGAGTTCCAACGTGAGTTTAACCATGTCATGAGCCATCGCCATCCTGTGGTGCGAGTTCCTGTAGTGTTCATCTTGAACATGGTCTGGTCTTACGCCAAACTGGTCCAAGACATTGGGCTGTCGTTCTTCCTGTTCCATGGTCGGTCGAACGTGAAGCGGCTGTGGAATGAGACCAAGGGGATGACGATCAGCATCAAGAAGAGCAGGTTCATGGTTCAAGGCCTCGACGGGACGTTTACTGCGTTCAGACACAATGAACCTGACGGTGGGTTCAAAGTGTATTACTACGCTGGAGAGCACAAGTCCGAGCCTGAAGGCACCAAGAACCTCAAATACTCGAGCACCTATTCCAAGGATGCACTTCTCCTGATCCGCCAGGAGTTCAAGGACGGCAAGCTGCTCAACGAGTACCATTACGACTATCGCACTCCCACCAAGAAGAACTTCAAGCTGTCCAAGTCGTACGAAACAAAGGTGCCCATGGGACGGCGGTGCGTTCGAGGTCAGAACCACCTGCAAAGCGTCCAGTACAATCGCAAGGGTCTTATCGAGGCTGGTTCCTACATGAAGGATGGCAACCTCATCCGCTTCAAGTATCACTATCGCAAGAACCCGTCCTTTGGAGATGAGCTGTTACGCGCCGAGTTTGCGCTGTCGCATATCACCTGTACTGTCTCCTGGTGCGCGCCGCCTCTCCGCCATCCTCAGAAGGTGGAGCGCTGGATTCCTCATTCAAAGGTCATGGAGGCGACGTTCGTCCAAGGAGCTGATGTCTACGAGTCCCGTTGGCTTTACGATCATAAGTTCCATCCCACCATCTTCACCACGCTCAATGGGCAGAAGGTGCAGACCCCACCTATGATCGAGCACGACTACCTGGCAGTTCTTGCGAAACCGAGATATACAAGCTTCGTTCATGACAATCCCCTCTTCTATTGCGACAGCCTCAACTCCAACCCGCTCACTCGGTTCTTCGGCCTCGCCACGAAGCGGTTCCCCGTGTCTACGTCCCGTGCTCGTTCGCTGATCTGGAAGGCGTGGAAGGAACGTGCGGACTTTGATGGTATCATTGTGCGATGGATGGATGATCGTCTCCTCCGACGAGAGAAGACCCTCGCCCCGTACTGGCGCAGCCGTGACCGTGGCGATCTAACGTCTGCGAAGAAGTATCTGGATCTCCGCGCAGATACCGTCACCGCGAGTGTCGATCTTGACGACGATATCTCCAGTTGGACCCCTCTCGCGGTGAAGATTAGTGATCTCTTCAACTTTGGCCCGGGAGGTGACGCCGTGGTCAATACTCGCTCCAAGGACTTCGGCTCCGATACCGAAAAGTCGCTCCATGTCATGGCGGCTATTGGGGTATTTTTGTTATTATTTATTTTTTTTTT